TCAGAAACGGCGGTGGTGCACAACTGATTGGGAGAAGCGATGAGAATATCCCGTACGGCTGGACATGACGGCTGGACAAACACAGTCACTGGGCATCCTTAGCATCCGGCAGCACGGCCTTCTGAGGACCGTTCTAAGCCACGAACCACGGGGCCTGAGTTGCGTTGCGTCATCTGTGAACATCGGATGATGCGCAAGTGGAAGGAAGCCTCTGGTGGTCTTCAGTGTCAGCCCGCGTTGTGATGCTAGGCAATGATTGATGAATGTTCAGTTGACATCAGTATCATCAATTTCTGGTTGGTCAATGTTTGGACACTCGGGCCTCCCAAGTGCCATTTCAGAGGGATCCCTTCAGTCCCTTCAGTTTCTTGATAGGGCAGCTGCAATGGACGACTTGACCCCTGACGTGTGTGAAGAAAAGGGGGGGGGCCGTCAGAATCCGCTGTTGACTTTGCCAACGAGCAACGGGCATCAGCTCCGGGTGCGTTGTTGGTCAAAGGACGCGAGTCTGGGAGTCCTGGATCCTGCGGTGTGTCGGAATCCGCAGTTGGCGATGGCGCCAGGATGGCAATTCAGGAAGCTTTGGTGACCCATGTTGACCCCCCAATCCTAGGTGATGTTGATGTGGAAAATAAAAGCAATCCGGCTAGTCATGCGTTGAAGCAAGCCGTCCAAGAGTATCATGGGACTGAGCCCGATTGACTGGTTGTAGCGTGTTGTATGCGTGTTGTAGCTTGCTGTAACTTGTTGTATCTTGCTGTAACCTTCTATGCTTGGATGTAACTTGGCGAATGTAGTGATAGGTGAAGAGTGGCAGTATGAATCAGAATGCAGGATGTTTTTCATGGCAAAAACGAATGGGCACATTGCAGAGTCCAGTTGGACCTTTTGCGCGTGTGGCGCGCACCATAAGAGCGTTTGCTTCGGTGACAAAAAAATGATCATGTCCGGAATGCATTTGATGGCAATGTATGTAATGTGCACCAAGAAGGAACCCGTTTACTGTGACTTTGCACTTGCATGTTTTATAGTCCCAGTGGCAGCGCCTACAATATAGCTACTGCTGCTTCTGGACAATTCAATTTGGGGCCCATTCTTGGCCCAAAAAAACCTGATTCATGTGGCATTCCATGCGCCCTGGAAGCTGTTGGAGGCTCAGGATGGGTATGTTGCCCAGTCAGATGTTCAGCCGGCATGCAAAAAACCACCCCACCTGCAAAACAAGTCAAAACAACAGAGATTCGTCGACTTTCTGCACTTCCAACTGCTTCCAACTGATCCCACACCAAAAAAATCTAAAGCTTCCCAAGTGGATCCAACCACCATCGCCATGACTGATGAAGCACCTGACGGGGCTGATGACGTGGAGGCGGGATCGGCGGGACCGCACGCTTGGTGGCTCTGCAGCCCCTCCTTGGTGATTTTTCCAATCTTTTCTGGTGAAAAATGGTGAGCTGGTCATACGTTCCAGATCATTAGATTGTTTGCAGAGGGTCGAAGATTTACCCACAATAATCAATAATCCTGCAACGGGTCCAAACATCCCTATGTAGAAGTATCACCTCACTTAAAAACCAAGACTTCATTTGTAAGAAAAACATGGTATGAAAAATATTGAAACATGAAATACCCCATTGTCACCTGATTTAGCTATACCCATTATGCCTCTTCGCTGTTCATTGCGGATCCGGCAAAGTGATTGTAGTTAGGAAACATAGCTTGTACTGTCTTGTACTGTATATTCATATCTCTATTGGATATAGAACATTTATGAACATTTTGGTTTAAACATGTTCGCCCCAACCCGGACGTTGTTCCACACTTACAATCGTCATGATCATGATAGTAATAATAATAATCATCATCATCATGACCATCATAACATTAAAAATCGCCACCCCGTCTGAACAATACGTTGATTAGGGTAATAACATCAACTTTATCTTCATGAGGGGTCAAAATTCGCCGCCCCCTATGAACAATATGTTGATTGGGGTAATAGCATCAACTTTTCTTCATGAGGGGTTGAAATTCGCCACCCCCTATGACCAATATGTTGACTGGGCTAAGAACATCAACTTTATCTTCATAAGGGATCAAAATTCGCCGCCCCCTATGAACCATACGTTGATTAGGGTAATAACATCAACTTTATCTTCATGAGGGATCAATATTCGCCGCCCCCTCTGAACAATATGTTGACTGGGCTAATAACATAAACTTGATCTTCATGAGGGGTTGAAATTCGCCACCTTCTGTGAACAATTTGTTGATTGGGATAATAATATCAACTTTATCTTCATAAGGGATCAAAATTCGCCGCCCCCTATGAACAATATGTTGATTGGGGCAATAACATCGACTTTATCTTCATAAGGGGTCAAAATTCGCCACCGCTGTGAACAATATGTTGATTGGGGTAATAACATCAACTTTATCTTCATAAGGGATCAAAATTCGCCACCCCTTTTGAACAGTATGTTGATTGGGGTAAAAACATCAACTTTATCTTCCTAGCCACCTGAAGTCAGACGCGGCGCAACGTCAGGGTTGCAACACACATGTTTAGACATATCATCACCCCTATATTTCTAGCATTCTATTTTTTTTTGGCTATATCCTGAAAATGGAGACATGGACAGATAATATATACTTTAACTATCTAGAGCTTCGGGCGAGTACCTGGAAGATGCAGAGCCTTATACGATGTCCATGCTAAGGAATCCTAATAGGATGCCCATGTCCATTGAGCACTTTATTGTATAACGGTGCTACCCATGAAATTATACATAGTAGGTCTTATATATATATTATATATATAGAAACATGATAAAGGACATGATATCGATACATATATGCACATATTAGTATCATACTTGCACAATGAACAGCACTACATATACATTTATTTATTCCATATATAGAACTATATATGTATTATAATTACCAAGATAGATTATATAAATATAGACGATATGTGTGTATATATATATATGTAATAAGGTTATAATATAATATAAAATGCATACCTACTTATAAACAACTATAATACATATACACATGTGATTCACGATTCAGGATGAGCCCGACGTGGAGGGGCTCTTTGGCTCCAGCGATGAAGAAGGCTGGGCCCCTTAAAAGGGCCCCCAGGGCCTTGGGAGGCCGATGGCTTCATCTCTGTGGGGATTAGAGGGTGCAATAAGGATAAGGGAAATCAATGGTATATAATATATATATATGATTATATATATATATGTATATATTCCCTTTCCCCAATAGTTTGGGATTATGGATTTGAAAATAGGGGATTATCATAGGGAGATTTTAGGAGAGATCATGGGGATTATTTTGGGATTTTAATGGGGTTAATATAGGGGTATTTTACGGTCACCAATAGTTTAGGGATATAATAACGGGAAATATGGTCATGGGTCACCTATTATTGCCATATTTGGATATATTTGGAGGAAAAACTCCATTAACCAACTTTAGGGCACCATTTGGGTACCAATAAAGGGAAGATAACCATCAAAAAACATGGGATCAACAGATTTTTTTTCATTAAGAAGGGATCTTAACTAACTGTTAAGGGGGATTCTGATTGATTCAACAGAAATGGGTCCTCGTCACAATTCGAGACACCTAGAACTTAATTTTTCTACGATTTTGATCATAAAACCATTGAAACGAGTTTTTTTTACTGTAAATGTGCGGAACTAACATCTGCGGACTGGAGCTGGCCTTCATTGGTTTTATAGCTTTCGGATTCAGGATGAGTCATTTTCCGTTCCAAAACTCAGATATTTACCATATGCATCGTGCCATGTGCCATGGTCACAATTACAGTATGGGTCAATTTTATACATTGGGGATTCCCAGGATGGGAATGGATGAGCGTAAACCATTCATCATGGACTTAATTTTATACATCCCATTATATTCCTATATAGCCTATATATCTCTATATAAAATTGTATAAATGTAATATTGTATATATTACATAAATTATATATTATATATTATATATTATATATTATATATTACATATATTATATATTACATATATTATATATTACATATATTATATATTATATATTATATATTATATATATTATATATTATATATTATATATATTATATATTATATATTATATATTATATATTATAGATTATAGATTATATATTATAGATTATAGATTATATATTATATATTATATATTATATATTATATATTATATAATATATATTATATATCATCTAATATATAATATATATTATATATTATATATTATATATTATATATTATATAATATATATTATATATCATCTAATATATAATATATATTATATATTTTATATTATATATTATATATAATATAATATATAATATATATTGTATATTATATACTATATATTATATATTATATATTATATAATATATATTAGTTATTATATATATATTATTTATTATATGTTATATACTCTATATAATATAATGTATATTATGTATTATATACTATATTATATATTATGTATTATATATTATATATTTTATATATTACATATATATATATATATTATATTATATATATTGTATATTATATATATATTATAATATATATATATATTAAATATTATATATTAAATATTATATATAATATAAATATATATATATTATATTTATATAATCCCATGAGATACCCATAAAATTCCCATGATCCTATAGCTTCCCACGAATCCCACCGGCCCTGCCTCGGGAGGAGAGGAGCCGATGCCGGACGAAGCGGAGCTCTTCGGAGGCTCTGATGAGGCGGCTCGATCAAGGTGGTGATTACCGTTGATCCATTTGATACAATTTCATATACAATTCGTTTAAATATAATTATATATATATACTTATATGTATACATATATATACTTATATGTATATATAATTATATGTATGTATATATTTATATGTTTATATATAATTATATATATATATGTGAATATTTCTTAGTTTATTAGATAGAGAACTGGGATACTGGGATACTGTGATACTGGTAGGTTGATTCATTAATGTTAATGGGATATTGATAGATACAAATGGTATATTAAATGGATAAATTAGATATGAAATGGTGTATTCAATGGGATGTTAATTAAATTCCCAACAGCAGTGACTGTTGATTGGGTTTCAATCTTTGGGTGTGGGAGTTGTGTGCCGTTTTTCATCGGCCCTGAAAATCGGAACCCTGGAACCGCCTGGAACCTGCTGTTGGGTTGCAAAGCTGGTTTATGTAATCTTTTTGCGGAAAATGGATGATTCTCAACAGGAATAAATGGGGTAGCACATATGTAATGGGCTATATAATGATTGTATTTAGGGATTTTATGATGCAAACTGCGGATGTTGCCATCAAAACTAGGGATGTTATCAATGAATATTGGATAGATGGGTTTGCCCCAAAATGTCGGGACTACACCAACCGTTGTGGTACAGTGAGATATTATGGATGGCCAACAACGTAATACAACAAATACAAAAACAGATCCCCGAGTTTAGTGGAAATGGTACACAACATCCCCAATTGCAGGTTTACCATATGATGGTTTGCCGCATTAGATTCAGATGATTTACCATGTTTATTTTGCTTTGTGCAAAATGGGGGATCGGGGATACTCCAATTTATCACCCGTTTTAAGGTGCACTCTTTTTAGGACCAGCCCATATTATGAATTACCCTCTGGTAATTTAACATAGCTATTGAAAATGGCCATAGAAATAGTGGATTTACCCATTAAAAATGGTGGTTTTTTCCATAGTTATGGGACAGTTTACCAGAGGGTATCGTATACTACTGTACTGTATGTTGTGACACACCAGGATCATGATAACATTCATGATAACCACATATGTTATCAACTGCATCCTTAGTGACTGTTAGCAACAGCTATGGGAAGTAGGAAGACGCCCCACTGAGATCAGCCTGTGATCCAGAAGCTGAGTGTTGCCTCCATAGATCAGCCCATGAAAGTTGGGACTTGGAATATCAGCTACAGATGCGCCGAAAGTTGTTTGCTTTGCTGGTAGTTTAAAGATGTTTTAAGATGTTTCACTGTGGATGAAAAATCCCAATTCGATGGGATGATTCCCAATGGAGCGTTTAAAACGGTATTCAAAAAGGTGAATCACTTGGTGAAGGACGATGAAGGTTTCCCTACCTTGGCGTCAACAGGAGGACGAAGATGGAGCGGCTGATGCTGTGCCCGATAGCAGATCAGAGATCAGTGACATGGTCCGGCACCTGGGGGACTTGGATTGGTAAGTCTGACAGCCAAAGTCTTGGGAGGGTGAATTTCAGATACCCTCTGGTCAACTAACGGTTTGCTATGGAAAGATCCACCATTCTTTATGGGTAAATCAACGATTTCGACTGGGCCATATTTTCAATAGCTATATATGTATGTTTACCAGGCCGGGTAGTTTGGTAATTGGTATTTGGGCACATACAATGGTTACAAAGCAATGGTTCATCTACGAATTTGAGATACTTTGAGCATCTTTGGTTCACCTTTGCTCCAGGATGAGAGGGACATCTTCGGTGATGTCTCCGATGATGATCCGGAAAAGGCACGGCCGAGCCCTGGTGGATCCTGGTGGTTTGAGTTTTTCACTCGTGGAAATACCATCTGGTTATGACATTCACAGACATAGCCATGGAAAGATAATCACCATTTTATAGCTAGGTAAACCATCTATTTCGATTAGGGCCATCTATACCATGGCGAAATGTTAGTCATAACTATAGAGGCTACAGCCTGAAATGTCAACCGCAAGGATCCACCTGCCGACAGGAGCTGACCATCGAGCTGGAGTCCAGACAACGACCTCCGGCCGACCAGGAGCCCTGAAAGTTGGTTTCTGGGGTGCCCAAAAACCTGGGGAGATCTGGGTATTTCATAAAGGGTTTCTAACCTTACCTAACCTGGGTATATCTGGGTATATCTGGGTATATCTACTAACCTTATCTAAGCTGTAGGACTGTAGGACGCAGATCCTTTTGTTGGTCTAACCATCCTTTTCCAGGAGCTGGTGACCATGCGCTTGCCGAACATCATTTCCTTCGAAGAAGCTGAATACAGCCGCCTCCCCAGATCCAGGGCTTCGTCAACAGCCGGTGGTTTTGAAAAGTCCCCGGCTTTTCCAATGACATTTTTGTTACAGAAAGAATGGACATTCACGTGACTTGTATGTGCACATATATTGTATTTTTGGTAATTTCATTGCATTGTATTATATTGTATTGTATTGAATTGTATTGTGTATTTTGTATTGTGTATTGTATTGTAACACAATGCAATGCAATGTGTATGTGGTTACAACATGTCAACCATGTGCAGTTAGTAGTCCTCTACGGTGTGATTCCTTTACAGCACCTGAGCTTCCCCACGGTGATCCACCAGTTAGCCGCTTCCCGGTTGATGTTTTGGCAGGTGGATTCGATTCCATTACGGATGAAATGATGGAAGGTTACAAGGAGCCTGGGAGACCCAGATGCAACAGGCCAGTTTGGATAGTTCTGTTTGGCGGGCTACCCGGTAGCTTCTTCATATTGCCATGACTTTTCGGGGATATGCCAAACCTCAGTCCCAAGGTACAAGAACACCCGCGGCAATAGCGTCTGGCCACACAGGGGAGGGGCCGGCTGCAGGTCATTGTCGTTTGCAAAACACCTTGTGAAAGCTACCCTTTGGTATGTAAATGTGGACAATTCCATTCTTAATAGGATATCATGGGCCATTTTCCACAGCTATGTGAAATTACCACAAGGTACAGTAACCTAGAATCCACAAGTTTAAGATCACTGGATCAGTTTGAGGGAAAAAAAGACACCTATTCTGACCTTTACTGGTTATTTCCCCTGCGTTCCTTGCGGTTGCCGCGATTTTCTGCTGGGCATGGTCATCCTACCCGTGACTACCCGTTGGTAATCCCACCATGAACTTGTGACAGAACTGAAGAACCACCAGAGAGCCATTTCTAAAGATGGTTGTATGATGTTGTATGATGTTGTATGATCTTATATCTGGCTGGTGGTTTGGACCATGGCTTTTATTTTTGCATCTGTTGGGAATTTCATCATCCCAACTGACTTTCATATTTTTCAGAGGGGTTGAAACCACCAACCAGATATGATCTTACATGATCTTATATGTCTATTTTGATATGTTCTTTTCATTACAGTTGAAACACAATGTATAAGGGACATCTACTCGGGTACCCCCAACACAAATAAACACACACACACAGAGCATCATTTGTTTGCGAATTGCATATTCCCTATTTAGCATTCATGTCATGACTTTGCAATTGTCATTTCAATCAATGGGCATTTCACCATAGCCCTTTTTCCAAGCTCAAAGATCGGTCGGAAGACCGGTGAGTCCAACGTGAAGGACTTTGGAAAGAGAGTTAAAAGCGCAGGACCACTTGTCTGACCGTGGAGGACTTTGTGTGTCTAACGCAAGGAGTTTGAGGTGTGGACTAGTACCTGGCTTTTCTGGCCGCAGACGTGTCAGGACTGTCAGTGCTAGTACCCCCGATAATATTACCCGGGTGAACCTGTCGCGAACAGGTTATGAGCCCAACGCGTGGGGACTCTGCTGAAATGATGCTCAGAAGAAGAAGGTCTGAGCCTGATGATGAAGAGTCAAAGAAAGACCAAACAGCGTCAAGCACCCGGGCAAGCGCGAGGAACCAAGGGGCAGAGATGGCTCTAGTGGCAGGGGAAAAGGAAAGGGTTGGAAAGCCTTCACCAAATGGTCCTGTTGGGGAAGATATGAAAACCCCCTTGCCAATAGAAGACTTTCCAGCAGAACCTGTAGGATCCCCTAAGGCCCTAGGACCTAGGAACCTCCAGCCACTGTTCAATGAAGCTCAGCTAAAGAAGGCTGAGGAGCTCAGGTTGAGTGCACCACTTTTGCAGGGCCCAAGCCCCACCGCAGTAAGCCAGTCCACCGGCGGATGGGATGGGGGTTTGGCGGCAGGGAAGGTGGGAATGGGGAAGGAAGCTGACATGTCAGAGGGACCATCAAGGAAGGGTCCGGAAGTCTTGATGATGTCACCAATGGGATATCCCTTAGCACCTCAACATGGTTATGGATACGTGCCACACCACACACAACAAGGAATGTTTGATGAGATGATGTGGCAGTTTCGACAAGAAATGGGACAAATGTCAAAGTCTCTCACCCAGCTTCAAGAAGAAAATTTGAGGTTGAGGATTCAGCTTATGGAAGAACGAGAGACTAGATACACAACACCTCCCGATGTCACTCCTGCTGAAGGTCTCCGTGACAGCGCCCGCCGTCAGAAGGTTTCAGGAAAGAAGCCCAAGTCCAAAGGTGTAGAAGCCAAGAAGGAAGACTTTGAAGCTTCGAAGCCAAAGGGGGATGCAAGTCGAGGAGAACAGGAGGCTGAGACCCCCAAAGCAGAGGAGGAAGTGATTGGAAAGAAGCTTGAAGAAGTTTCTAAGGAGGATGGTCCAGCTGGACAGCAAGAGTCCAGTGAGGAGAGTCAATTGATTCAAGAAGAGGAGTCGGAAGATTCAGTGAATGTGAAAGATCACAAAGGAAGATCAAAAAAGGAGGACACCACAGTGGACGTGATGCTCAAGTTGATGCAAGGGATGCAATCGCTGCAAAAACAGCTCTTGGATCGAGAGACGATCGGGGGCCGACGGCTAACAGAGGACGATGAAGAGGAGCATGTGAGGAGCAGTGTAGAGCTGCACAAACTGCCGGAGTGGACAGCTGAGAATGCCCCGGTGGACTTACAGGACTGGTTGCTTCTCATCCATGCACAGATGTCGGATCTCACTACCAGCAGTTCAGATGGTGGGATCTAGTGGTTGAGACTGCGAAGGACTGGTACCACAAACACCAAGCCATGAAGCCCATCGACAAGCTGAAGCATGAAGTCAGGGCACCACCGCAACTACAGCAGAAGAAATGGAGAAGGTTGGAGAAGAGAGGAAGCAGTTTGCTTCTTCAGGCCTTGCCCAGTAGTCAGCGTGATGACATTGTGGCAGGGAAAGACCTTTCAGTGTTGGCGATTTTGGCAAAACTCCTCAACAACTACCAGCCTGGTGGTTCCCATGAAAAAGCAGCAGTGCTGGCCGCTTTGGAGCTGCCGGCAGAAGCGGTGGGGATCGGCGAGGGCATCCTGGGACTACGTCGTTGGTTGAGATGGAAGAAAAGGGCAGAAGACATGGGCCTTCAGTTGCCCGATCCATCGGTCCTTTTGAGGGGCCTGGACCGGCTGGTCTCCAAGATTTTGGCTGGCAATCCAACCTTGCAGTTTCGCATTAACCTGACGAGGACAACACTGATGGTGGATTCTGTGCCCACTATGTCTTCCATTGACCAGTTGGCCGAATGCTTACTGGCTGAGATGGACCAGGTCTCCTATGCCAAAAAGAAGGAAAAGGCAGCCATCGCAGGAGTTCCTAAAGCTCGGAAGATGGAGGAGGCAGGAAAAAGAAGCGAAGTGCCTCAAGCCAAGAAGGGCGATGAGGGTAAGAAGGAGATGCCAAAGTGTAAGTACTTCCTGACGGAGAATGGATGCCGTCGAGGAAAAGCTTGCAGATGGGATCACAACCAGAAGGATGACCAGCGTCGCTGCTGGAATTGCGGGTCCACAAAGCACTTCTCCAACAAATGTCCAGTGAGTGAGGGCCAAGGAGAAGTCAAAGTGGCCAAAGCCGAAAAAGATGGCGAAGCCAGAAAGAAGAAGAATGATGAGGAGGACAATCAGTCCGACCGAGCAGTTGCTGGAGCGGACGATATGAAGAGTCTACTGGAAGAAGCTGGAAAGATGCTAAAGGTGATTCCAGGAGCTTCGCAGGAAAGCTCATCGGTTGAGGAGACCGGTGATGCCAAAATCAGGAGACTTCAAAGACAGCTGGATGATCTTCGAGCTTCTTCGGTGAGAGTGCTGCGATTGGCCAGGGTCCAAGCAGCTGTGGAAGATTTGGGACTCCTTGACAGCGGAGCTACCCATCCTCTTCGACCTCCAAAGAAAGATGAGGATCTGTCCAAATGTCAAAAGGTGAGGATCAATCTGGCCGGAGGAAAACAAACAATGATGATGCTTTCAGAAGGTGGTGCCATCATAGGCTCTGAGGATGTGGAGCCCATCGTGCCACTGGGAGCGTTGGTGGAGAACTTGGGTTGCTCTTTGCAATGGACCGAAGGCCATATGGTCCTGTATCACCCCTTCAAGGGGCAGATTAGCACCCAGCTCAAAGAAGGTTGCCCGATGATCAACAAGTCTGATGCTTTGGAGTTGATCGAGGAGTTGGAAAAGAAGGCACCCGAGCTGAGGAGTGTAGAAGGATCCGCAGCTGAAGCCTACATGCACTGGATGAAGCGCTTGGTAGAAGAACACCCAGCACTTCAAGGAGTTCCAAAAAGAATCACAGAAAGGTTGGTGATCAGCCCTAAGGAAGGACATATCACCGGAAACCGAAGCCGAAGAAAGCTATGGAAGAAAGAAGGAGGTGTGACGTTGTACCTCTACTCAGGACCCAATGAAGGGTATACTATGGCCAAGGCCATTCAGCTCCTCGGAGGAGAGAAAAGAAAGGTCATAGCGGTGGACATCAAGAACGGAGCCAAATGGGATATGATGGAGGATGACCTCTATGCTGAGCTCATGGACATGGTCATCAAGGGCCAAGTGGAGTCCTTGGTGATGTCTCCAAATTGTCGCACTCGCTCAAAGCTCCGACACTATGAAGTTGAAGGAGTTGATCTTCCTGGACCGGTCCGAGAGTGGAACGGTGGAGAATGGGGAAAGAAGGGCATCGGAGAAAGAGAGGAGAAGAAGTGCCATGAGGATGATGTGATGCTCTTCAGAGGACTCATGCTCTACATGGTTGCCCAGGAGATCAGGAAAGCATCCCGCCACACCAAAGACATCGACCTTGTCTTTGAGCACCCCAGCACCCCGGCAAACATGCCACAGGTGGTATCGTTCTGGTCCACCCCCCAATGGCAAGCACTCAAGCAAGCATACGGCCTGTGGGAGATCCACTTAGACCAAGGGAAGCTTGGAGGAGGAGGGGTCAAACCCACAACGTTGGGCGGCAACTTGCGCATGCAAGTACCCAGCGTGGTCGTACCAGCACCACAACCTCGATGCACACATGGCAAAACAAAAGAGCAGATAGTGCAGGAATCCCAAAGCCTTTCCAGATGGGTCCCTCTGCTTACCGACATGGTAGCATGCGCCCTGCTGGAGTCCCAAGGGATCACCCCGAAGTTGAGATCCTGGAGGACACATGTCCAACGATGCCACCAGCCTTTCAGAAAAGACTGCAAGGTATGTCAAGAGCCTGCCGCAAGAGCGAGACCTCACCGGCGTCAAAAACTTCCCCCAAGAGCTGGCGTTCTTTCGGTCGACATCGCCGGGCCACTCACCAAAGCTCCAGACCTGGGCAAAGACCATGCTCGTTTTGTCCTGGTCGCGGCGTTCACCTGGCCTACAGGCCTGAAGGGTGACGACTTAGAAGAGTTGCCCGAGGAGGATGATGAGGATGATTTCCCAGGCTGGGAAGAAAATGAGGAGAAACCAAAAGAAGAGATAGGGTCCCAAAAGCCAGGAGCCAAGAAGCGAGGCAGGCCACGGAAGAAAGACCCTGAGGAGGAGTTTGAGGAGCTGCTGAGAAGAGAGCAGGAAGAACAGAAGCAGAAACGGCAGAAGGAAAAGGAGGCTGCAGAACCCCCAGGAACTGAGGAGCCCTTAAAGGAGGCCGCAGAACCCCCAGGAGTTGAGGAGCCCTTGAAGGAGGCTGCAGACCCCCAGAAGAAAGATGATGATGAAAAGGAAGGGGACTATATGACCCGGGTGGCGCCCGATGTTGAATATGAGCCCACTGAACCGGGCGAAGACCCTTTCCCACAGGTGCCAGCACCAGATGTCCCTGAAGAGCAACAGGCACAAATACAAGTGCACCGTTTGGCATTCCCCTTGCCAGACAAGAGAGGCATCACGATCTTGAATGCCCTGATCGATGCCTACCTCACCTTGAGGAGTGAAGGCATGTTTGTCAATCAGCTCCACTCCGATTTAGGAGGTGAGTTCACTGGAGCGTACATCGAAAAGTGGTGCAAGGAAAGATGCATCCTCACAACAACAACCCCAGGGGTATCCCCTCAAACCAACGGCCGAGCAGAAAGGGCCGTACAAGCAATGAAGACAGAGACGAAGAAAATCCTGCGTGGCGCGCAGGTGGGTATCGAATGGTGGCCGATTGCTGTTCGATATCTCAATGAAGTATGGAAGAGAAACCAGAGGCCACCACCATTCATGTCCAAAGTGCTGATCAGAAGAAGGTATTGGCGCACAAAGGACATGGAACCCAACAACGAAGAGGTTCACTACCTCGCCCCATCCTGGCGGAACTATGGGCATTGGGTACTTCGCTCAGACAACACACAAACCTTGACAAGGGCTGTCATCACCAACACCGTGGAGCCAGTCACTGAGGACACGTGGATTGCCTTAGAAGACAATCTGACTCCCTTGGATCTTCGAAGGAGAATTCGAGGAAAAGCCATGATCAGAAAGGTACAAGAGGAGAAAGATGAAGAAAGCAGGCAAGACAGGCTGAAGCGGGAAAAGGTGATACAGGAAGAGGCAGAACATGCCTTCTATGATGATGAAGAGGTTGTTGAGGCCGTACTCAGGGGGGTGAAAGCCATGCAAGAGATGGATCAAGAGGATGAAGGAGAAGTGCTCCAAACGAAAATTGTGGGCACTGCCGAGGTGGTCAAAAAGAAAGACCTTTGGCATCAGGCCATTTCCAATGAGATCAATTCACTCTTCTCAGAAAAGAAAGCGTTGAAGCTTTTGACGAAAGAGGAGAGCGACAAGTATCTCAAAGAAAGAGGAGCGATTCCACTACCTTCCAAGACCGTATTTACGGTGAAGCCAGACCCGGCTGAGCGTCGGGGAAAGCGAAAATGCCGCATAGTCGCATGTGGCAACTATGAGACTGTGGGTGGAGATGAAAACTGTTTTGCGGCAGGGGCAGATGCTGCTGCCCTTAGGCTGGCGCTTGCTCTGGCCACAGTTCGCAAATGGTGCGGAATCAATGTGGACATTCGCACCGCCTTTTTGAACGCTCCCTGGAAACATGAAAAGGGGGGTGAAGATTGGTTTTTTGAAGAAGAAGGCGAAGAAGCTCCGCTGCCAATGCTTCTTAGGCCACCACCAATTTTGGTCAAACTTGGCTACTTTCCTCCCTATCAGCTCTGGGAGGTTTTGCGGGCTCTTTATGGCTTCCGGAGGTCTCCGAAACTCTGGAAGGATTACAGAGATGAGGAGATGGAAAAGATGAGAGTTGGAAAGATGAGGCTGCATCAGCTTGAATCAGAGCCGAGCACATGGGCCATCCGCCAAGAAGAGACTGGCGAATTGCAAGGGCTCATGCTCACCTATGTCGATGACATTTTGGTCCTTGCCTCAGAGGAGACTGCAGAAGCTTGGATCAGCTGCATCCAATCCAAGTGGGAAACCTCCGTCCCTGAGAAGGTGGGCTGTCAGCAAACCACCCGGTTTTTGGGTATGGAGTTGTCTCGAGATCAAAATGGAGTGTGGTGCGCCACTCAACACTCCTACACTTTGGATCTCTTGCAGAAGAACATGGGGATGGACAGAGAGAAGTGGGGATTGAAGAAGATTCCCATGTCAAAAGAGGATGGAAGTTTGGATAGTGATGGTGAGGATGATGCAGAAAAGACAGTAGAAAAGGTTCGAGAAGCACAGAGAATTGTAGGTGAGCTGACCTGGCTGGTGACCAGGTGTCGCCCCGACATCATGTATGTCATGTCCAGAATTTCCAGATGGACCACCAGACGACCTTCCAAGGTCATCGCTGCAGCGCCTCAAATCTGGAAATACCTCGCGAATTCCATCCAAGAAGGGATTCGCTTTGGAGGAAACGAAGATGGTTGCCTAGACCTCCTGGTCTACACCGACGCGGCCTATGGAAATGAAGGCCACGGATGTTCAGTGGTGATGTGGCTGGGAGCTCCAATTTTGTGGCGAAGCTCGCGCCAACAACTTCAAACCGCCTCTACGGCAGAGTCGGAGCTGTTGGAGATTTTGGAAGGAGGAGTTTTGGCAGAGGCAGTCCGAGTAGTGGTGGAAGAAATTTTGGAAAAGGCAGTGCGATGTTGGCAGTACTCGGATTCTGCCTCAGCCATCGCCATAGTTGGAGGCGACAGTGCGTCCTGGAGGACGCGCCACTTGAGAAAGAGGGCTCGCTACATGAGATGGCGGGTGCTGAGTGGAGATGTCATCCTCCGACACACTCCAGGCAACGGCATGATCGCCGACCTGGGCACCAAAGCTTTGGCGGCATTGAAGTTGGAGGAGCTGAAGAAAGCCATGGGCATGACAGATAGAAAGATCAAAACAGAAAAAGAAAAGGAAGATCTCGGTGTGGTGAGAGGGCCTACCGAAGAAAAAGAAGAGAATGGCATGGTGAGAGAGCCGGCCATAGAGACGAAAGAAGCGAAAGGAGGGATAAAGTCCCCAAAAGATATGGTCAGGATGGCGATGATCATGGCCATGCTCAGCCGAGCGAGGGCCGAAGATGAAGATGGAGATGCAGGAGAGGAATCATCCATCTTCTTTGACATGATGATGGTATATACAATAGTGGTGGTGTTGGTCACGTTGGCCATTCAAAGCGGCTGGCAGCGACGACTGCTCAGGGCTGAGACGGCTGTGGGATCAGATCGATCCCGCGGCGAACTCGCTCAACGGAGTGCCAGGACATCGGGTCTGATGACCGATGGTCCAACCTCCGTCCCGGGTGAGACGGTTCTGGGATTCGGTGGAGGAGACCAATCTCGGGACGAACTCCCCAGGCGAAGCGGCCAACCATCTGGGAGTGCCAGGACGTCGGGTCTAGCGTCACAGACCGATTGTCCAACCTCCCCGCCGGGTGAGACGGTTCTGGGATTTGGTGGAGGAGACCAATCTCGGGACGAACTCCCCAGGCGAAGTGGCCCACCACTAAAAGAAGAAAAGGAAGAAACACCAAAGGCTGTAAAAAGAGCCAAAAGTATGGGCCAGTCTTCTGCGTCCAAACAGGACGGACAGAAGAACACTTATGGCCAACCAGCTTCAAAACTGGAAGCTCCGCTACCAGAAGATCAAACAGCCTCTGCAGGAATCCAAGAACCAGCGATTCCCAAGGCGGCAGCAGAAAAGAAAGAAGTTGCTCCGCCACCAAAAGTTTTGCAATCAAAGTCAAAAGGAAAGAAAGGTGATGAAAAGAAGCCAAATGAAACGACCTCAACAGGGATGACGCAGATCAGAACCAACCATGCTGCAGCCGAGCCAAAAGTTGCAGCTTCCTCATCCACTGGCACTGGTGCTCAGATCCCTGCGGATCCATCTTCCAGTGCTGACCCATCGATTGACCTGTACTTTACAGGCCTTGGAAAGAAATATCACTTCCGAAAGGATTGCTATGGGTTGAGAAATTCACAGATGGTGCGACACACCGATATCTGTGAGCAGTGTGTTCCTCAACTTCGCGGATGGCATCCTCGAGGGAGAGACATGTATGGAGCTGGATTGAATGGACCCCAGCACACCGATGTGACTCACTGCGAAAAAATGCATGGATATTCCATTGCGTATCAGCCGTGTAATTGGTGTGCGAGGCCAAATGAAAGCGAAAAGTGAAAAAAGGTGCGATGACATGCAAAGTGAAAAATTTTGGAAAAGAAGAGCGGAAAAAGAACATCTGAGAGAGGGCTTGAGCTTTGAATGTAACACTGTCGTGTAGATGGTGTGAGATATATTTTGCTTTTTTCGTGTGACTGTGCCTCTAGCGAAACACAGTCAGGGGGTGTGCGAATTGCATATTCCCTATTTAGCATTCATGTCATGACTTTGCAATTGTCATTTCAATCAATGGGCATTTCACCATAGCCCTTTTTCCAAGCTCAAAGATCGGTCGGAAGACCGGTGAGTCCAACGTGAAGGACTTTGGAAAGAGAGTTAAAAGCGCAGGACCACTTGTCTGACCGTGGAGGACTTTGTGTGTCTAACGCAAGGAGTTTGAGGTGTGGACTAGTACCTGGCTTTTCTGGCCGCAGACGTGTCAGGACTGTCAGTGCTAGTACCCCCGATAATATTACCCGGGTGAACCTGTCGCGAACAGAAACCACCAACCAGATATGATCTTACATGATCTTATATGTCTATTTTGATATGTTCTTTTCATTACAGTTGAAACACAATGTATAAGGGACATCTACTCGGGTACCCCCAACACAAATAAACACACACACACAGAGCATCATTTGTTTCAATTCTGTACGTTTTTCTTCATTTTTCATGCCTTACTTTTTTTTTGGCCTTGCGTTTTCCCTATGTCGCCAGGCGTTGAAGCTGATGAACCCCGAGAATTGCGTGCGTTGGCGCTACGAAGAGGAGATGTTGGCAGTCGATTGGTGATCTCGGCCATCCTTTTTTTGGGTTGAGATGTCCCATGGTTCTTTTAGATCTTTCACCAATTCCGATTACCATTACTAACCATTACTAATTACTAACCAAATTATTAACCATTACTAACCATTATTCAATGGAAAAACACGTCGATATTTCAATGAAAAGAGGCTGGACTGCGGAAATCCAGATTGATGGGTTTGTCCCATCGATTGGGCGGTCAGACCCCATTGTCAGACACAGCCAAATACCTGATTGTTGAGCATTGTAACATTTTATAACATATTATAACTAGAACTATCCAGAATTATCCCATCATTATTATTCCACTAATATTCCACTAATATCCCATTCATATATCCCATTCATGAATCCCATCAATCCGGGGGGACACCGCCATCTCGCAGGATGACGTGGGGAATCGCACCTTGGACGATGGCGGCAAAGAGGTCTGCGAGTCCAACACGCGTCTGGTGGAGTGGGAAGAAGGGTCACGGGCCCAGACATGAACGAACTCTGACGGATGTACCGTGAAAGATCGGGGAATAGCATGCCATGACGCGCCTTGATGCCATAGCACAGTGAAACATCAAAACTGATCAAAACTGATCAAACTGATCTTGAGATGTTCCAGGATGGTTTTTTCGCCCCAGGTCATGGAGCCTCTTTGTTGGCGGCGAAGCCTTTCAGATCCAGCAGATGAGCGACAGGAGTGCCTTCACGAATCCCATGGGTTTCCCATCGCCGTCCATGTCGATGTCGTGCATTTTCTCGTGGCAGGACACCCATCTTCGAAGAGAACAGCAAAGACGTCTTCGTTTGTCATGGGAGTATCACTCAGAAGCTCCTGGACGTCTTTGTTATCTCGGACATGGAAGCTGGTCGTTTGGGAGATGAGAATTCCCAATGTATGTTAATCCATAAATAAGCCAATGCTTTTTTTTATCACCTCGAAATATCCAAGCAGGGACCTCTTAAGATTCAACGCCACAGTCATTCATATCAACCTTTCTCCTCACCGTGACCATTCTGTCCCTGGGATCATGATCCCTAGAACGTCACTCACGTTCTACATCGGATCAAAAACATCAACGGAACATGTGATGATGAACCAACTATAACTAAATATAACTAAATATAACTAAATATTATTATAAAATATTATAAATATAAGTTAATATATATAACTAGTAATTAACTATAAATTAACCATGAGATTTTTCGGTTTTCCCGGTGATTTTCCAACAAATCCGTTCCCCCAAAAAGGGAAAAAAACCCATGGTGAAACCTCGGTGGTTGCTGAGGTTTCAGGCGATGCCCAAATCCATGGACTCGGCATCGCACGAGATGTCGGGTCTTCAGCACGCCAAAAAACGCAATTTCAAGCCTATCTTACATAGTGTTATAGTATATTATAGTATATTATAGTATCTTATAATAGATTAATGTATATTATTTATAATTATATATATATATATCTATACACATGGAATGATGAACCCCTTGTGATGAGGACCTTTCCAAGGGGATCAGCTGAGCTGAGCTTCGCGAAGTTCTGAGACTCCGAGGCTCAAGAAGTCTCAGTACCGAAAGTACGAACCCGTGCGCCGCTCGCTGCTGATGACCGTGGGGAATCTCAGCCCCAAGTCGTCCCATGCTTCGACCGTCATCTTTCCGGGAACAAAACGTTCAAAAAAACGGCAATTTTTGCGGTGTGCCCCTTTGGACACACTCATTTGATCGATGGTTTCATAATGTTTCATATATTTTTCCAATGTTATATCCTCGAGCTGGAATGAATGATGATCCCAACTGACTTTCACGGACTTTTGAGATGGGTGGCTGAGCACCAGTTCTTATCCAGGCATTTGAGGCCGAGTCTCCTAGAATAGACCTAGCTGCTCGAAGCAACCAATCCGTGCAAAACGTTTAGCATCTGCGCCATTTCTTAACCAAAAAAGCCAAAAGTGTTAATCAATTTGTCGTGACTTATCGAGATGTTGAATCTACTGTAATCTCCTTTTAGAATCTGTTGGAATAGCTATTAAAGCTCTCTTTTTAAAACCGGACCTGTGGATGTGATTTTTTTGCACTGAGGAAGCGGACACTATGGATGCCAAGTTCTGATCTTAATTGGATGGGAACCACCCAAAGATACCGTAGCTGACATTGGGGCTGACAGAAACCGCAATAAGATGGTGTAATGTATAAGGGTGATATATATATATATATATACACTGTATATATACATATGGCAATATACATAGATAATCACAGATATACGGCAAACAAAAACCAACCATTAAATGTGGATCCTTCTTACGATTCAAACAGCATTTTTCGCCTGGAAATGTCTGGGGCCGGGGTTTTCATGCTCTGAGGCAAGCATTAGAAATCCAAGCCAATGAACGAAAGGCTCGAGCAAAGAAGTTCGGGACCTCGGCTGGGTCAGAGATCTGGATGTTTTTGGGATTCACTCTCGAGTGTGTGACATCATCCTGGATGTGTACTTAATCATCCATACTTAACCCAGAATTGCGAATTCCTATTGATTCTGCACTTTGAACACTTTGAATTCTGCAGAATTCTGCGAAACCATCCGTAGTTTTGATCCACACAGGCGGCCGGCGGTGGAAGGAGGTCCAATGACAGTTGGGATCCCGGCAGATGGGCGAACAAATTGCGGAGACCATGAAGAACTCACCTTTCACAAATAGAGAACAACAAACCATCATATACCCATTAAAATCATAAAATGTATATGGATTATATGGATTATATATGGATAACATTGGATAACATTGGATAAATATAATAACATTTAATGATGGTTGGTATAAGGTGTCGGCTCGAGAGCCTTCCAGCTGGTGCACCTGTTTCGACCGAAGTCTCGAGATGGTTGTGTAATCGTGTGTTGCAATGGAGTTGGAACAACCTTTGCTTTCTGTCCCTGATGGACAGTTGGTTGATGTGGTGGTGATGCCAAATTTTTGCTCTCCTGGTTTTACTGTGATTACCTCATGCATCCACAAAACGGTTGCTTTCACTGACATTAGACTCCCCAAGGGAAACAAAGTGTCATTGTTGGGGATCATGAAGAGAACAATTGGAGGTAGATTGTGGCTTGTCAAAACAGATGAAACTGTGGTCATTGAACATCGCTCGATTGATGTGGACAAACTTCAGCAGAACACCGAACTTTGTGCTGGAATCGGAGCAGCCACTTTGGGATTCGAAGCATGTGGAGTCAAAACAACAAGTTTCAATGAACAGAACCCAGTTTTTGCTAGCTGGTTGGAAAAGAAAGGAAATAAAGTCATTGCAGGCGATGTAGCTGACCCGAAAGTTGTTGCGAAGTTGGCCTCAGTTTCTGGGGGTATCATTTCTGCAGGGGTGTCCTGTCAACCGTGGAGTGCCTTGGGTGATCAAAGAGCTTTTCAGGATGAGCGCAGCCGTTCATTGCCTGGAACATTGAGAATCATCCATCTTTTGCAGATTCCGCTTGCAGTACTTGAGTGTACACCAGCTGTTTTTCAATCTGAAGAGGCACAGTGTCTTTTCCGACAATTTGAAGCTCAGACTGGAATGGTTATCCACCAAAAGATTTTGAACCTCCATTCGTTTTGGCCAGCTCGTAGGCAGAGATGGTGGGCCACAGTGTCTCATCATGCGCTGAAGATTCAACCGATTCCTGAGATTCCTCCTCTTGCGTTTCAGCCCAGCTTGCTTCATCTCATGCCCAAGTTCATGAATGTTCAGGGGGTAGAATTGGATGCACTTCGACTTGATGATCATGAAATGGAAAATTTCCTCTCTACTAAAAGGGGCATGTTCGAACACCAAGTTGATAATTTCAAGGCCCTTCCAACAGCCACGCATAGTTGGGGATCACAACTTAGGGGGTGTGAATGTGGATGTAGAAAATGGGGTTTCAGTCAACAGAGAATAGAAGACAAGGGATTGTATGCTCAGTTGCTCCCGTTAGAAGAGAAATACCTCACTGAACCTGAAATTCCAAGAATGAGACATCTGCACGCCAGTGAAGTAGCGTTGGCAAACGGCCTCCATCCATACTTCGAAGGTTTTCAGGGGATGTCACCTCGCCTTGCTCTTGCAGCAGTTGGCCAAATGGCTACTCCGTTCCAAAGTGCTTGGGTCATGTCAAATGTGATGTGGAATTTGAAACATGCTGGATTCCCATGTGATTTGGTAGAGAGCCCCCTGTTGGTCGTGAAGAAACTCGCAGGTGAATTGTTCTTGGCTAGAGATCGCCTTCTCAACATCTCCAAGAAAACAGAATTGATGATGAGATTTGAATTGGCAATTGAACTTTGGGGTAGGTCAGATGCAAATGAAATCCTTCTCAATTTCACCATGCCAAGTGACGGAAATTTCATTGATCAAGCATGTGCTCCGCTACCAACAGCACTAGGCAAAGCTGACCAAAGACTCAATTCCCAACAGGGTACCCAAGATCGAACAAGTTCGAATGCTCCCCATGACCGCAGCCATTTGCCGAACACGCATGGTGCCAAGAATCTTGCATTCCTGCATCCGAACCCAATGCCGCATCCGGTAGGCCATAGCATCCGTTCCGACAGGGTTGATGCCTCCGATGGGGTCACTGTACAAAGCCAAATCATGCCGAGTGTATCTTTAGGTCCACTTAGGGTCAATGAGGGCCTTCGGAATGCAAATTCCCATGATCAAACGAGGTTGAGTGCAGATCATGACCTCATCCATTTGCCCGACATGCAGGGTGCAAAGATCCCTACTGTCGAACATCCGAATCCGCCGCTGGTGCAGCCAATTGGTCAAAGCAGCATCCGTTCCGGTAGGGTTGATGCCACTGGTGAAGTCACTGCCCAAAGCCAAGTCTTGACGTGTATGTCTCATGCAGATCCACGTAAGAGAGATGAAAGCACTCTGAATGCAGCAGATGCCAGTGGAGTTCCAAGTGTCCAGCAGCCGCATTGGATAAGTGAGGTCCCAAAAGCAGGTCCACAGAGCCTGCAAGCAGCCTATGACCGCAGCCATTTATCCAGTGTGCCAGGACATGCAAATCACCTCAAGCAGCAGCCATATCCAAACATGAATCCAAAAAGCCCGAACACCATTCCCCAGCTCAGTGATGCCTTTGCCACAGAATATGCAGAAGCCGGTGTACATAGCCAAGCTGCATGGAAAGCATTCCCGGCTAGAGATGCATTCGATGCCAATGGATCCCATGGTCTCCAACCATCACATGGACCAACCGAGTCCAAGGTTGACCAAGTAAACCAGAATGCAGACCATGTCCGCAGCCATTTGCCCAATCCCCCAGCAAGTCATGCATTGGATCCGAAGCAGTCATTCATGAAACCAACATGTGCCAAAAACAGCCACGGTAAAATGTGTGACGTCATCTTCACAGATCATGCCAAAGACATCGCACAAGTTGCTCCAACTGCACCAGGTACAGGTCAGAACAATGCAGGAGAGAACACACTTGCTTGTAGGTACATGCCTGATGCCAATGGAGCCAATGGAATCCAACAGCCAGAAAGGCCAATCCATGCCTGCTCGGGAGGTAGCCGTCATGTTGATCCATCCAAGATGCCAAGAAATCATTGCGGAATGGGGACCAGTGTGCAGCCAATCCCAGATGTCACAGTACGAAGTCGCCTGGAAGACTTAGAAGCCAAGAACCTCCTTCATGAGAAACCCCCCCATCTAGGATATGCCATGCCCCTTCCACGCTTAGGGTGTGGGGGCCCCACCCAGGAAGGTATCCCCCGATATGATGGAACTCATGTACATCATCTGGGGTTGCCACATGGAGTTGATGCCAACGATGATTGCCCTGATCAAATGAACGGTGCCCTGACCGGTGATGCATCCAGCGGGTATACCAACAGTGGTGTTGTTGGCCCGACCAATTCCTCAGGAACAGGTCAATGCCGACCTGAAGAGACGGACGTCGCCTTGCAGGAGAAGAGACCTTATGACACCCTCCCAACCCCAGCTTGTGCCATGCCCCTTCCACGCTTAGGGTGTGGGGGCCCCACCCCGGCAGTTTTGGGTCAGCAAGATATCAGCCAACAATTGACCAGAATGCCACGATGCCTGAATGGACTCACCCACACCACCAATCATGCCAAGATGAATGGTAACCATGCGAAGCAGATCGAGCCTCAGATCTTGACCAATGATGAAGCCACACAATCCGAACATCCTCTCCCACCCCCCCGAATGCAATGCCCCTTCCACGCTTAGGGTGTGGGGGCCCCACCCATCCAGCTCAACAGGGCAAGCTTGGGAAGGAAGAAGAAAGCACCAGCAATGGAGACTCCAACCCACCAAAACATGCGCTCAAAGGTATGCATGCTGTACAAGAGTTGCCAATCCCGCGCCCATCGAGCAAATTCCGTCATGCTCCACTCATCCATCAGGAAAGGCCCCTTCCACGTCCAGGGTGTGGGGGTCCTTCCGTAGCGAGTCATGCCAAAGTAGATCCACAGGCCCGGCCCAAGATGGTTCACACTCAATATGCAGATCAGTCCAACCAGAAGTTGAAACATGAATCACCGACCTACGCAAGTAATCACCAAGTGGATGGACAAGCTTGCGCAATGCAAGAGCCTAAAATCCCCAATGCAGAATCCGGCCTAGAGGTTTTACCCCTCTCACGTCCTGAAAGTGAGGGTCCAACACTTGACATCGAAGAGGAAAAGCAGGACCGGGATGTGACACACATGGCCACCGAACTTGACATTCAGAATGACCAGCTTGAAGAAGAGATCACTCAAGGCATGCTGTCAGTATGTAGAGCTGTGGAAGCCCACTCAGCTGCTTTCCAGAGGGGATGTGTACCTGGCTTCAGCACAGGAATCAAACGTGAGTCCCACAACCCTGACCATGCAGCCAAGCGGCCTAGGATCGAAAAAGCATGTGCCACTGGTGATGTTCATGATGAGGCGCCAGCACAGGCACAATCATGCGTAGATCTAGAAGATGCCCAGCACATCGCATGTCAGACCGATGATGACCAATCAGGTGAACATCCAGAAATAATCGAAATTTTCTTGATCATTGCAGGACATGTCCCCAGAACTGTCCAAATCCCGTGGGGTCAAACAGCCGGACAACTGCTTGTTGCACATGCCAAAGAAACCAACCAAGCAGAAACTGACTTGGCGATCAACACAGCCACAGCTACACAGATTCCACTGTCACAGGTGTTGGCACCAGGCTCAGTAGTCGTCATCGACCATATCCAGAACATTTCCAGGGAAGGATGTCAAGCACACTTGCCAAAGGAAACAAAGAAGTATCCGTGCCTTGGAGAAGGAACAAGGGAACAGTTGCTTTGGAAACAAAAGGGTTGGGTTGCCATGGATGAAATGGGGTTCTATACACAAATGCTCACAAATAGCTATCCAGGGAAGTTCTGTGAACCACGCTCAGTTGGGACAGATGACGTACGCATGCTCACTCAGATTGTCATTGACATCATCAACTTAGTGATGACAACACACACCCATGTAGCTTGTGTTCCAATATTGGTTGATGGACATTGGATCCCAATTGGTGCCATGCCATATCATGACAAAGCTGCTGTGTGGACTACTCGCCATCAGGGAGCATGTATCCGAGAGGCTTTCCACAAAACAGTGGGTGACCCGCCGTTTGACATTTTCGAGTGTGCATTTCCACAGAGGTTCCAAGCAGATTGTGGCTTCCAAACAGTAGGATGGTTCATTTCTCTTGCAAGCCTTGACCAAGAATTTCGAGCAGTCCATGATCAGCAAGCAGCACACTGGAGAATGCTTTTTCATCAACACTTGATTGCAGCCAACATGCATGATGTGATCATCCGTGAACCCATTCCTTTGGGAGGAACCAATGCCACCATTGAAGAGTTGATCAAGCTGATCACCACTCACGGCGTCGCCCCCCATAGGAGTCTTGAATGCGCAGACATGATCATGTCCAATTTGGGGGCAAGCACTGTCCAGAGAATCCTCAAATCCCCAAAGCCATGGGCGGACCTCAAGGCCAGAACCAGCCTGTGTAAACCATCAATTAGGATAGTACTTCCTGAAGAATTGCAGACCATGCTGAAAGACAAAGCCATGAGTAATCAACCGGTGGGAAGGAAAAACAACAAACTAAAAAATGCCAAGCCCGGCACAGCCGACATCCGACTCAGAGCCGACCAGATCCTGGTACCCCAAGCCGTCTTCAAGCAGCAAGATGGAGCGGAGTTGGGACAACTCACACCGTGCCAGATCAATGCATCCGCCAAAGGAATTCTGGTCGTCAATTACGACGATGCGCATCCCTATTTTGCTATCCAACAAGCCATGACCACTGAAGGATTGGGGCTTTTGGTTCTAGACCACCATGATCCACGACTGCCACAGAACCACACAGTTGTGAGGGTCCCTGCACTATGTAAGGCAACTGCAGAACCTCTCATTGCCACAGCTGCCCTTTTCCAGCTGGGCCAGAAAACGGTACTCCGAAATTTGCCAGAGGAATGCATCGAGGTACAAGAAACCCCATATGCAGTGATCAGGATCGCGGTGTACAGGGATCAAACATCCATGCCGTGGGACGCAGTCACCGCTGGTCCAGTCAAGCAAATCCTCCAGCAGCCTAGCATGCAAAGTTTGCCACAGAATGCCATCCTCGATGTATGGGATCGCCAGTTCCTTGATGAACGTCTCAAGAAGACAGATCCAGCCAAAGCCGCCATGGTCATGGTGAACATCCGATTGGACCACAAATACCTTGATGAGGTACTCACAAACAGCGGGTCCTCTGGATGCTACATGGAACAACGGACATCCGATGGGAGAGCTCCTCACCCAGACTTTCAAGTAGTCTGGTTGCCTAAGAAGTCATTTGCCGAAGCCACAGTTGCGCAGCAGTCAAACAAAGTCCCATGTAAGTTAGCTCGTTCAGGCAACAGGTATGGTCTCAGAGTGGCCAAATCCCATGCAGAGCAGACTCACATGGCACACCGACCGGATGTGGTCTATCTGCAAGGCAATGACCTTCTCCGATTCAAAGTAGGTCCATTACCATATGGCAGCAACAAAACAAGCATCGCAACTCTCTTCCGAAAGTGGAAGTGGCAAGCACGACCACTGGGGCCAATTGGACCTACACGAGACAAATCCGGAATCATGTGGCAAGTCCAAAGCACAACAAGCCCTGAAAATTGGATATACCAAGCAAGCCATGGTGACATCCTGATCACACCAGACGGACCACAACAGACACAAGCTCCACTCCAACAGGCCATCATTGCATCAGACAAGACACTCCAAAGCCTTGCCAAACATACACCAGCACAGCCTGAACATGTCGACCCGTGGCTCCACGATGATCCGTGGAAGTCCTTGCCAGCGACTGCATCTACAACATTGAATGCCCAGCAATTGGCTGAAATCGAAGACTCGATTGAAAAGAAATTGACCAAGCACCTCCAACAGGATGAAAAAATGGACGTCGATGCTGACCGACGTGTTGCAGACCTTGAGACCAAAGTCACGCAGATTGCACAAGAGCTTTCAGCATTCCAGCACCACCAAAACCAACAACAGCAGACAGTCCAGCATCAAGTTGCCGCCATTGATGCCAAAGTTGACAAACAGCAGCAAGCGATCCATAACTTGCTTGACAACAAGCTTGAAGCTCAGATGGCTCGCATAGAGCAGTTGTTTGCGAAGAGGGCCAAAACAGGCCAGGAATGACTACGAAAGCCTCGAACCGACAGGCCCATTTTGGGCCGCAATTTTGCATGGTGGCTCGTTTTCTTTTTGACCTGGATGTTTAGACTTGGGGAAGCTGCACACCCAGGACCATGGCCTGACACACCAGCAGAAGGCCTGGTAATTGGATGCATGAACCCGACTGGTTTGGTCGGGAAAAGCCACTTGGTCGCTGAACTTCCGACCGGCAGCAGCACCATTTATGCAGTTAGTGAGTCGCACCTATCTGCCCAAGGAAAGAGAAAGTGCGAAACCGAATTGAAGTTTCATAAAGTTGGAATGTCTTTGCATGCAGGAGCTCCAGTTCCAACCCGCTCCAGTACAGTCAGTGCAGTAGGTGGCAAACATCGGGGGGTCGCATTCCTCTCAAGTGTCCCTGGCAGACAGATGACCCCCACCTGGACGATGCAAGAATGGAAGCAAAACAGGTTCCACATAGCAAGCTTTGCAGTTGGACGTAGATGGATTCAAGGAGCTGTTATCTATGGACATGCCGCAGCACCAGACAATGTAGCCACCAAAGAAGCTACAGATCAGATATGCCGCATTGCCACAACGAGGTTGATCGAGCAGAGTTCTGGCCTTAGGTTCATTGCAGGTGATTTCAACCAATCCCACTTGAACCTACCTTCCATGCAATACTGGCAGAACCAGGGTTGGGTGAATGCACAATGGTGGGCTCAAGAACGTTTGGGAAAACCTTTGCAACCAACATGCAAAGGGGTGACCATTAAAGACCACATTTACCTCAGCCCCGAGCTAGCCATGTACTTGGAAGATGTAATAGTAGATCAAACAATCTTCAAAGACCATGCTGTCTTGGCGGTTGCCCTCGCCTCATTGGGATCCCCGCCAAAAGTTCCAATGTGGAAGCAGCCACTGCCGATTGATTGGACAAAAATACCAGAACTTCCTGAAGAACCCGAATGTAGTACCCTTCAAGGATCATCAGAAGCTCAGTATGCATCCATCATGAAGGAATTTGAAGATGTCATTGACCACACCCTGAAGGCCAATAACAGACCTCCGCTCCTGCCACGTCAAAGAGGGAGAGCCAAGACTTTGGAAGTCCACTGGGTCAGTGAATACACAAAACCACCAAGTAAGGGAAGGGAAGGGGAACTGCAGCCAAAATTTCATGGCATTGACCCGTTGCATGCAAAGAAGCTGAGGCAGGTAAGACGAGTGCATAACCTGCTCAAATTAAGGTCGCGCCAGACCCCAAATCCACAGCAGTTGGAGCACGCTTCCTGCCTTTGGGATAGTATCCGCAAGTCGTCAGGATTCCCACCTCACTTTGTGGCATGGTGGAATCACGAACATGGACATGAGGCTGCACTGACAGATGGCATGCCAAGCATGCCCACCCTTCGGATTATATGCGCCCAATTAGAAGAAGACCTTGCCAACCTGGAAAAGGTTCTGACCCGAACACGTGTGGCCATGGCAAAAAGACGTAGAGTAGATGACCCCAATGTCATCTTTAAAGACCTGCAGAAGGAACCCCCAAAACCATGCCAAACACTCCTCAAGCCTTGCCATGCAATCATCACAGCCGTTGATGAACAGGAATCAGCCGTGTTGGTAGACCCGCCGCAGACATGGGATCCATCAGTAGATCTCTTCACCCCTGACTCTAAACTGCAGGTCATCCATGCGGAACCGGATAAAATATGGGTGGAGGATGCCAATGATGAAATGATAGGACAGACTGTCAAGCAAGATCAATACATGGGTCAATTGAATGCTCTTTTCGATGCGTTTGGGACAGAATGGTCTAGGCGATGGGATAAGCACCTCAATGTCCCCGCCGACACATGGGACCCAATAGTTGATTTCGTTCGAGAAGCCTTCCCAATGCAGCCAGAAATGCAGTCGCAACCTATCACATATGAAGTGTGGCGGAGAGCCCTTAAGAAGAAATCCAAACGCGCAGCAGTTGGCCCAGACGGGGTCTCTAGAATGGACCTCCTCCGCTTACCAAAAAGCCTTACCATACAGCTTTTGGAAATCTTTGCCCAAGTGGAAGCCGGACATCCATGGCCAGCCCAACTTCTAGAAGGATTCATCATTGCCCTCGAAAAAGTAGAAGGAGCATGCTCAGTCCAGCAGTATCGCCCGATATGTATCTTTAGTGTCGCATACAGGACGTGGTCAAGCATCAGGGCAAAAGAAGTCATCCATCATCTCTCCAAGCTTGCCCCCAGTGCATGTGCTGGTAGCCTGCCACATAAGTCTGCAGCCGACATTTGGTACACAATCCTTGCTGAAATCGAACTTGCACACCACACCCAAGAGGAGTTGTCGGGAGCAGTACTCGACTTGATCAAATGTTTCAACATGATACCCCGGTTTCCGGTGATGGCCATGATGGAGCATTTTGGTGTGGCCACAGGTACTCTCCGAGCATGGGCCTCAGCACAGACCCAAATGAAGCGGCGTTTCAAATTGCGATCATGCGTGGGCCCGGCCTTGGGCTCGTCAACAGGTTTTCCAGAAGGGTGTGCCCTTAGTGTAACTTCAATGATTGCAGTTAACATCACAGCCCATAGATGGCTCCAATGTAAATATCCCCGCTCCACGTTGTTCTCTTATGTTGATAATCTTGAGCTGCTTAGTCCCCAAGCCAGTGAAGCCTTGCAGAGTCTCCACGCATTGGTGAACTTTACTGAAGTTTTAGATGTTGAAATCGACTTCAAGAAAACATACGTTTGGAGCACCCAAACTACTGGAAGAAAACACTTGCGTACACAACAAGACGAATCCCAGAGTTTCACAATCATGCATTGGGCTCGAGACTTGGGGGGCCACATGTCGTATACAAGACAACACACCAACCGCACCTTGCAAATGAGGTTGGAACAAATGCCAAAACTATGGAACCTCCTCGCCCGTTCTTTAGCTCCGTACCCTCAGAAATTACGGGCGTTGAAGGCAAAAGCATGGCCACTTGCCTTACATGGAGCACCAGCAGTAACTTTGGCAGATAACCACTTTTCCACCTTAAGAACAGGGGCGACTAGAGGTCTCAAAGAACATACCAGCGGCATGAACCCCATGGTCCATCTCAGTGCGGTGGAACACCCCACCCACGATCCCCAATTTTATGTCCTGTTATCCACTGTCCTCACGTTTAGGTCACATGGCCCTGATGAATATGTGCTGGACTATGTGATGGCGTCCAACGCCATGCCAACACAGTTTAAGCAGACCCCCCCTGGGCCATGCCATGTCCTCCTGGTGAGGCTGCACCAGCTTAGTTGGAGCTGGGTCACTCGTGGTGTGTTTTTAGACCATGACCAAATGCCAATTGATGTCCTGCACTGTCCGGTACAGGAACTTAGACAAAGGTTGATAGAAGCATGGCAAATCCGCACTATGGGGATCGCACAAGACAGGAAAACTTTTGGGGGTGCAGCCCACATGCATGCAGGTCTAAGCACAGCAAAGATGCAGTCACATCCTCCGGAAGCCCAGGCAGTGTTACGTGCCGCTCTCAATGGAACATTCTTCACTGCAGATAGACTTGCCAAGCGAGATCCGGAAGCCTCAAGTAAGTGCCGTTTTTGTGGGGCAGAAGATAATCAGGTGCATCGGCATTGGCGCTGTCCTCACTTTGCTGCGTGCCGACGTCACATGACACAGCAACAAATCGAGCACATTTTGGCCATGCCTCCGGTTATCCCAAATCATGGATGGATTCCCACACCACCATCCTTGTTGCCTTTCAGAGAAGCGTGTTTGCACATTCCAGATGAAACTAAGGTTTTCGCTTGGCCAGATGTCTTGGAGGATGAGTTGCATTTCTTTACAGATGGGTCATGCCTGGACCCGACAAGCCAGTTGAGCAAGCTTGCCAGTTGGGGTGTAGTTTTGGGATCAACCACAAGTGATGCGTTTGTACCCATTTCAAACGGCCTACTCAGGGGATGGACTCAGACAGCTGCCCGAGCTGAAATAGTTGCTGCCACCAGCGCATGCGAGTGCGCAATCATCCTTAAGCGCCCATGCTTTCTGTGGGTGGATAACGATCGAGTATATAAGAAGCTGCGCAATTTCAAACATGGAAAGTGTCAGATTGGCCTCAATCAAAAAGATGCGGACCTGTGGGGTAAATTGGCAGATGCCGTAGCTCGACTCGGTTCACTCTTAGTTGCAGTCACCAAGGTGGTCAGTCACCAAAATCCACTAGGTGCACAGGATGAAGCAGAGTCATGGATTTTCCGTGGCAATGCCGCAGCTGACGCATTGGCTGCGTCTGCGTACTCAAGGTTCCCAATGGTCACTAGGAAATGGTCACAGCTCCGTACAGACGTCGCTGCAGTGTGTTTGTTCCGTGAAAGCGTCCATAAAGTCATCATCACGGTGGCCCAGAGGTCGGTCACACAGCCGAAAGAACCAGAAGTTGCAGAACATGCAGATAGACCTAGAATACACCCAGACCAGGTTCAGGAATTCCGTCCAGAGCCGCAGGCCCAAGCACTTCAGTCAAAACGTTTTGCCATTAACCAACAGGACACTATCACCCAATGGTTTTCTTCCATAATAGATCCTGGGGCGCCCATTAAGATGCTTAGCTGGTTTCAGTTGAATATCCTCTTCGAATACCAGACTGGATTGGCAGGGATTAAATACAAGCCTTCGAGCAAACGATACTTTCTCATTGAGGATGATGCCAAGGGGGACTTTGTCAAGAGAACTAACAATTTTTCCCGATGGACTCAAGGTATATATGGACCCCACTGCAAGGTACTGCATTTGAGGCCATTCTCAGCCACAATCCGTTTCTGGACGATGTGCGTGCCGATGCGCATATCCGAAGCTGCGATCGAAACTTGCGAGAGTCTCTTGGGCCAGCACCAAAGGACCTATTTGAAAGTGAAGGACCTTCAACACATTTAGCCTGGTCACTTGTGGTACTCGCCGTCCTCCGCCACCCGCTGAGGCAGCCAGACAAGCCGGAAAAAGTGAGCGGAAAAAGTGATGGTTGGTATAGAGAAGTTACTTCAAGTCTTATAGCCATATACCCTTTACATTGGATTCCCATGGGATGATCATTCCGTTCGCCTAGGCTGGCTTCCTGGAAGATGCAGCTTGGCTGACAGGGAAGAGTCCAGGCCCTGAGCAAAATCAATTTGGAACCCAAGATCTACATCTCTTTGAATGTTTGATTTTTTGGGGAGGCGGTTATCCTCATAAAACTCCCCATATTATCCTCATGAAATCCTGACTTTTTCCCATTGGAACCGTCCCAGCATCCCAGGATGCGTCGGTCCATGGGCCGAGTGTGGCAGACATCAAGAAGCCCCTTGGGCATCGGATGCTGGGGTGATGATGATAGTAATACGATGTAATACTACGATTAATAGATATATAAAAATGGGAATAGCCATCTATAAATATCAAGAATAGAACTTGTGGTGGTGATGATGACGATGACGATGATGATGATCGTGGCCATCCCCAAACCAATCGTCAACGTCATGTCAATCCGAAGAACGCGGGGTTGTGCATGTTCTACGTCTTTGAAGATGTCTGAGCATGTAGTGCCCAACTGGTATTTGGGGCTTGGGCAAACCTCGGTCTGTGTGTCCTCTTAGGGATGGTTTATAATTGGCTTTGCCACATTAATATCTGAAGCCGAACCATTCTGAACCAGCTGATTCAGAAATATCAAGAACCGCTGAATTGATTGCAATTGTAGATCTATGTGACGGCCTAACAGTGTTAGTATTCTTTTTTTAATGAGGAAACGCTTTTCTGAATTGCCTAAGTTTTGTTGGGCCTTCAGTTTGGGTCTCATTTGTCTCGGACTGATGGCCGTTTTTTTGAGATTTCGGAATGTCAATCAGATCAGCCCCAGAATTCTTCACCCACACGCTACCAGCAAGATTATTCTGGTGCAAGCAGCAAGAATTGTCATACCAGCAAATGATGAATCTCAGAACCTCAGAACCTATCATGTTTCGATATGTTTCGTATCAATCATATGATGATCTCTTGCAGTGTTCAGACATGTTCAGATTTATTTCGGAGAGTGTAGATGTAGTGACTCGTTGCAGTTCAGTCCATTGCATGTCCCATGTGCTACGAGGCAATACCGTAGTCGACCGGTGCCGCCCCCGGGCTTGGGGCATTTTGAGCCAATTTGTTCACCACGCGTGGATATATGTGGGATTTCCTGGGTATATTTTTTGTAAGTTATACACAGTTGCATTGTATCCCGAGTTTGCAGCTTGAAGTCCCCAGTCTTGTCGCTTCCATCTCCATCTTGTTTGGAGCAGCGGGGCGCCCGCTTGGGCCACTAAGGCCAAACGGCCCAAGCCCGAGTCGCCTTCGCAGTGATGCGAAAAAAAATTGGACAGTCTTGAGAGCAATATATACGAGAGTTTAATATAGTTTAATCATCAGAAACGGGATTTTAATAGGATTTTAACCATCGGAAATGGATTTTTTCATGGGATTTTACAGAATTTGACCAACCCAAATGGTGACCAATGAATAGTGGGAATATCAACGGGTTAATGAAAACTTACAAGAATGGGGATATGAATGGGATTTACAGGGATATATGATCAATAACCTGATATATGGTTGTGTCTTAAAATGAAGTATCCCCTATAAATCCCCTATAATAATGGGGAAATGATGATGAACCAGTGCACGGAATGGGGTACTCAATTTTCAGACGAACCATGTCAGCCGTTGGAAATCAACCATCTTTGGGATCGGAAACAGAAACTGCCATGGCAGCATTTGCTGGCAATGTTGGGCTGTATGTATTTGAACACTTGTTGTTTTCACACGTGTAGATGTATACCATGGAAACACATACTGTATATGTATCTATATATAATATAGTAGAGACACAATATATAATATACTGTATATATATATTATCAAATATACGTATATCATGAATACACATTACAGGGTCCACATCACGCAGTACATGAAAATCCCTCATTTACTATTTACAGATGGTTGATATGATTTGAGCCAACCAGCCTGGCCGGTTCCGACCTCCATGGCTCAGACGCGGGGGGCCACACGGTTGCGGGACGTCAAGGTTTGGCTCCGCAAGTTGGGAAACTGGTTTGGGCACGGTAGAATTGTTATAGTTGCCATTGTGATTATGGCTTTATTGTTGTACTATGGTGGTCTACTATTACAATTATGGTCCATTATTGTACTTATACATACTTATACTATATAAGATGTTTATTATTATAGTCATCTATACCCCAAAAGTCTGAAAAAGTGGGATGTTAATACCCCCAAAGATATGCCAAACATGGATTTTGGGTCATGTTTGTGATTTTCAAACAAACCCGAGTCAGAGCTCCCTGATTTCTTCAGAGATCGAAGACGCGACAGATGGCTGACCTTGGTAAAATTTTCCATCACTGGGATGATGATCCCAATTGGCTCACCGCGGTCGGAGTCGGAGGGCCTTCATTTCATGAAGCATCAAGAACGTCATTGCACCTCACCCCACCCGTAGGTGCACACTTGCACACGAACGCGTCACAGCGTGGCATCCCATGAGTGCGCGTTTTTTTTCTGCACGTGAGCGTGTTACAAAACAAAACACGAAAAACGGATGGGAAAAAAAGAGACACACACACACACCACAATAGAACACTGGAAAACGCGTAAGAAAATGCAAATTCCAGCAAGTGCGCGCGGTTACCACATGATTGAGGGCGGAACAAAGTAAAGGTCTGAACCACCCCCGAAATATTTTGGTCTGACCCATGCGTTGTCTTTGTCCCAGCTGGCCACATTAAACTACTGGAGGGGATATCCAAAACATGTAAATCTAAACCCTCAAATTGTATGCTTCAGCACAAAGCACGGGCCATTTGTGTTTATCCTGTACCCAATATATAGGTCACTGCTGTACTTATTGGCTGTGGGTCAAAGTCACCCGCATTTAGTGAAAGTCGCAGCTGTGAACAGATGATCTCAGCCAAATATATTGTTTGCCAACCTCCCTTGAAACCCCTTAGCTTTTCATTCATGAGTCATTGTTGCTGCATAACTGATTGATCTGGTCGATGACTTTTTAGGGATTCTGGGATCCGATCTTGGTCCAGTCATCCTGAGTCGGTGCATGACTTTGCTTTGTGGATTGAAGTCTCAAATCGCATTTGTCCAAACAAACGGATTTTTTCATGAAATTGTTGTCACGATTTTTCATAACATGTTCATATTTTGTTTGCCCGTGTTTTTCCTATTTTGTTGTTTCACTTTTTTGCATAAAAGAAAAGAACCATTAAATATTTTTCTAGGGAGAATCTCAGATCTCAAACTTAACACAATTTTGGGGATCTCAACCTTTCAACCCATGCTTTCACCTCCATCTTCTTCACAGGCGCGCCGATTTCCTCGCCCCATGGGAGGGCTTCTGACCGGCTCTCCGGACGCATAGGAGGAAAACGGCCCATTGATGAATTACCAGTTAAGAATGGTGATTTTCCACATCTATGTTAGTAAAACATGTAAAAATCCTAGGGTATATAGGTAGAACTTTACTCCGACATAGTGCGTTGCGGATGTCGCTTCTTGTACGTAATGATTGCAGTCTTCCTGTTAGAAATCGTTGGCAAAGAACATGCGCAGTTCGAATGCGGACATGTGCAGAAATGCATCTTCCACTCCAGAATTGTCATGTGTCTTCCAGCTTCCCAGGTGTGTTGCAGGGCGACAATCATCCGGGACATGATAATTTTGTTGCGAAAATTGAGAGCCTGACTATGACATACTATGACTGTAAGCTAGGCGCGTTGAGTCGAACATGGCTGGTTGACCTCAGTTTTTTTAGGGTGTGGACACATCGCCATCGAAGTCACACCCAAAAAGCTAGGTATGATGGGTGGATTTTTGAAGGCCCTCAACTCACAGATTTTGGACCCCGCCTACAGATGCTTGTACTCCAATAACTTGACCCTTCAACTGGGACTTTCTTGTGGTTCATGTTAAGCACCATTTTTGCGGGTTTAATCCCATAATTATCCATAATTATTGTTGCTAGTTAAATCAAAATCCCCGTTTTTGTGCAAAAGCCGCGATTTCTGCTGGTTCGATTCCAATGTTTCGCGGAGCGTCTCTGGAAACCAAGGTCCGTCCACGCAAAAAGATTCCGGAGATGGACGGTGCCACGGGTCTTGGCTCATGGGTTTTTCTCGGCGGCACGGAGCTCCAAGCCCTGAAGATCTTTATCCACCCCAAAAAAGGAGGATTAAAAACCACAAAGCCGGGGAGTTGTCTGAGAAGACTCCAACATGCTCTGGAAAGCCGCCTACATGATTTTGTGGGAACAGTTGGTAAATGAATATACAGTAGTTCGGCAATGTTCCGCATGGATATCAATGCCGCGTCCCAGAGGGTGCATTGGGAATTACTCCCGAAATCCCAGAGTTTGATGTTTTCTTGGCCTTCACGGCCTTCACTGCAACCAATTGTGAACACAACTCACAAGTTATAACTTTGTAGAACGGTTCAAAGGGGCTGAACTATTCAAACTATTCCATGTTCTTAATGAGTCTTAATGCCCCCAAGTGGGCAAGTCCCACAAGTCTCACGGTCAAGGGGTCGAACCTCGGTCCAAAAATACAGTTCGAGTGGCTTGGTGCATCCACAGCATCCATTGTTCCCATTGCACTGTTTCAGATGCTGAAACACAAAGTAGATCTAGACATGGAAAGTCATGATAAGTCAACTTTATCATTGGACACTGCAGGTTGCCTCATCTTCACCGCAGCGTTTCAGATTCCTTTTCCCCGTCGTTTTCGGGTGCTTTTCCAGCGCCCAGCACAGCCTGGCGTCGCCACATGAGCGATTCCGGGACCATACAGTGGGCGAACAGCGTGGCCTATCCCCTGGAGCCAAGTGATCTGGAACTGGGCAGTCCGAGCCAGGTTCCCTGGAGCGAAAAGATCAAACATCAAATCCTTCTTTTGAGACTTCAGAGGCGGAGCCACGCGGAGCAAAGGGCTGTGTGACATTTTTTTTGTGTTTCTGCCAGGATCAGATTCTTGGGGAGCTCCAGCAATCATCAGCAATTTAGAATAATTTATTAAAACAAAATTGGAAATCGGTGATGGGTGTCATCACTGCGAAACTGAAGTCACACGTGGTGGGCAGCGTATGGTATCCATACTGGCGCCTGGCGCGACAGTAGTGTCTTTTTCAGATTGCTACTGGTGCATGCCAGTTTCTGAAACCCACCAATCCATTCATTCATGGTACCCTGCTCCACTTTCATGCGCCAAACTACTGAAATACCACGTGCAGGCCGTATTTCATCTACTGCCTGCTGTGCTCGATGATTGCTGCCACAGCGTTCTTATCAACATTGATAGACCTATGCTTCGGTAGCGAGCGTGGTTGGCACGATATTTTGGAAGGCGGTACTTGGCAAAGTGCCTGTTGGTCCGCCGTGAGCTTGGCCCCTCTGAATTTTTGCCCATGACGGAGAGGTCCGGGTCAAAATATGTACCCAACAATTGGATCGGAACTCATTTTTTGACCCGTACCATTCCGTACCGATTTTTTTGTCCGTTGATTTTTCCATGTTGGTTTTGGAACGGTTTTCAAGTTCAGAGATAGCTTCATTGTTGAATCCCTGTTGAGAAAGTGATTGCTACTGAAGTCACCCATCAGTCCACGCAAGTTGAGTTACCATGAGGGAAGCCTTGGCGCTGGGATGTACAGCACAGAAAGCACAGCCAGAAGATGAAACTTCCCCTAATTGGTGCTGGGAAAATTGACCATTGAAACATATTGAGACCCTTACATCTTTATTGGACAAAAGCATGGGTTTCTTGTAAACACACATCCCAACTTCAAACCAAACAACGGTGACACATGACAAGACCAAGCGGTGGATTTGGGAGCATCAGCGCGTCCGTCAACATGAATGGACAGCAAGGGGTGAAGGGATTTGAGCCAATAAGCGATCACCAATTGAAATTACAACTGGTTGTGCAGATGCAGTATGTAATTTTGATTACTTTAAATCAATCATATACATTTGGATATATAAACTGCAACATATTGTTGTAAGGACCTCAGTGCGATGTCACTAGAAATGATGGTTAAGAAGGGTAACCATCCCCTTTTTTCAGTGATGTAGGTGGATCAAAGCTCCAATCTCACCCCGACACAAAGCGGTTCTGACATCCTATGTGGCTTGGATGAAGTGTCTTTAAATATGTGTTATATATATATAATTATAGATATTCTATGATATTCTATATTACATTATATTACTATATATATATATATATGTATAATCCCTCTGGTAGTCAAGTATGGCAAATGGACCCCCCCCATTTATAGATGATTTTCCCCCTTAAAACCTCCATTTTTTCTGGATTTTTCCAGCCGCGACCTTCCTATAGGGATCATCCCTAACTGCCCTTGGCTGAGGCTCTCTTTGCGGAGGTATTGTCAAACATCTTCATCAACTGGCCAGTGAATCTTAGCTCTTGATATTGAAGGGATGGGGATTTTTTTAAGCGCATCTCCGAAATGGGATTGACCTGTGAACAATCGAGACACTAGCCACCAAAAATACTGATATACTATGACTATATATATAATATATATATATATATAATATATTATATATATCACTAACCCAGAAACGAAAGGTAAAGGTTGTATAACAGTTTGTCTTCAATCAAAGGGAGACTCCACTCATGAAACGTAGAACTTGACTTGTTTGCCGGCTCTCTAAGATTAGCCACTGCAACCGATTGAAGAACATGGAACATGCAACTGGATGTTTCCTGAAGACAATTTGAAAATTGGGTAGCAAAAAGTGAATTGACCAAAGAGAATTGGATTCGACTTGGGCTCTCAAGTGGTCCTTCTTTCTTACCGCACCGGGTGGGGTCCCGGACTGGTTTTTGGGTCCCTGCGACGCTCAGGAAGAGTTTCTTCCAAGACTGGTGGCTGACCTTTGACCTGACCCTGTTGATACTAACAGCAGCTCTTTGCAATGGCTTGGCATATAGAGTCTATAGAGTCTATAGAGTCTATAGAGTCTATAGAGTATAATATGAGTCTTCCCCCAACAAAAAGGAATGGTTTGAGCATCCAAACGGAAGTGGCACGCCAGAACATGCGAAATCATGGATAGTCTGATAGTCTATATATTTGATCATATTAAATCATATTCAATCATTAGTTTCATTAACGTGGATAGTCTATTTAAGCACTAGTAGTCACTCAGCAAGTTTGGTGAACCATGCGTTACACCACTCCCATGGTTTGAGGTATCTGCTTGGGCACTGTCTCATTGGCGGAGAGCAACAATCATGCGTCTCCTGTCGGAGCTGTTGGGGATGGGGTTGTCCCATGGGGGTTCAAACTGGGGACCCGAAATATTGGATCGCGAATCCCCTTTGACTTTGGTACTTTTCTGTTGGGAAAGGATAGGTTTTTGGGGACTAGTTGCTACCAAATAGAGGAATATAATTACATAAATCAACCAGCCAAAAATTGACCATGTTTCGGTTCGATCCCCATTGATGTTGGCAGAATCCCTAGTTACCCTATAGTTTTTTTCTGGTTGAGTCCCCAACATTTCTTTCAAACACACGTTATTGCTTGGATAATAATCCACAATGTTTTTTTTCAAATCACATTTTATTCCACTTTTCGAGGCGAAGAAGCTGAGGAGGCAGACCTTTGGCTCATCTTCCTTCGCTTCGCCCTGCAGCCATGCAGGGTCTTTGCTTCTGCCGCAAATGCGCGGAAGGTGCAGCAAATGCAGAAGGGTTGTGTGCCTTGGGCACCATTAGATGATGATGATGATGGTTATCAATGGTTATTATATAATAGTTATATAATGGCTATTAATGATTATTAATCGTTAATAATTATAATCGGGCCTTGGGTGATTTTTTTTAGGGAAATCTGTCGACCCTAATATTAGGCCCTTTTTTCATCCCAAAAAGGCGACCAAAAAAAGAGCTAGACAAATGAGACGGGGAAGATGGTGAAGATGGTGAGGAATCCAGGCTTAGCTAAACCTAATGAGTACCTTTTTGTGGGGAATGAACACCCATAAATCCCATCATAAATCCCAGCTATTTTGATGATTTTACACAGTGCATTCCCTGGTTTTGGACACAGCCATTCCCTCTGATCCGTTCCGAGGTGGACATCAAATTCGACGGACTCAGCCGTGGTAACGGTTCCCTAAGTGGATCTGCCAATCGGAGCGAGTGATCGACAAATCCCCTGGAAAAGCTGGGGGCTGGGAGGATGATCTTCGATAGTTTATGATGTGTGGGGTGGTCTAACAGAGTGTCATTTGGATACATACTTCATCATGATAATAATGTAAGTATATTAGCATATATATATTATATATTATAGATAATATATATATATATATATGTAGATATGATGTATATACATACAATATTCTGAACACATAGACAACTAACTCACCCTGTGGAGATTCGTCTTAAACGTATCTACAGCCTCCCAGTGCCAGGTGTATGGACAACGGCATTGAATGGGGCTACAGTGCCATGCAGGGCTGGCGGGGGAGCCGAGTTATGATGATATGATGATGGTCGATACGATGGTTGTTTTTGCTTGAATTTCAGTAGAAAGTTGACGCTGATTAAAGATTGGAAATGGTTCAGGTACCAAGGTCATTTACAGTTTGAACACAGGATATATCACCCCCCCATACCGCATGGTTTGCTATTTGGGGTAATGTTAGTAAAGCAATGGTAAACCATCCCCAAAATCACATATTTTTTTTTTATCGGTGGTATAAACCATCAATTTATATGGGTGGTTTATGACATTGCTTTACTGACATCATCATGGGTGATGCTGTGGATGGTTGCGAAACCCTGCACCAGTTGGTAGATGGGCAAGATCCCATTTTAATTCCATGGAATTGCCAGTGTTGAATTATGTTACCAATTGTAACCAAACTGGTGCAGGATTTTTTCTATCCACAGTATAATGGTTGTGTATGGTTATTCTTAAACTTAGCGGGGGGTATACCAACTAAAGGCTCCCAAATCCCTTGGTTGGTCATGATTTTCGATATTTGTTGATGGCTTTTTGGGGAAAATACCATGGTACCCCATTTTCAGACACACGGATTGGGTAAATTTCCATGATGTTTCCTGAACAACAGGAGGATTCATTGGTTTTCAACTGTTTATGTTTGTTTTTAGCCATTAATTCAGGAAATATAGCCTCCACAGGAACGTATATATCTTACCTTCAGACCATATTTTCCTTGCATACATACATTTGTTTATGGTAGTCCAACGACACCATATTCACGGTCGCTTCGCAACAAAAACCGCCCGCACCAAGTGTAATGGATTCGGGAAGTCTAATATGTTGGAGGATGTTTGGCCATATTGAACGTTTTTTAAGCACTTATTGGGCACTTTTTAGCTCCGTATGAGGGTATCTTGGCCCCATATGAGGGTATGTTGGCCCCATTTGAGGTATGTTGGCCCCATGTGAGCCTATCTTGGGCTCATGTTGGGCCTATGTTGGGCCTATGTTGGGCCTATCTTGACCCATTTTTGGCCTATATTGGCCCAGATCAAGAATTTTGACCCCTTTAAAAAACATGCAAAAACACAGGATTCTAGAGCAAAAATGAGGCCCCCCCGCCAAGCTAAAGGTTCACGCAGGCACACAAAAAATACGCCTCGGCACCTTTGGTGCGGGCGGATTTTTGCCGGGGACTACCTGAAGAGTACGAACCTGTGAAAGAGCACCTGAGGGATATGCCCTTGGCACCTGAGTCTGGTCGTAGGACCGTCCCCAATTCCTTTCTTTTACTCTCCAGTACATCAACAAAAATCAGACAAATCGACTGTTTGGTAGATTTGACATTGATTTAAGATTGATTTAGCATGATTTAAGATTGATTTAAGATTGATTGAAGATGATTTAACATTATTTAAGACATATATAACGCATGTATAGATAGATATGGAAGGTCAAATAAATCCACACTAAATGTCGACACTGTTTGCGCCCAGGCGTGAAAGGATGGAGGATGCCCATTTGGCCTGAGCTCAGAGATTGGGGAGATCGTGTCAAGCTGGGCAATCTATCTGATATATAGTCTATGTATATATATAATTAATTATAGTATGTATATATATATATGTATATGTATATGTATATGTATATGTATATGTATATGTATATGTGTATGTATGTATATATGTATATGTATATGTATATGTATATGTATATGTATATGTATATGTATATGTATATGTATATGTATATGTATATGTATATGTATATGTATATGTATGTATGTATGTATATATATTATGTATATATATATATATATGTAATATTATGGCGACATGTTTCAGTTTTTTAGTACACCTATATATATACATATACTATAGTCTGTCTTTATTAATGCACATGACAAAAATATGGTCTTCATGTAGTACAGTATAGGTATAAACCAATGCTATCCCTGTGCCACCAGTTGGGATAGGGCGAAGTGTTTTTGGGATCCAGGGTACTCCGAATGACTCGGGACATGGACAGCATATTAAAAAATCACACCATCTGAATCCCTCAATTTTTTTCTCAATCCAAATGAGATCCCTTAGTCTGAATCCAACTGACTGACTCTGACTCGGTTGTGTTTTCCCTTTCAACATAGCCATAGATTGGTAGTCCTTTGCCAAGGCGATTGGCTCTCTGCCCAGCACCAGCATGGGGTCCCAGAGTTTGTTGCGACACTGTGGATCAACCTAGCCCAAAGCATCCAGCTTTGTCCATGACTGGAGGTAGCCTAAATCCACTGCTTTATCATGAGCTTTATCACCATTTTCCAACATGTTTCCCATCATTTTTCCATCAACTTGTTCCATCATTTTTTTCGATCACTCTTCCATAGTGTTGTAAACCCAACCGGCCCCCATTTCACCAGAAAAGGGTGGTATACACTTTCCAAAATTACTGTGTTATGTTTTTCTTTAAATGATATTGATATTGTCTATCATTGGTTGAAATTCACAAATAATATTTAATTTCCAGTTTTCATCATATTTTTTCCATGTGCTTCCATCATTTTCTCAGAACTCTTCCATCATTTTTCCATCTTCACTGGATTGGTTAAAGGGAACCTCTACAGAAAATCCTGTAGGTTTCCACCAACAATAGGGCTTTCCTGTAGATTTCCCCCCTAAACCAATCCAATGTAATTCCAATGACCTATGAATCCTATGAAGATTTCCGGTTTTGGGAAGGGAAATCCACTGCGAAAAGTCCGTGGTGTTTTTTTCACTCCGAGGTTCCCGTTGGCGCGAGACGTCGTTGTTTGCTGTGATGGTACCGTGGCCAAGGGTTTTCGTGGCAGGGTGGCCGGCCAAGGCCGTTTCCACGGGGAAGATATCTGGTAAATATCTTGTTTTCTTTAAAAAAAATGCTTGCGTATGTGTTTTCTTTTTTTGCTTTAAAAGATCCCATATCCTCTATAAGACTCTGTAAATCCTGAATTCGTTTGAACATCTCTTGTCCAAATAGATGAGCCGGAATGGGCCAGAACTCAGAACCTATTTGTGTTGCATCATTGAAGCAGATTTGCTACCCACTTTCGGTGAACCCATTCAAATAGCCAGTTACACCCGTTAAATCCCACCTATAGTTGTTCCTTATTGCATTAAACCCCCATTTTTCATCCCAATGAACCCCCCTTTCGGCACCCCCATTTGCGCATCGAGGATGGCCATGGAGGAGAGCAAGTGGCGCAGCTGCTTGGTATTTCTGACTTAGCACCCGTAATGAAGTAATGAAAAGTGTATCCTTTATATACATAGATATGTATATGTATATGATATATGTATCTGATATATGTATTATATATTGTATGCTTAGAACTACTTGAATGTGCACATAAACTGCACATATATATACATAGTATATGTATGTATATTATATGATATTATATGATGATATTATATGTGATGGTGATGATGATGATGATGATGATGATTGATGATGATGATGATGATGATGATGATATCTTTGAGGACTATCAAAGTACAATACTCCAGATATGAGCAATGACACTCATTTACACAATTTACTAATGGTATAGTTTGGCGGATATTCCCTCCTCAAATTATCAAGACCAAAGATTAACACCGGTGTCGCAAAGCTTTTTCATGGGATTCTGTCCCAGACTTCGCCCAGGATGCCGAATTCATCACTTCTTGTTGGATCAATATCTATGGCAACCCCATGCAGCCCCCAAAACGATTTCAGATGATTTCAGTAAAGGTTTACCGTGTTTTACCTAAAATGATCTAAAAAGATACATATATTATATATTATAATATTATATATATTATTATATTTATACTATACTATTATATTTATATTATATCAAATTTCACATTATATTATATTATTATACTATAATATAATATATATATATACATATTGTGGGGTAGCAATGGGTCAATAACCCTTGTTTACATGGGTAGGCCAGTTTTGGTCGTGAGCCCCGAGGTTCTGCCGTCGCCATCTTCCATCTGAGCTGGGTTTCTCCAGAGTGCAGGACCACGGGATTTTTCCAACTTTTTCAGGTTTTCTGGGTTGAAAAAAAAAAACAAGTTTTTGGGACCCAACTTAAAAATCTGGACTTAGAGGTCTTTGAAAAAAAACTTGGGTTTTCTGAGAGGAAAACTCCTGATATTTTGCCAATTCAATGTTGAAAAAATTCAGCCGCTGATTGACTGCTAGCTTGTGTCCGTGGTGTGGATTTATTTTTTCGTTCCCAAGATTTGTGTGTCCGAGGTTGCAACATTTGGCATCAACCATGCACTGATATACTAGGGCCAGGGATATCTTGAGACATGGTGGTTAAGTGACCTACCTAAATGGAGGACTTTCGGAATGTCGCGGGACTTTGCAGACCTCAAACCATTTTTGATTTGCAGCAGAATTGGCAGATATTTCACCATTTCAAGACTTGATGCATTTAATCTCTGCTCCGCAATACTAAAACACCCCCCAAATGGTAAACACGTTGATCTATTTTTATTATGAAGGCGATTTAGGTATTAGGGTGCCCTCAATATTCCAATGAAATTCCATAATAAAAATAAACAGTTCGATTTCAAATTTGATTAAATCCCTTATTAAAATCTATATAAAATATTGCCAAAAACTGGATTTCGAAGCTTTCCCCTAATATTCCAATGAAAACATCAAAAACAAAGATAAACAACTCGATTTCAAACTTGATTAAATTCTTGATTAAAATCTATTGAAAATGTTGCCAAAAACTGGATTTCGAAGCTTCCCCCTAATATTCCAATGAAAACCTTAATAATAAAGATAACAGATAAAACTTGTGAGATGGCACCCGAATAGAAAACCTCCAGGTACCATTCTATTTCTTATTATTAACGGGGGGTACACACCATAATTTCACCATCCTATTCTCCTATTGATTTTCGATTACCACAATTAAGAACGCAATTGTAACCAACCAAAAACAAACGAAATTGCGAATCCATTCCTGCTGTATTTTTTTAAATGAAAATTGGGGGAGATTTAGTAATAGGGAGAAGAGATTAGAAATACAGAAATACATATTTGAAATACATTTGAAATACATTTGAAATACAAATTTCCTGCCATTTTGAATAGCTTTGAGCGATTCCATTGGTCCCATGATGTCCCATGGCTCCCCTACATCCAGGAAATGGGCGATTCCATGGTCCGCGCCTTTCACCGTATGGTGCGAAAGGGGCGGTGTGACCATGGTGAACTTACCCCAATGTTTGTTGGGATATGTTGGGATATGGGGCCCCTATAACTATGGTAACTATATGGTTATCTAATGTTATCTAATGATATCTAATGATACATATGGTTGAATTCTATTCATTTTCACGTGTAGCATCTTATACCTGGAATTGCACTCTTTAGGATGTGCTACCTTTTTTTGATATTTTTTTGCGGATTTATCCGATCGTTCCGATGGATTTTCCATTCGTGGAATCATGAAACGCTCCGGTTTGCTTTTTGCTGCGGTTCCTGCAACAAACGTTTCTGTTGGGATCTAAGTTTGATAGTTTGGCAGTATCCAATCCCATTTGAGCCACGTTTTTTTTCCAGATGATGGAATTTAGCAAGGAAAAAAAACACAACTCATTTGTGAAATCATGTTTTTCCCATTTTGATGCCATGACTTCACCCACTTTGTGGGTGAACTCCCCGACCAAAAAACCACCGATGCCGAACACGAAAATAGCGACAGGACGAGAGGTTGATGGACCCTTCGGTGCTGGAGGAACTGAAGTCCCTGAGCAATGGCGTACCTCGCTTCGTCACAAATTCCAGGGGAAACCACACTTTCCCCCGGGAAAAAACACGGTAAAAATGTCACGAAAACAAATGACAGCGGTCTCGGTGGGTGAATTCCATACCATCTGATCTCGATGATTCGGGATGGAAAACACCCCAAATTTGCTGGGTTGTTGACATCTTTTTTCCCATGGGATTTGGGGTTGCGATGGGTTTACACCCGGTTTCCGTCACATTTTCAGACCCACGACTTGAGGCTGCGAATTGATGGGTTGAGAAGGGGCGGGTTTTCATGGCTGCAACTTTTGGGTAGCCCGTCGCCAAGGCGTTCAATTCCTGGGTCAATCCTGAAATGATGGGCTGCACTGCGGCATCTTGGCTCTCAATGGGGCCCCACCTGCTAAGCTCAACCATTGGTGTGGTAGGTCTGGAAATAGCCAAGTCTGGTTTCAGTTCCAGTATCTAGGTTTTGATGGTTTTCAAATGTTTTCAACTTAGATAGTTTAAACATGTTGAAGCGACACTTCCAGTATTCAATGGCCATAGACACAGCCATATATCAAACATATTCAAACATTAGATGGTTTTGTCTGATGAAAGTAGCCCATTCCATGGGGATCAACCCAGGTCAACCCCCACCATTTTCGCGGAGGTCTGCGCGATGGTTCAACGTGATGCCATCTGTGTGGCCAATGCCGGTGACAGCCGAGCAGTTCGGGAATCCCGGCGAGGGATCGGAGATCGATGGGTCTTATTTTCAATAACTCTTCTGGAAGTTCAAGATATGATTGATTATATATATATATTAGACAATTATATATTTATATGGATTGTATGGTTATGGATATATATTTATATTTTTATATATATATATGATTCAATCTATATTGTAGGTATGTACATATGGAACCAATATATACATATATTATATATATACACACTATATATATATATAATATATGATATAGTGTAATATATTCTTATTAACACCTCTTCTATTTGGTACATATTAAAGTTAATCGCATCCCCCAGAAACCAAGTTACGCGTTCTTCGAGGTTCTCTGCAGACGTGGCAAGGCCGTGGAAATGCCCGGGGGCTCACGGCTAAATGAGGAAAAACCATGGAACAACACCATGAAAATGGTGGTTTATGTCATTTTAAACTGAGTTTTTTGTGAGAAAAACACTGGGAAAACCCAATGAACATGATTGTTTATTACAGTTATCCATGTAGTTGGTTTTACAGCAATCATACTGGGATGGGGTGATGTATGAAAGATTCGCCATCTCTGGTGATGGCGACGCCCTGTTTTCTCACATCAGATGCTGATCGCTTGCGGTTTAGCATGGGCCGGGTATCAACGATCATGTCAAGAAATGTCAAGAATACAAGAGTTCTCAAGGATTTTGAACCAGCTTCTCCTAAAACTGTTACATCAAATCATCCGCATGTATCATTGATCATACATCAATCAGTCCCTTTTGAAAGTTCGGACCCCAGACAACCACGTGGCACTGCTGAGGTCTGAAGATCACAAACCCAATAATAAAGCTGAATTGGCTCGCATCCTGAAAGCAGACGCCTCAGCATCCGCACTGGGTCGAGAAGGCAGCTGCATCTTGGATGGCGACAAAGGTACAAAGATATGGGTCCAAAATCAAGCATCATGGGGTTGTGATGGAATATCATGGGATATACCCTCTGGCAATTTAACATAGCTATTGAAAATATGGCCATAGAAATAGTCGATTTTCCCATTTTTTCCCATTTAAAATGGTGGATCTTTCCATAGTCATGTTAGTTTACCGGAGGGTACCATGAGACGTCGCCTGGAGCTACTACAGCTGTATGGGGTGCAAACCTCAAACGAACCTGCGGGTTGAGGGTTCAGTCTCTGAATATCTTTGAACCAAGCTGAAATTGCGCGTGTTATTTTAAAGATCTACACTTATGATAGTCATTTGTAATCATTTCTTAGTCATTTCCCCTTCTAGTCATACCCACAATTATGGCTATTGAATATGGAACATGATGTTAAACCAGTGGCTGGAGTGGGTTTTTTCTTTCAATTTTCAGACAAACCAAAAAAATGTCTAAAAATAGTGTTCTCCCAAAAAATCCTACGGTAAATGACGATGAATATGGGCAATCCAATACCATAAACCACCCCAAACCTACCATCAATGGGGATGCGACCTCTACCACCCGAGGCCGGCGGTGCGGTGCTACAGCAGCACGTTGGAAATCACGTGCATTATCGCCCGGGAGCTTAAGAAAGGCAGCATAGAAAATGGAGGCTAAATGGTAGTTTAACAATGTTCAACATGGTTCTATATGGTTTTATCATGCTTTACAATCTTTTATATATACCGTTTTACAATGGGCTTATATAGGGTTTAAGAGGGCCGGGACAATACTGTGATCACCGGATATGAATGGATTTAGCCTCGGGTGTCATGAAACATGGCTGAGAAATCCCAATGGGGGCTCAAACAGTGTAACTGATGGAGGGTACCAGACTCGCTCTGTGAGTTCCAGGATTGAGCAACTAGGTTTTTTCTAGGTCGTCAACGTTTCGAATCATCCCTGGTGATGTGCTGTAGCATGCTGTAGCGAAACGAGGGATATAAAAGGGCTACTTTTGGGTTTTCATGGTTTTTTAGTTTTTCTCTTACCCTCTGGTAAACTGTCCCATAACTATGGAAAATCACCATTTTTAATGGGAAAATCGACTATAAATGGCCATTTTCAATAGCTATGAGATCCCCGGCAAGGAATCAATGGGAACCTGAACCTTTCTCGATCCATCGGGGACCTCCTGTGCGCCGGGATGATGTGCTTCTACAGAGTTACGCAAGATGTTGGGTAGGGGATTTTTGCCCGGACTCTGTGGTATAATTATAGTATATTATAGTATAATTATAGTATGTTATAGTATGTTATAGTATATTATAGTAATTTATAGTATATTATCGTATGTTATAGTATGTTATAGTATGTTATAGTATGTTATAGTAATTTATAGTATATTATCGTATGTTATAGTATGCTATAGTATGTTATAGTATGTTATAGTATATTGTAGTAATTTATAGTATATTATAGTATGTTATAGTATGTTATAGTATGTTATAGTATATTGTAGTAATTTATAGTATATTATAGTATGTTATAGTATGTTATAGTATGTTATCGTATGTTATAGTATGCTATAGTATGTTATAGTATGTTATAGTATATTATAGTAATTTATAGTATATTATAGTATGTTATAGTATGTTATAGTATGTTATAGTATGTTATAGTAATTTATAGTATATTATCGTATGTTATAGTATGCTATAGTATGTTATAGTATGTTATAGTATATTGTAGTAATTTATAGTATATTATAGTATGTTATAGTATGTTATAGTATGTTATCGTATGTTATAGTATGCTATAGTATGTTATAGTATGTTATAGTATATTATAGTAATTTATAGTATATTATAGTATGTTATAGTATGTTATAGTATGTTATAGTATGTTATAGTATGTTATAGTATGTTATAGTATGTTATAGTATGTTATAATATGTTATAGTATATTATAGTATATTATAGTACCCATATGCTCCATGTATAATAGTATATTTACCTACATTTGGGTGATTTTTAGGGCAACTGTTGGTACATATTCCATACATGGAGCACAGGGGGTATATATATATATACACTGTATATACTTCAAATCTTTCATCCACATCCAGAGTCTGAAAAAATCTTCAGTGACTCACCGAATCTTAGCTGTCAACCTGTCGACCCAACATCGAATACGTGGTTTTTGATCTGACGTGGTCGCCGGAGGTACAAACAAAACGAGCAACTCTCGGCGCAGGACGATGGGTTACTGTACCCACATCCTGAAGGTTGGAAACCACTACCAGGCAGCAATGACAACTGCCAATTCTTTCAAGGTTCATATTAAGTATGGGAAAAACATGTGGCTTGTTCTTGGAGGTCTGCTGCAGTTTTGGGTTTGTCACATTATAGCTGCATGTGAATCGTTGTGTTCCGCCCAGGAGCAGGTCATTGTTTGCACGCCGGACGTCCGATATTTCCCTCGACAGGCTGGGGGCTTTCGTGATCTTTCGTGTCTCTACAGGTGACATCTGATGTCATCCTGTTCATTCAATCTCATTTTACTCAATAGCCAAGACACCGGGAACACAAGTCCTTGAAATGTACCTCAGTGCCGTGCCAAACAGAGATGAAGCAACGGACGATGGGTGAATCCTACATCCATCCGTTGTGAAGATTCCATGATATCACCATGATTCATCCATTAATCCAATCTCAATGAATAACTCATGAAATATCCCGATGCCAAAGAATCTAAATTGATCCTGCATTTCCCATTCACAATTCATTTTTAGATGTTCCATTCCTATTATTCTAACGGCTTAACGTCTAAGACTTCACCACCGTGCACTTCCATCCAGGTCGATGATGAGTTTATGATCTTGGCCTGCGATGGCGTGCCCGAAAGCCCAGCGGAAACGACGAAACAAATTTGGCTTTGGAGGACTACTGTAGGGGTCATAGTGGAGATTTATTGAGCCACCACGAAATCAATAAAAGGGGATCATATATGTATATGATAACATGACATTTTTTTAAAATATATTTTATATATTCAATTACAGTGTCTAACCTGTCTAACAGTGATACAGCCAGCACCAGTGAGTCAGCGAATTGCCATTCTGGGCATAGCCGGCATAGCCCTGCCAGGTGGGATGTTCTCAGCAGCCAGGCCGAGTAGCGGGTCGCAGCCAGGGTCATCCCCAGCTGTAGGTAGATCAACCATTAGATGATATCACCATCATAAATCATAGGTATCCATTATTGTATCCTATTACTATCATCATCATCATCATCATCATCATCATCAACGAAACCACGAGGCATCTTTGATATGATAAAGGGATTTGCTCAAAACATATCGTATCGCCAAAATCGCAGATTTTTGCGTTGGCTAAACATCAGCAAAGTGATAGATCATGATAGATCATCATTGATTGCTCTTGGTGAAATTCAGATAACCATCGCCCTCCAGTAAATTTACATAGATGAGTCACAAATTCATTTGCTTGGCAAACCCAGTCGCGGCGATATTTTATTATTGGGTGATTACTATCACTATTGTTAGATACTACTATATAATCTATTACTAATATTACTATATTATATAAATTATATATATGATTACATCATTACTATTATTACTACTACTAGATTACTAGATTACTAGATATTATTACTATAGTATTTTCCATCCATGTTAGATATCATTACCAGATTACTAGATATTATAGTATTACTAGACTATTATTACTAGATTACTATTATTACTAGATTACTAGATATTATAGTATTACCAGATTCTTATTACTAGATTACTATTATTACTAGATTACTAGATTTATTATAGTATTTTCCATTATAAACCATCCATGTTGGGCTTCCCGCATGGAACTCCCCAAGATCGCAGGAGGCAGTGGACTTCGTCCGCGCGCGGCTGGGGAAGTTCAGCGATCTCGCCTTCCGTCTGAAGGACCGCGGGGACCGCGAAAGGGGGATTTTTCGGCGGCGAAACGGGGATTTTTCCATCAAAAATGGTGACTTCAACCATGAAAAATTAGTACCTAACCATGAAAAATTATGAAAATCAGGGGATTTGACATGATTTTATCATCAACTTGGTGGTTCTTTCCAGGAATAGTAACTTCAGTTATAATGTGATAGGTTCACAAAAAATCTAGGAGGTTTTTTTTTGGGGCAATGTCCAATTATGATTGGGCGGTTCACTAAGCCACCTACTCACTGGGGTGATTGTTCCATCAAAATAATGGGGGCTTAACCGTATGAAATTTCTAGGTATGGAAAACCATCAACCATGGGATATTTTTTGGAACAACAAACAGGGAATTTACCATCAAACATGGGACGAGATTGGAGGATTTTTGTGTCAGTTTTTTTGGATATGATGAAATGCCAACATGAAACATGGGATATCAACCGATCAACCAACCCCATTGCAATGAAATGCGATGAATATATTGTGCAGCTAATTAGATAGATGAACGGATGGGCAGACAGATCTATGCACAATGAATATGCACATGATTTTAGACGTTTTTTTTTTGGTTGGGCAGTAAATGGATGTTACCCTCTGGTAAATTAACATAACTATGGAAAATCACCATTTTCAATGGGTAAATCCACTATAAATGGCCATTTTCAATACCTATGTTAAATTACCAGAGGGTAACTCAATTTATTTTAGTGATACTTCACATCTAATACTGGACTCATCCATGTTGGGGCCACCCAGCTGAGGAGGGTCGCTTACGGCTGTCCTCGATCGTCGAGGCGCGAGCAGAGGTAGAACAAGAACATCAAGCTGTGGTCATTTTCTCCACGGATTATTCATGAAACCAAAAAAGCATGAATGTAAACTATGGTGATACAGTATCTTCACTACCTAATTATAAGTTTGGATGGTTAACTAGTTATTGTAAGTGCTTGTTGTAACCATAAGTAAAATCCAGCCTCATATTATCCTCTGGTAAATTGCATGTGAGATGTGGAAAGCCTACAGAAATTTTTCTGTCGATCATTTTCCTAAGGAACGCCCCAAAAGTTCTCCAGGCAGTCTATGTAAAGCCCTGACTCAGGGTACCCTCTGGGAATTTAACAGTTAGCTATTGAAAATCACCATTTCAAATGGGAAAATCCACTATAAATGGCCATTTTCAATAGCTTTTTGTATGTTCACCAGAGGGTATCAACCAAATATTTCCACTATACATCCAACAATGATTGTTCGTACCCCGGGACCTAAGGGTACATAGCTGTTTTTGTCAGACAGCTATGGCATGATTTTCGCCATTCAACTTGCAAGATAGCGGTGGTAAATATCCTCATTTTTGGACAACCAAATTGATCATAGATGATTGGCGGCATATAACCACTATATCATAGATATCCACCCAAATCTTCCAATTATAGTCACAGACTTTCTTCCTCCATGGAAAATTCCATCGGCCCAGGAGATGCTGGACGCATGTCTCTCACCCGACTTGGCTCAAACAATGGGCCTCGGAGGCGGGAACCGCCATCCAATCTGGTCGCGCAAAGCGACAAGAACCGCCCGCACCGGAGTGATAGCTCTATGTTGGGCCTTTGTTGGGCCCTGTTGAGCCCAAGCTTGGCAACTTGGCCGGTTTTGGGTCCCTTTGAAAAACGGTGGAAACACACAACTCGCAGGATTACAGAGCAATAAACCCCACCTTCCGTGGCGGATTTTCAGGCGGATGGGATTAGCCATTTGCTAACATCCAGGATCATTTGCTGCGCATTGGGGGGCCAGGTGACAACATGACTGCGGTCCTCGTCGTGTTTACCGATGCTGGTCGACAGGCGGGGGGGAAGGCTGTACACAGCGGGTTTGGGGTCCTGGATCATCGGGAAGTCATCAGAAAAAATGAAGGTTTTACCGACCAAAAAGAGGAACACAGTTAAGAAAATGGGGATGGAATCCAAAAACACTTGCCATAAATAGATATAATATTGGCTATGTCTAGGAATTTTATTTTCCAAACCCATTTCTTCAAGGTTCGGTGTGATTTATTGCGATCTACCTTCAGGTGGGCAGATCACTCGAGCTGGACTAGTGGATGGTTGTTCAGTAAAGGTATCCACGAGTTTGAGACATTCATTTTTTTTCTGCCGAGTGGTTAAGTAGTTCTGGTTCATTGTGTGTGGTAACCTGGAACAGCTTCTGGCAGACCATGACAAACACAGAATGGTTGGGATTTCGCCACAACAAGTCAAGTTCCTCAGATTGTCGAATGACTGTTTACTCTACAGTTTATATATATATACACTGTTTGTCGTTTTATCATGGTATTATCATGGTTTATCAGTAGAAATTCTATCTGAAAGTTCCAATAGAAACTATTCAACAACATTTTCCTCTTTTGGGGATCAATCATTTTATTCCAAGTGTTGACGCCATTGCACATGTGGATGTAGGCCAATTGGCTTGAGACTTCGATGGTGCCTCCAGCGCGGCTTGCCCTATTGCCAGATGTCGGTGTCGCCATGTGAAACAAAAGGGGGCCCTAAAATCCAGGGCTTCATCATTTTATTCCACTTTTTGGCCATTTCGGAGGTATCAGCATTTCCAGATTTGGAAGCGAAAATCAACCACGGGAAGGCACTTGATTTTGGTGGTGAACCTGGGGATTCGACATATTCGTTTGCCTCATCCCATAAGAAATTGGTCCATGTCGAGGTGGATTTCCCCTTGTTGGACATTGGAAAAATGTGATCTTGGTGAATTTTGGTTGGTGGATAGTGATTCCTCCGGTTGATGTTTGTCTCTAAAACCACTTTTCAAATCGATCCAAATCGGAATCCCTCCGTACTTTGGATTGCTTCTTTGGATCATCTCTTACAAAGTCTTACAGCAACGCAGATACCAAGAAAAGGGATACCCTCTGGTAATTTAACATAGCTATTGAAAATGGCCATAGAAATAGTGGATTTTCCCATTAATAGCATGGTGGATCTTTCCAGTTCGCTATGTTAAATTTCCAGAGGTAAAACCTGCATCCCATGTTTATCTCAACATGGGGATGTTCCATTGCTTGGACCGACCATGACCTTCTGCACCGGACTCCTCGTCTGAGGACATGGATGTGTCCATACCGCTGATCCGCTGATCATGCCACCTTGAGCGAGGTGTAGCGGAACAGCGGAACAGTGAACAGCAGTGCACAGCTATCTGATAATCACTATTTATTAGTATACATTATATATCACTATTGTTAGTATATATCACTATCATTAGTATATATATATATCACTATTAGTATACAGTATATATCACTATTAGTATATATAATAAATGAATATCATTATTGGGCATAAAGGAACCAGGGACTCCAAGCCAGCCTTCCAGGAAAGGACAACCCAGAGCCTCCACCCGTTTGAAGCACTCATCCCGCGGCTAGGGGTATCCATGAGGCATTGCAGAAACTCATGCACGTGAACTCAGCATTTCACGGATTTTATACATACATACATACATGCATGCATGCATACATACATACATCCATACATCCATCCATCCATGCATACATACATACATACATACATACATATATATATATAGAAAGAACTGAAGTGAAGAGTGAAAATGATGTCGGTTGCGTCGGCCCTGCCCTCAATTAGGCTCTTCTCACTGAGTACATCTCAAAATTGAGAAATGTTTCCGACCAAAATGATGCACCGTTTGCAGCTTGTAACGGCGCACCCTCCAACTTGTACACCCGAAATCGAACCTGGAAGAAACATGACCAGTCCCTTGGGTTCAGTGGATTCCGTCCTGCCGTGATGCTCATATAGCTTCAGTTTATTCGCAGCATGACAAGAATGGGCATCCACACAGCTGCGCTAAGATGGGTCAAGCATGTGATTTTGTACCACATGTGCAGTCACTAGCCAACTCTTGTGGCATGATCAGCAGCCCATCTGGATGTCAAACACCATCTAACAACAACAAATTCCAAGAAACTAGCTGGATGGTTGACAATGGAGGTTGAGGCTGGGTCAGACCATCGGCGCTGGCACTTCCAGCAGAAATGAATGTTGTTTTAGCAAAATCGCTACCTTGATGCAGAAGTGGAATATGTAGTGAATGTAGTGCACAGAACTATGTAGTGTGATTTACTGGTTGGTGGTTGAATTGAAAGAACCACACATACATTTTCCAGTCTATTTGGGAAACCGCTAGCCAGTAGAGAGGCCAAAAAGAGGCTAATCAGTCTCAGAAGAACCCTAGTCATATTTGGGTCTCGAAGTTCCAACAAATACCATATTGTAGAGTTGCTCCAACCTACTTCAGTTACTACAGGTACAATAGCAAACTTCACCAACCCTTTATCTGGGCTGGGAGCAACCCTGAATTGATTTTTTACATGCCCCAAGGTGCATACCTATGACCATGGTCACGCCCAAAAATGGAATCCCATGAATAGGTCCTGCTTTCTTGACTAGGTCCGCATTCTTCTTGACCACATGCTCAGTTTTCCTGCTCAAATTCAAACTCTTTGTTGGCTGACCCCTTCGGTAATTCTTTGCTTAACAGCACTGTTTTTGCTTTTTGATGTTGATCTCTAGATTTGGTTGCAAAAACATCCCAGGATCCACTTGATATGTCCAATCATCCCATCTTTTTTAAAGGGGAATCCCATCTTTTGGTTGGTCAGAAATACCCACCAATCGGTCAGTATACCCTGTACCCTTTTTGTTGGCAGGTATTCCCATGTGTGTTTCTTTACCCCCCATGTTCGGTGCTTCAGAGCCAATGTTTGGCACTTCAACTCCTTATTCCTGTTGCATGCTGATGACAACGCCATTCTTGGTCCTGAGCACCAAAATATTAATGCATTTTGTTGATTAGAACTTCCGCCTCCATACTTTTGCTGGTCAATGCCTCCATCAAATGGGGAGAGCATGGCATGACTCAAATTCTTGACCCCCTTTTTGCGTTGGTTGTATTCTTAAAAGTCATTGCCATTTCTGTGGAGGATTTTTCCAATGTTTTCTTGGTTCCATTTCATCTCCTTTGTGGTCGACGATAATATCATCATCATCATCATCATCATCATCATCAGCATCACCATCACCCTCACCCTCATCCTTATCATCTTCATCATCATCATCACCATCATCATCATCATCACCATCACCATCACCATCACCATCATCATCATCATCACCATCATCATCATCATCACCATCATCATCACCATCACCATCACCATCATCATCATCATCATCATCACCATCATCATCATCATCATCACATATATATATACTGTGTATATAATTTTGATTATGTATATTACTATGAATATATATATATATGTATCCGAATGTATCCCACTGATCTCCCCATTCATTTCCGTTGCGTTCTTCTTTGTCAATCGAAGGTGAAATGACCAGCATGACCTCCACGATGGCTTCCACGACGGTCACACTGACCACCACAACGGTGGTGACTGGGCAGCCTGGGCACCCTCTGCCAAGAAAGATGGTTGGGAAATCCACCATAAATATCGCTCATAAACAACCGTGTGAGTGCATTTAAATGCAAGAAAATCGTCTATCAACAGTGGATTTTCCATTGCTATGCTTGATTACCAGAGGGTATGGATGATATGCGGATGTGGAATTGATATTCGATCTATCTTCACTCCAAACAACACCCACTTGTTTTCGACGTGATTTTTCAAATCCGGCCATATATTTTCCCCCAAACATCAGCATTTTGGTGGGCAAACACAGATCATGAACTGATGTCTGTATATGGGGTTGATATCTGGACGCGTAACCCATGCCGAAGTGAGGCCAATGCAACAAACAATGCAAGAAACACCAGGGCTGGAAAGATGCTCCAAGAGAACTAGCAGAACTACAGTACACTAATCCCCCGAAACAATTCAAACAGATTGAAAAGTAACTTATTTTATTGTTTTCTAGCGATGTTACTTTTCTATCTTTTCTGGGTTGTTTTTGCTCTGGCTCTGGTGCGATTTTCAGCCGATACCAACCACATGCCATCCATTGCATTGCCAAGAGATAAATTCTCTATTCAATAAACATATATATTTCTGGTACCATTACCATTACCATATACTACCAGAACCTACCCAGTTGTAGTTTAAGATCGCCATGGACAATGGTCATTTTTCAATGGGTACATAATCTACAATTGAGTCATTTACTTATTAATAATGATAATGAATATAAGTGATAACAATCGACGTACTTATTTTTGTGACTATTTGGAAAGTGATCTTTTTACTGATAAAATCATCAATGGGTTATTTTCCATGGCGAAGTTATAGCCATAAAAAGTTGCCATCCTGCTCATCCCTTATCAGGTCAGGACCGTGGAGCAGGAGCTCAGTAAGGAAGACCGGATCGTCATCACGTTGCTTAATAAAATCGTGCGGGGATAGACTGGGGATGATTGGACATGGGGATGTTTCTGCGTGGCTCAACATCACTAAGGTGATGAACTCATTTGTGGTTTGCCTGGAAATGAGAAAGAGTTCCCCCCAATGGCCTAATATATAGGCGTTTGATGCCATTTGGAAATTGGGAGCATCATTTTCTGCAGGACATTTCGGGGTGTTTCCATATGCCATGACATGAGGCGAAGGATGAAGCAAGCTGCAACAATGGGACCCGAATGTAGCCATGGGAAATGGCCATGTTTAATAGGTACATCATCTACAAAAATAGTAATTTTCTGTGGCTATGTCAATTTTCCAGAGGGTATCCACAACCCACAAATCATGGTTGTTAAATTGTGACTTGCGCTTAGTCCGCACATCTATCACCGTCATCAAACGACTACCAAGAATGAGGCATTTTTGCTTGAGAAAATGTGTTTTTGATGTTTTTTTGTTGAGATGAAAGAAACCATCTGAATGATTCCTTTGCAGAATGGTTTCACAAATCAACATTCACATCTCACATATACTGTATGTACAATATCTGTCTATTTGTCTATCTGTTGATCTATCTATCTATCGATCGATCTATGTATGCGTGCATCCTCTGCCTGCATACCTTGCCTCCTACCTCCACCCATCCACCCATCCATCCATCCATCCACCCATCCACCCATCCATAGATCCATAGATACATAGAAGCTATACAATGTACACAAACCCAACGCGTCTTGCAAACCACTCATGAAACAACTTCACAACTTCCTCCCACGAATCCCGCAGGTTTACAGCCCTGGGAACCCTCCTGGTGTGCATCATCTGTGGCTGCTGCATCGATCGAATACGGATCCTGCTGCGTCGGACGCGCCAAGCCTTGCCCGAACTCCCCGAGACTTGGTCGAGAAGGGGTTTTTTGGATGGTGAGAATCAGGTGATCGATGGCGAAACATAGCACTGAAATTGGGTCTGTGTATATTAATTATATGAGCTATGGTCAATACTCATGGTTAATAACCATTAATAGGGGCTAGTCATCCAATGGTTCATAGGGATTTATAATAACCATGGCTCATATATGTATATTCGTATTACATGTAATGCCAACCCCGGAATAAACCATGGTTTATTAATCGGGGGGTATTTCCCCAATAGTCATGATTTGATACTTAAATAGTACCTTCCCAATTAAACAGCCTAGGGGTTTATTAATCCCGGGTTGACATTATATATCTGCCTTGGCAATTCGGACATTTTTTATTTTATTCCGCTTTGTTCACCTGTGAGCCACTGTCCAGTTAAAAGGGTTGATTGAGTAAGCAGTGGTTCACGCCATTCTTGATATTGATGAACCCTGGCCACCTCAAGAAGCTGTGGACATTTCCATCAGTCAGTTTGGTAACTAACCTGCAGGCGACACTGTCGCAACATCTCGAACAAGAGGACATTGAAATACGAACAGAATTTCTTACGGATTCTGTCAGACTCTGCAGAAGAAGAAGAAGCAAAAAGTTGAGAAGGAGGCCGACACCATGTTTGAAGATTTTTCCCATTCTTTCGCTAGCCAAATATACTTGGAGATACAAGAGTTCTAGACTCTTGGCTTCGATGCCGTCAAACCATGGCGTTATTCTCCAGAAACTGCGCAGTTCACATGAAGATGGCTTGCCCCCAGCAACTGGTCGATTTCCAGGCCGCACCACATGTTTCCAATAGGTGACATTGGCAATCAAAGCCGGAGTATAGATAAAATTTGGCAACCCCAACAAGCTGCGGGCATTTCCATCACTCAGTTTGGTAGAAAATCTGCCCGCGCCACCGTCGCAACATCTCAAACAAGAGAGCAGAACATATGAATTATTTTGCTTTGGCAGTGTTAGGCCTGGCAGAAGAGTCGGAAGGATCTTGAGGACAGCCGTGAAAAGGAGGCAAGCCTCGACGTTTCCAGCCTTGTTTTTGGCTGCTCAGTGCCTAGAGATAGGGCGTTTGCAGCTTTGTTTGTTCCGAAAAGAAGGGTGGAAAAGAAGCGAAACTTGCATCCTGGAAGGTGGCTGGCTCTGGCTTCCACGCCAAGTGGCATCTAATTATACCGTGCAGGAGCTCCAAAAAGCGTTTTTGCTGGTGCCGGCAGAGTGGATAGGCTAGTATTTCGTTCTTTTTCATGCCCAACCACGCAATTGCAGTAGCCACCCGAGCATGGATGTTGAGGTGGCCCAGAAGAAGAGACGTCAAGGAGAAGGACCAGAAGCTGGCTTGGAGTCATAGACAGCGGCAAGAGGGCAAGAGATCGGAAAAAAGCGCGAGAAGATCAACACGGGTTAGTTCAAGAGCGTCTGATGCAGCCCAGTCGTGGAAAAATGAAAGTCTTGGACGGATTCGTTTCCTGCTACTTGAATTGGGTGAAGCGACAAGAAGCCCTGCGACTCAGTGATGCCATCTTTGCAGCATTTGTTTGCTGTTATCCAGAACCTCTAGGAACATTTTTTGAGTTTTGTTGACACTGGAATTATTCAGGTTATGCTCAGCGAAGAATGTGCCTTCACCGGCCTGGCTAAGTTCAAAACAAGATAGGACCTGTTGCCGGAAGCCTACTGGAATGTCATCGATGGCCAGGAAGCCAAGTCAGCCAATCTTGGCACGAAGGACATGAGAGCAGCTGAGCAGGTTGTGCTTGCTGGATCATCCTACGCCTGGCCTTGTTGAGATGCTGCGCAATGGCACTGCTGCCAACGCCGCGCCACGGAGCACGGCGTTTTTTCAGTTCGCCGCTTGGCGATGTTGGAGCCTGAGAAGGAATGTGTGCGAGAGAGAGAGATAGACAGAAGGAATTGATGACAAACGTTGAACTATGGGAAGAATATGTGCAGAGTTTGGTCGTCTGTGCCAGTCACCAGCTGCCCCAGCAGTTCTCGAATTTCCGAGACCTTGCTGTTATCAAAAGCAACAGAACTGTTGCTTCATTGATTTCGGCGGCCTCAGTTTGAGGTTTGATTCATTTTGCCATTTTACCAACACAGTTCAATGCAATCACATCCAAATACAAACGATCATATCGCAGTTGTTATTTTTTGCAGGGTGCTGGCTTCAACATGCTGAGGTGCCCAGCTTTCATCGACACATTCACTGCGTTACGAGGCTGCCACGCTGAGACATGAAGTGGCAAACTACCAGGCGTTTTGCCCGGTCGTGCGGCATGAACAACTACGTCTACGAGCTTTGATGGACAAAAAAATGCCAGGGAAGCTCGCAGAAAGGAGAGGAGAGCTGGTGAGCAGACGTCCAAGCCCACGCCATGAAGTCCAAGCGTGCGCCAGAAAGGAGAAAAAAGCGTGCAGAGTGGTCACATTATATTGTAACGATCCAAGTCTTCTGGGCTATTGCCAGTAAATTGCCAGTGAACCATCTTGAGCATATTTCAGCAATATCGTTAGTATTTTTCGAAACCAATGAAATGCCAACGCAGATATTTACAATATATATATACTGTATGTATATACACATGTATATTATTATACTGTATACACACGTATATACTATATACTATATATATATATACATATGTACATAAATGTAATTATAGATATGTACATATTTACACACATATATATATTTACGCAAACTTATATACATATAAATGAACATATATAGATACATATATACATATATACATATATATGTATATGTATTTACATATATATATATTCACATATATATATATGTATATATATATATGTATATTTACATATATATATGTATATTTGCATGTATATATTTATTTACATATATATATATATTTACATATATATATATATTTACATATATATATTTACATATATATTTACATTTACACATTTTTTGTATATATTATATTTACATATATATATATATTTACATTTATATATATATATTATATTATATTTACATATATACAAAAATAATTTTCATATATATATTTACATATATATTTACATTTACACATATATACATATATATATATATTATATTTACATATATATATATATTCACATTTTTATATATATTATATTATATTTACATACAAATATATATACTTACATATGTATATTTATTTACATATATGTAAAAATATAATTAGATATATATATATACTTACATATATATATATTTACATATATATATATTCATTTACATTTATAGATATTTATTTACAGATATATAAATTTATATTCACATATATATACATATATTTACATATATATTTTTACATTTATATATATATTTACATATATATGTATGTTTACATACATATGTATTTTTACATGTATATATACATTTACATATATATGTATATTTACATATACACATATATTTATTTACATATATATATATCCATATATATATATATTTACACATATATATATATATTTACACACACATATGTATATATTTACATATATACAGATTTACAGTTATATATTCACATAAATAAACAGATATATATATATGTATATATTCACACACGCACATATATATATATACATGTATATATATATAGATATATTCACATATATATATATTTAATATTCATGTAACAATATACATATGTATAATAACATATATTTATGGTATCATGCAAATCCAGGTTCTCTGATTGATTACCTTGGGTGATCCCCCCAATAAGTGATCTCCTGCTATTCACACGAAACTTCAAAAAAACAACATTTTTTGAAACCAGACAGCTCGTTTTGTGATTCCGAAATTGCGACAACATCGACGACCTTCAAAAAATCCTTCCCAAAGTGTGCTCTTGAAGGCAGAAATAGACGAGATGGCAGATATCACCTGAAATCCATGTGTCGGATTTTAGTTTCATGGCACGTCGCAAACAAAGATTTAAATCTGCAAGATTTAGGTTGAAACTACACAAATCATTTGAGTCGACTAATCCCTTCGTCCCAATATGCAATAATATGAAGTACCCCGGAATTAAACGCTGGTCTAGTATTGGATGGTTAAATCTCCAGTATATTTCCATTATACAAGTCTTCATTAAATCCTTTTTAGCCCCATTAAATCCTCATGACATTCCATGCATCATCCTATAAGTATACTGTCAAGTGGATGAAGCTGGCAGTCGCAGTCTCGTCCTCAACCGAACCCCGTTGTTTTTGACGATTCCATCGAGGAAACGCAAGATATCGCCAAAGTCATGCGACGTTTCAGTATGTTGGGTGCAGAGGCGGAAGTGTCGGAATTCTGGCTGAAACCACGTGATATGTTTTCTTATGGTTTCTTGAAATGGACATTGGTCAAAACCTAGGATTGTCTATAAATTTTGGGGGATGCATCGGATGGACATCCAATAACCCTAGTTATTTTGGGGGAACAGAAGTAGGGCACCAGGGTTTTGAACCATACCCAAATATCAAATATTATCATTAAGAATGTCAAAATTGGGATAGTTGAAAAGTGACACCCGAAGGAAACATCCAAATGACATTGTTTTGTTTGGAAAGGGATGGACTCTGAAATCCAACTCTTAATTAGTGAAATTGAATGGAAATCTACGATGTTTTTTTTTTGGTGGATCCTAATGAGGCATGAAGTTCAGAGAGCGGGATTTCTAACCATACGCTGAACAACGCCTGAAATGAGCCAAATTTTTCCATGTTGTGTGGAGGAATGAAGGTGCAATAGAATCCGATAGAAGAAATCCCAAGATGGAGGCCATAATTAGTCCAGCCCCCGTCACTTATGGCATACTCAACTTTGGTTTGGGGGTCATGAGTTGGTGTATAATCCCAATAACAATACTGTAAATATATCTGCCGCAAAACCAGCATGTATCTTAGTCTTAGTGTCTTCACCACATGTTGTTTTTTGGTCATTGTTTGTCTATGAACTATCCAAGTTAACAAAGGTAGATCAACTAGAATTCGATCAGCAATCAGCTGTATAGATCAGCATTTTTGTTGGGTCAGACCCCCATAACTTTCGCCAGGACTTCCCGACTCAGCTGCAAGACACAGCCGAGTCGCCCCCTGACGTGGAACCTCGACGGATTTCACAAAGGGGGAGTTTACGCGAATCATGGAGATATCATGAGATATCCGGATATAACAACCATTGAATACTATGTATAATATACATATACAAGCAAACATATATATATATAGATAGATAGATACACATATAGATAGATAGATAGATAGATAGATAGATGGATGGATGGGTGGATAGATAGATAGATAGATAGATGGATAGATAGATAGATAGATAGATAAGAAAGATAAGATAGATAAGATAGATAAGATAGATAAGATAGATAAGATAGATAAGATAGATAAGATAGATAAGATAGATAAGATAGATAAGATAGATAAGATAGATAAGATAGATAAGATCGATAATATAGATAAGATAGAAAAGATAAGATAGATAAGATAGATAAGATAGATAAGATAGATAAGATAGATAAGATAGATAAGATAAGGTAAGATAAGATAAGATAAGATAAGATAGGTAGATAGATAAGATAGATAAGATAGATAAGATAGATAAGATAGATAAGATAAGGTAAGATAAGATAAGATAAGATAAGATAGGTAGATAGATAGATAGATAGATAGATAGATAGATTAGATAGATTAGATAGATTAGCTAGATTAGATAGATTAGATAGATTAGATAGATAGAAATTAGATAGATTAGATAGATTAGATAGATTAGATAGATTAGATAGATTAGATAGATTAGATAGATTAGATAGATTAGATAGATTAGATAGATTAGGTAGATTAGATAGATTAGATAGATTAGATAGATTAGATAGATTAGATAGATTAGGTAGATTAGATAGATTAGATAGATTAGATAGATTAGATAGATTAGATAGATTAGATAGATTAGATAGATAGAAATTAGATAGATTAGATAGATTAGATAGATTAGATTAGATAGATAGATAGATTAGATAGATTAGATTAGATTAGATTAGATTAGATTAGATTAGATAGATTAGATTAGATTAGATTAGAGTAGAGTAGATTAGATTAGATTAGATAGATAGATAGATATGCATAGATAGATAGATATGCATAGATAGATAGATATGCATAGATAGATAGATATGCATAGGTAGATAGATAGATAGATAAATAGATAGATAGATAGATAGATATGCACAGATACATATATATATATATATATATTGATATAAACAGCAAACATGGTTGCCACCTTCTCAACTGCTCCGAATGCGCTACTGAATGGACTCTGCTGATGTACCTACCAGTAGCTGCCTTTTCAAGAATCGGACACATCCTACTGTCGCAACCCTCAAAGCATGTCTATATATTTATATATATATATAACTAGCTTGAAACTTGGCAATTGCCCTGAACCCCTTCAACTTCGAAGCGGAATTCGAACAAAGGTATTGGCTCCCTGGATATCACATAAAATGCTTGGTATTCATGGATGTTCATCCCCACATCAACCAAAGGTCCCCATGTCGCAATAGAAATCACCCATTGATAGATGACCTTCCCGTAAAAACTAGGTTTCCAACTGTTTGATCACGGGAGTTGCGGGCCTTTTGCGTGACATCTGCAGGATTCTGCGTCTATCCGATCACGGGAGAGTCACAAGTCTGATAGACCACCGGAAGCAGAGGACCCAGCGCTACAGATGGGATGATTGTCCAGATTGACACTGTCTTTTTGAGTGTTGAAACCACTAACCAGTAAGTTATAGTTACAGTTTATGGCCTAACTTTAGATATGTCTACCATAAATCCTAGGAGTTAATAGTGAAGCCTCAATTTTCCCCTGGGTTTGATCAGTTCAGTCGACAGTGTGACAGTTGACTCGGTTTTGGAAACGTCATGAGAACATGGATTAACTAGCAACGCACGGGAATACCAGCGCCAATGGATCAGCAATTTTGAAAAAAGATGTCAAGACTGTTTAGACATAAATACCCAGCAATATTGAGAAGATGGATTTACAAGCAACCATGGGAATATAGCAGCAACAATCATGGGGATATTTATTAATTAATGGAATATTGATGGGATACTTATGGGGTTGATAAAATACCCTCTGACAATCAAACATAGCTATGGAAAATCCACATTCATAGATGATTTTCCCATTAAAACCCAATTTATGTGCGATTTTCAATCATCATGTATCTACTTCTACCCAAACCTTTGGGCTTTCTGAAAGTGAGCTACATTGGATCTGGCCGCATGGTTGACTGAAAGCGATATATGTCCAGAGGACTGCTGAATTCCATTGGTTCCCATATCTTCTTTGGTTGCGCGTCGCACCATTTCTGATAGCTCACAAAAAATGACTTTTGCGGCCCAAGAAAATGATGGTTGTTGTTGTTGTTGTTGCTGCTGTTGTTTGTGCTGATATTCCCATGATAGGGTTTGTAAGTTATGTATACGTATATATACGTATATATATATGTATTTATATTATACACATTGCAGCATCACCGTTGCGAATCTTCTATCACACCCGACTATAGACTATGGAATTTTGGCTCAATCATCCCATTCCCATTTCATCAGACGCCCAAGAACCATGCTTTAGCATTTGAACTGCTACCTTAGATGGGATCCCATCTAGGGGCATCGTGAATTTGTTATAAAGGGGTGGTGTTTTGTCAATGGAAAGGTACTGATGATAACACTGGTCGTCGTACTACATACTGACATATATGTATCCCATTAATTCAAAAAGGACCCACACACACACTGTTTTTCTTACCGCAACTCCATTGCAAGAGCTCCACGGCATTCGAAGCAGCAGGAGCAGCGACAAGCGATGCCCCATGAGATTCGAGAAGCTGCATCGGCCATAGAGGACAGATGGGGATTGGACCATCGATTCGATAGCTATTTACCGTTGACCCTGTCTAAACAACACGAGGCGCTGTGTACAAATACAATGTATATATGGATGAATACATAATAGGATACTAATATCCATATGGGCCAAAATGGTCATTCAAATATGGGGAAAACGCTGACCCACTGGAATTTGGGGTAAGTTTTGGGGCATCCAGACTTGACCTGTCATTGGGGATCATTGGGGGATGACGATGAATTTCTGCCCACTGAAGGCACCAAAAATCATCCACATATTGACCAAGCAATGAATGAATCAATTTGCAAAGCGTATATTCGTATTAAGTAGTATTTTTGCTAAGCAGTAGTAACCCCACTAGCATTGATAATACTATATATTACTATTTGTATTTAACCATTAGCAAGCAGTATGAATAGTAGTGGTTCCCCGACAAATAAAAATCAAACACGGTGAGAGGATAGTGGGACATACGGGGACCACATGGTCTCGCTAAGCTACATACTGCTACAGGAGCGGGCCGCGCCGATTGTGCAGCCTCCTAAGCAAGAGGCCATGCGTTATCCAAGAGCCGTCTCTGATTTGTACCATTGTTTTTGTAGTTATCCAATTTTCTCAATGAATTTCGATTTTTGACCAGTCCTCATCCAATATTTGCAGGTGAAATGCCCAAAGTCACCAACAAGATCCCAACAGCCAGCATAACCCAATTTCCTCATATCATAATTATTAGTCATACCATGATTTTTCCACGATTTTCCCCATAGAAAAACACCAAGAATTGCCACAGCTGAAGGCCGCCGCCGCCCCAGATGTGGCCGCTCCAGCACTAGCATCACCAGCGGCGCAGGCGACTCCCATGGGTTTGGTGTTTTTTTTGCCTGCCCACGGGAATAAATACCATAGGCATCCATAGGGGATTTTGTTGGGCCTTAAGCATATCGAAGTCACTCAAAATGGAATAATGTGAGTGAAGTAATAATAAACCACCCATATTATGATGGTTTATACCACCCATTGATGTTAAATTCGGGGATGGCTTACTAGTGCTTTACTGACATCAAAGGCCAACATTTGAGAGTGGATTGTCAACTATCAAACAAGGGTTTCACCAGCGAAACTTGGTGATCTATCCAGCAAAAGTTGGGATTCAATCATTGAGTGGTCTCCAATTTTTTAACCCGGGATTTCCAAGCTAATTACTGGTTGATGATTCAATTTTTCAGAATCATTCAGAATCGTTTTTAAATTTTAAAACAAAAAGTGCTGAATTGTCTTCCAATTTAAAAAACAAAATCGTGCTGAATTGTTTTCAAAATTTTAAAACAAAATCGTGCTGAATGGTTTTTAATTTTAATTTAAAAGCAACAACAGTTAAAGCGACACAAACTGCATATATAAATGGAAATTCAGCCAGCACCGCGAAACATGGATGATCATAATATAATATATATACACTATCTATATAATATTATATATATGATACATAAAATATCTTTAATATATATATATATATATAATACATATAATATATGATATATGATACATATAATATATGATATAAATAATATATTATAAATTATATGTATTATATATATTATATATTATTTATATTATATATATATTATATTATATATATTATATATATTATATATATTATATATATTATATATATTATATATATTATATATATTATATATATTATATATATTATATATTATATATTTTATATATTATATATTTTGTATTATATATATAATATATAATATATATATAATATATGTATATATAATATATATAATATATAATATATATATAATATAATATATATATAATATAGATAATATATATTTTATAATATATATATATATAATGTATAATATATATAATATATATAATATATATAATATATATAATATATATAATATATAATATTTATAATATATATAATATATAATATATATAATATATATAATATATATAATATATATAATATATTTAATATATAAAATATATAATATATAATATATATAATATATATTATATATATATTATATACTATATATAATATACTATATATAATATATAGTATATAATATATATATAGTATAATATATATAATATATATAATATATAGTATATAATATATATAGTAATATATATATATATATATCATATAATATTTTGAAATAATATACAATATAATATAATATGATTTTATTTGATATGATATTTAATACAATATATAATTTTAATAAAGAATAATATACATAATTTTATAGATAATATAATCTATAATTTATTTTACAATAAAATGTATAATACAATATTCTTTTTAATTTAATATATTTTATAATGTAGGATATAATATGATATTTGATATGACATTATATAATGTATATAACACATTCTATATTTTTTATATAACATTATATTTTATATTATATTATATATCAGATATATAACATATTTTATATCATATAGTATATATATATATCATTTTTTTACATACAATACATATTATATATATATTATCAAAAACGAAGTCTACCGACAAACTTGTCAGGCTGAATCAACAAACATGAATTATCCAGTGGAATCCTAGGAGACTTGATCAAAAATCCAGTGGTGCTTTAATAACACACCATGTATTATGGTCATGCGGGACATCCGCACCGAGTAGATTCTGGCTTGTGATTGCTCGGCAATGTAGGTAAGCATCAACACCATATGGATGCAGTATTCTGCACATTTGTGAACTTGGGCGAATACGTATTCCGTATTCCCATTTCCCGCAAGACTTATGAGGAATCTTGATAGGCAACCATGTCCAGTAGCCAATTTTTCGTGGCCCAAGAAGATATGCTGAGATCCCACCTCAACTTACCCAAGTACCAGGCTGGTGTTGGTAACCCGACACTTCAGGTTACAAACTACAACTGGTTGGAGGCTTCTAGAGGTTATACAGTTATACCCGAGTCAAAACTCAATTCCAGGGGCTGCAGAGTGTAGAGATCCCTGGAGGCAAAAACACGATTTGCCCAAAAATGACGGATGACCTGTTTAATATGTTTTTTGGAAAGTGTTTTCTTAAAGATTCATTCCCAGAATTGTTGGGAAAATATGCAAGAAACCCTTGTACATTGGAGGTACACTTCAATTTTCCCTGGATTTTCCCTTAAACCAATGGAATGAGTCCAATTTTCCCATAGGATTTTGCTGTGCTTTTTTTTTAAACGCAACGCCAGGAAGATACCGGCGGGGACGCTAGGCGGGGCAAGCATCCTTTTGGGGCCGTTGACCCATAGACATCTCACTGTGTTGATTTGCGATTGGGAAGCATTGCTAATTCAAGTAATGTCCCATTTTGACTTGGCTTGATACTGTTAGATATACCCTAAGAATCCCCAAAATCCCAGGATTTTGTAACACATTTAAGGAATGAGCAGCTCAGCTACCGATCTGTAGGCTGTCATATCCTCGTTTCGGTGGCTTCGAATCACATCTGCCAGGTCCTAAAGCGCTGCGGCTCTTTTTTTCAAAGCTTTTGAGTCAGACCTGCCTGAAGAGAAACAACATGGTCTTGGCGAAGAAACACCCAACACGCACACACACTGCTGATGGGAGCATGTTACTGAGTAACATTACTCGAATGAGGAACTTTATAGTGATGAAGTAGTTCATGCCTTGAGGGTTCCTAGGTCCAAAATCCTGGTCAGTCGAGTAGGGAAAGCAGTGGGAAACTCTGATTTCTGAGATAATCTCAAATTAGCAACATATACGCATGAAAATGGACAGCTTGTTCAACAGTTCAAAACCAACTTCTGCAGGTACAGGGAGGTGATCAGTCTCCCCTTCCCACCAATGGCAATAGCTTCGTTGCGTGCAGTATGCCAAAGGTGCTGCACGCCCCTGCATCTGATGGATTGTTTGAATCAACTTGTTAACAGAAACTCAGGTCCGCATGAGTGATAGCGGATTTCACACACACAATGGCCCCCCCGGCAGGGGAGGCAGCTGCTGGTGAACGCTGTTTTTCATCGCAGTATCAGTTTGCAATATATACATGTCCTAGAAATTCTTGTACAACATATGGGAAAGGTTCACTGTAAATCAAATGGTCTCCTTGGGACAGAATAAGGGTCCGGACTGCGTTCCCGTTGGAGAGCGACTCTTCTGAAAACGATCGGTTGAAGGGAACGAGGACTGAACAGATGAACCATCAGCTGCAGTGAAAGACCGATCTTGACGTCGATGTGATGTAGAACTTGCATTTTCAGAAAGTGGCTCGATCAAAACGTTCTTGATACTCGAGCGTGTCTGACCATCATAACTATAGGGCTCCCGGACTTGCGATCTGGATCGTTCACTTTCATTTTCGAAACGAGACTCAACTGAAGCGTTCTTGATACTCGAACGTGTCTGACCATCACAAATATAGGGTTCCCGAACTGGCGATCTGGAGCGATCGGTGAGACGTTTCCGAAGGGACCACTGTTCCAAAGTATTGCTAAGTTCACGCAACGAAGGCATCGTAAGAAGGAGATAGATTGGTTTGAGTTTGAGCTTAAATATACTCTTCAAAATTCAAAAACGTGTGATTCGAACTGTCAAAGTCAAGATTCGCAATCGGCAAAAGTATGATGAAAACAACTGAGTTGAGAAAAACACAACATGAACATAACTGAAAAGGTAAATGAAAAAGAAGAAAACAGTGTGACGTTATCGAACTTCAGATGAAAAACGTCAAAGAATGCCCATTGATGAAAATGTCCAACATCAAATGACTTCACGAAAGTGATGGCGAATGACGACAAAACACGACAATGCGAAATCCAGCAACTGTTTTGTCTGCGTTTCCTGTCATGGTATCTAGTCAAAGTGAAAAAGAGAATCAGGATCAAGTTGTGGATGACGTGAGCGTACCAATTTGATAATCTGACTTCTCAAAGTAGAAGACAATACATCACGTTGTCGTCGAGACCAAATGGACAGAAAATCTTGAATTTGAGGTATTTGTAGAGAACTGGGCCATGTATTCTGCAAAATGAGACGAATTCTGGCCAGAGCTCCGGACGTGAGTGCCTTAGTCGTACTTGAACTCCTTGTTGAACGAAACGCTTTGTCCACAGGTTGAAGATATGTAGTTGTACGCTGTAACACGTCAGCGTTGTATCCTAACAATTCAGATCCTTCAACTTGTTCAAGTAGAATGGGAGGTGAATAGAATGAAAGATTCCAAAATAACTGCATTTCTGAGTTCCAGTGTCCCACAGGAAGTAGCATCACTCGATTGTCAACGTAACGATGATGAAAAGTGGAATTGTTGGTAAATTGACGAAAACAGGACAGAAAAGTATGTTCTCGCATGAGTGCGACAGCTGCACAGAAAATAGGTGCCCATTGACTACCCATGCTGGCACCACGTTTTTGTAAAAATGTAGACATTCCGACGGTGAAAAAACTGTGATTCAACAGAAAGCTACAAATAGGTAGAATGTCGCCCAAGCGAATATCACGATACATCTTGGTGTGTTGTCGCCATTGACCTCTAAAAACTCGCAGGGTGCGTTCATGTTGATATACGTGTGCTTGAAGTACAGAATCGAAGGTCTGTCCATGTTGTAAAATATATTGATGAATGGCGAATTCAATAGATCCGAGAATGCGGTCATGTTCAACTTGGTTGTAGAAACCAGCAATATCAGTCTGAAAGAGAAGAAGGTCAGCACCATGATCAATTTGGAAAAAGCATTTGATTTCGTTCATCACCTTGTTGATATCACTGTAGCGAAGTAAGGATGGATAAACAACTTTCAAAATATCTTGCAACACCACAGACAAAATATAACCCATCTGTTTTGGCCAAGATCGACTGTAATTAACGATGGGTCGTGCTTTCATAAACGAGCGTGAAGGTTTTGGAAGAATATACGCCTTGCTTAATGATAAATGAAAATCGAAAGCCCAAGGATATCTGTCAGTGATCCATCCAGGAAGATCATACTGAATATTCTTCAGAATAGTGGCTGAATCAACATTACAAAGATGAAAAACAGAGGTGTCTTGAAATGTCTTACACAGCAAATTGTGCCACTGGACAGGACAATGTAAGGTGAGAGACGATGGAAAATGATCTGCTGGGGAAGCAATAAGTCCGTCGATCCTTTGTCGAGCCTGTCGAATACGTTTTTGAGTGTACAACTGACCTGAATCAAGTTGCAAATTCCAACAGTCTTGTAGAAAAGCCTGCCAATACTGGATCAGATCTCGGCGAAGTTTCCAACGTCGTAACCATTTTTCAAATTGGAAGGTGTTTTGATGGAAAAATTGTGTCCACGTAGGTGTAACTTCATCTTCCAAATGTGCAGTCAGAATAGGATCCAGTGGGAAACATTCCGAGGCGAAGGATGAAATATGATCTGTTTTCCGTGGATTGTGTTGAACATGGAGAGGAAACAACTGACAAGCACACTGAGGGCGAAACTGAGGTGTCCACAACTTTAGAAAAGAACGAAAATTGTGCAAATATTGAGCTAAAGTTCGATTTTTCACTGTCACAAACGGTGCACGAACTTTGTGAAAAAGTTACAGCGATGATGGTGAGTGAATCCCAGCAACCATTGTCGAAATCGACGTTCCATTGTATCCGACAAAACCTGTAACTGGATGGGTATATTCGCTGGTGGCGATTCAGTAGCATAGAATTTGAAAATATAACGCAATTGAGATTGTGCTCTGGTCCGAAAAGGTTCCGACATATGGTGGCTCAAGCGCCATAACAAGAAAATCAACTGCACATTTGACAACTTCGAACGTAGAATGCGAGAACAAATGAACTTGTCATGCGTGTCAGAACCAAGGGAATACAGGAAAATGTACAAACTTGTAGTATCCGTAATCCGACGACTAAGAATGCATTGAGCAGTTTGCAGACTGCGTTTGCGAAATCGTTTCACAAATTTCATCCCTTGAGTACTGGTCTTCAAAGTTGAAGGTCCGAATTGTTGCTTACCAATCCGAAGTTGTTTCATCAAAGGATTGATCCAAGGCCAATTGTAAATGGGGCGAAAAGTCCTTTGGCATGCTGTTTCAACTGCAAGAAGCTTGTCAACGTCAGTCTGGAGTAAAGGAAAACCAATAAATTGAAAATAGTTGCGTTGTGCTGACCAGGCCTTCAAAGCTGGTTCGTAGTAAGCAAGTTGGTCTTTCTTTAACTGTCGGTATTTTCGTAACCGACTCTGTTCTCTCGAAAACATGGTTTGTTCAGTGGAGCCAATGTAAAACTGAGCATTTCGAAAATGTAAACGACAGTACACGATGCTCGACCTGTTCCACCATGTCCATGACAAAATTTCTGGAAGTTCGCACTGCCGCAAAATAGTCAGAAGACGTCGATTTTTGGCTGAAAAAGGTCGAATGATGTAAGCAAAAATGGTCCAAACACTAAGTATCCACATGATCCGTTCCTGTACATGCCATGGTAAAGCTGGAGAAAATTGCAAAGTGTAAATCATGAATTGGATGCTAGCAAACCACAGCGACTGAAAATGTGAGGCAAGCTTCGTTGTCTCTGCACCATGCATATGCTTGGAATACTTGCGAAATGGCTGCCCCCATGATGATGGAGGACTTACTTCACTGGTTTGTAATCCAAAATGTCAGTTTCGAAGGAATTGAACGGCGGCCAAAACCTTCAAATTGTATTCCGCCTTTGTTTTGGCCAGTACTGTACTGGGGAGACCCCAATCTGAAAGAATCGATTCTAAATTTGGTCTTTCAGAGGCTGGAAACTGATTGTATTCGTCAGTAATGGTCTTCAACATGGCATCAACATTGACTTGTTCCGTCTTAGGAACATTGTTCTTGATCCACTTGTCGAGTTCAGTCATGGTATGTTTGGGTGTGTGTGTGCCTAAGATGGGTGCGTTTTGTCCACGTCGATATTGTGAGAGTGGAGAACGGTCATCTTGGGCTCCCGGCATACTTGGCATCGACTGACTTTTTTGGCGTCTGAGTTCCTCTGTTGCTGATTGACGAAACATGGATGGGAGTGTTCCGCCTGGTGGTTCCTCAGTGTTCTGAGTCTGTGATCCTTCCTGAGTAGGAACTTGACTTTGGTTGGCACGAAGAGCTGCGTTCTCTTTCTTCATTCTTTCCAGTTCTTCTAACAATGATTGATTGGAATCTTTGGGTGCCAAAGTCTTGAACAAATCAACAGTCTGTTGAATCAACGCCTCAATTCCTGAAAGCTTGGATTTCCAATCTTGAGAATCACCTGGTTCTGAAGACAAATGCTGGATGAGCTTCGCAAAATCAACATTGTCTTTTTGTCGGTAGAGTTCACGAAAAAGCATGGTAGAAAATGTGGCTTCAAGGCGATTTCGAAACATCTCACATGCGACATACCTACCATTGGCAACAAGGCGCAAAGCCCAATTTTCAAGACCGTTGGACACAATGTCGACAAGCTTAACATCAGAAATAGGAATGCCAGCTGTATTGTTCTTTCGTGAAAAATTGGTCGACTCAACATGTCGTGGAAAAGTCAATCCATACTCCGTCTTTGTGTCATAATGGGTTCGTGTGGATTGCCACGAATCAGGTAAGTCTGGTGATCGTGCACGACTGAGGTCTTGGGTCCGGGACAGCGGTCGTCTTCGATCACGGTATTCCTTAGACTCGTGTCGACGATGTCCACGACTGCGATGTCGAGATCTGGATCGAGAATCTCGGCGTTGAGACTGCATCTGTCCAAATACTGATCACAAACGGATTGAAGAACGACTTACTGACGGGTTTGATCCACTGTGAATTCTACCAATCATGGAAAACAGTAATGAAAAAATTGAACAGAACCAGACAATTTTGATGCAAGTCAAATTGTAGTACTCAAGAAAAACAGCAGCTGAATTAGACTTAACAAAATGTAAATACTCTTGATTTCGAAATCATCACTGGGAAAAACATCAAACGTATGTGACTGTAACTCACAAAAAGGTGACTTGGACGAAATCTGAAATGACTCATGAAGAGATGGCTTGATAAATGAAACCGCTCAAAAAGTGATACAACAGAGCGCAGCTTTTGATCTATGGAGCGCAACAAAATTGTGTGACTTCCATGATCATTGATCATGATGATGGGATGATACAAGCTAAATGGCTAAGCGGACTCAAATGAGAACGAAGACCCCAACGTTTGTCACGTCCATGTACACTGTCAAAATAGTGTGTACAAGCATGTTCTCCAATAACACCGCCGAGAACGTTGGTCACATGTGGTTGTCTTGATTTAGACATACCGAGCAAACATGTAGGACGATCAGTGGTAAAATTGGAATATTTCTGTGCCTTTCTCAAGGTTGTGAGCATCACTGATCTGGTCATAACAGGTCTTGCCACAGTAACGCCACGACAGAAAAAGGTCAATGCCGGGATCCATGTTTCGTCTTGTGGGTCAGTGGATGATGGTCTGATATACCCATGGAACAAACTGTCTGCAGCAGATTGTGGATTCGTGTTGTGTGCGTAACATATGTATTCTGCAGCAGGAATTTCTGGTTCTTGTGTAAAAACGACTGGTTCCAAGCGAGCGACAATGGCCACAAGAGACTGATTCTGGTGATCAAAGAGTAAGTCGATGCACTCCACGAAAGCCCAAACTTCAGAATGTAGAAGGAGAGTAGAGATCAATACTTCGAGTGCGGAATGGATGATTGAAGAGAATTTTTCAAACTTGGCGGAATACTCATCTTTGAGGATCTGCATATGGTCAGTCATAAGTTGTTGTTTTAACAGCGCAATCGAGTCAATAGTTCGAAAAGAGTATTGTTGCTGAAAATATGTCAAAGATGGCGTCCATTTGTCAACTGCCAAAGTGAGTGCACCAGTTTCATATGCATTCTTGATACGGTAAGGATCTTGATAGAGTTCTTCACGAATGCGGCCCATGCACTGATATAGGAACCACCAAGGTGATTTCTCAGGTTGTTCTAAAGTAATACAATCACAGCAAAATGTGGCAGTGGTGGGTAGCGTCCAAAAAGAAATCTGATCACTCTGAGGGTGTAAAAATTCAATAATTTCAACAGTCAAAGGAGGCCGTCCAATGCGAGTCGTAACCTTTGGTCTAGGTCCGGGTAGTCTTCGATCACTAGTGAAGGTCTTCTTGTGTCCATGATGGTCATGTAAACAATGTACGAACAATCCCCAACGTGGAATGGGAGCAACTGAGACTGACGGCTGGTCTATAAACATTGATGCCCGAACTCGATCCCGTTGATCTGATTCAGAAGTCAGAGGCACCCGGACCGTTCCATCGCTTGGTAAATCAGCTGTAACAGTGGGACGTACTCGATCCACTCGGTCATTTGATGTGATCTGATTTTGACGATCATCAGTGACTAAGGGCAGTGCAACTTGAGAGCTACGGTTCTGACGTTCCACAGTGTCTGAGGGCAGTGCAGAATGAGAGCCCAACCCAGAAACTACGTTCGATCCGTCCATTCGATCATCACGATCAACAATTGGTGCACGAAATGAGCTGGGTTGAATGCCAAGAGCATTGGAGAACATCATATTTTGTGACAAAGTCAACATTTGTTGAAACTGCATGTGTTGAACATGTTGAACATGTTGAGACTCCGTATGAAGAACAGTCTGGAGTAAGTCCCGTGTCTCTTGAATGTTGGATCCTTCAATTCGATATTGTCCGCATTGTCCTGTAAATTCAAGAACTGTAGGACGACTTTGGCGACTTACAGGTGTGATCCAGGATGGTGGAGGAGTAGGACTAGGTGGACATCGCGACTTTGGTACTGCAGCTGGAATATCAGATTTCGACATGGCTCAAACAGATACAGAGGAAAGGTGAAAAACAAAAGAACTAAATGATGACAGAACAGATCTGAGTTGCCCGAACGTGTAGAATGTAATAAATTCGTGTCTGTCTTTCAGAATTCCAGCCATACGGCTTGCTGCTGTCTTGTGACGTATTCCAAATCTTGTGAAATCTTGCATTGTATTTGATTCATGTATTTCGGCCTGAAGCCAATTCACACGGGAATTAATACCCGTCAGATTTCGAGGTATTGCAGTACCCCACTATTCTTCCGGAAGGCCGGTACCGATTCAACGCGTGTCACCAAACACGCGGACGGCAGTCACAAGTCAGTGACACTGTGCCCGTTACACACTGCTGATGGGAGCATGTTACTGAGTAACATTACTCGAATGAGGAACTTTATAGTGATGAAGTAGTTCATGCCTTGAGGGTTCCTAGGTCCAAAATCCTGGTCAGTCGAGTAGGGAAAGCAGTGGGAAACTCTGATTCCTGAGATAATCTCAAATTAGCAACATATACGCATGAAAATGGACAGCTTGTTCAACAGTTCAAAACCAACTTCTGCAGGTACAGGGAGGTGATCAGTCTCCCCTTCCCACCAATGGCAATAGCTTCGTTGCGTGCAGTATGCCAAAGGTGCTGCACGCCCCTGCATCTGATGGATTGTTTGAATCAACTTGTTAACAGAAACTCAGGTCCGCATGAGTGATAGCGGATTTCACACACACACACACGCACACACACACATACACACACACATGTTTTTTGTTTGTTAATATATAAAAGATGTCAAGGGCACGGTACACAAAAAAAATCGTCGTCTTAGGTTTTAAATGACCAAACCGCAAGGAAAACCCACCAATTTGAACTGCAGCATACTGCAATTGTTTCCACACACCATCCAACTGGAGCAGCAGGTGGCTTACAAAGGTAGACAAAAGTCGGAAGCAAACAAATTTTGCTGGCACACAACTTTACACAGGCCAGTGAAAATATCTGCAGAAACAGATGGAACCATGATGCTATTACATTATTTGAGTTCAATGTCATCCCCCAACTAGATGTATTACACCCAGAATGTTTCATCCTTAAAAGTTTTTTTTTCGGGGCGAGGGGGACACCCTACGATCCCCCCTACTGCCAGCGTTAATAGAATGGATTTCATGACTTCAGACAGGGCTTTCATCGAAGATCGTCCGAACCTGTGCACTTGGCCCATCGTGACTGTGTGGATTGGCTTTCCTGGAAGGTTTCCTCTTCGTTTTGCAAACGTGGAGAACTTATGAGAACTTCAATTTCTCCAAGTTCCTTCCATGTGAATTATTCTATATAAATTCCACATCGATAGTTCTAGTGGATCAGTTTTTATTTTCTGAGAAACTAAAGTAGCTACTTTGACGGGTAAATCATCTATAAATGGTTATAAACGAGCCATTTTCCATAGCTACTCGTATGATCTCGTATGTTCGTTTACTTCAGGGTAAATCAGAAACACATTGGGCTAGTTCAAGGGAAAATCTTAACCGGAAACGATGGTTTTCCCCATGAAATCTGGGGCTTTCCTGTCATCCTGGGGACCGACGATGGCTCTGGATCAATACCCCCAGCAAAAGCTGGATGGTTTCTTTCATGGAAATATCCGAAAATAAAATGGAGGATGAAATGCGGTACCCCCTATGACTTAGGAACTCTCCATATATTCACCAAGTACCAGGCTATTGAGCCTCTCATCCCTTGCCCGCTTTAATCTCCTATCTGGGACATATAACCGAGGCTGCAGATGGCTAGATGATCCCTTTTGCAATTGAGAAGAGTCAACACAAGACACACCGTTCGATGAACGTCAAGTTGCAAAGTCATCCTATCAGAACGGGGTGTTGTCAAAGACACACACCACACCCACGGTTGCTGTCACCAACCAGAGGTCCAACTAAAAGTCTCAGGGATTGTGTCAAGCCGTGCATGTGTTCAATCATATCCAGGAATCAAGTTCTAGGTTCTACAACCAGCAGAAAACAAAGGGTTAGTGGTTGCCATGATGAATTTTTTCATCCCCAACTCTAACTCTGGATGCTAAGATCAGCTGAAGGATCCACTCCATTTTTGGGGGCTTGGATCCCCAATTCTTCTGGATTCCAAGCCGAAAACTCGGCAAACCAACCATGCCGACCATGCCATGACAGTTTTGGTTGTGCCTATGAGCCCAAGCTATTCATAGAGCTCCCTTCGGATCTACGGAAAAACATCCAGAGGTCCCCCAAAAACATCCAGGGCGAGCCGCAAGCCCCGCGGTGAAAACCGAACACCAGAGCGAGAAAACCCGCTGGATCCAGCGGTGGGGTGATTGGGATGACCCAGAAATGAGCAGCCACATGGTGGAAGCGTGTGGATCCATGTGGATCCAGGATTTGGAGGACCTGGGCGAAGTCGTGTTCCTATGGTGAGAATCGGAAGTACAAATTCATGGAGTTGGATAATTATTGAATGTGATGGGAAAGGAACGAATTGACAGATATGTCCGGAACAAAGATGCCGAACGCTTTTTCACTCTAGTAGAGCACCACTAGGTTTACTCCTTTTCCATATACATGCCCATATAGTACAGAATAACGAAGGGAACACTATCAAAGAAACTTCATCCTTTGATACGAAGGTGCTGCTTCAACCATACACGTCGAACAGACGACAGGCCAGCAAGGGTAATAACGAGAGAACGAGCAGGAAAGGCACATCGAGTTCCATGAGAGCACAGGTGTCAAGGGGCCGGCAACAGGTTCGAAGCCGTATTCATCAAATCATATCAAATCATATCAAATCTAGACCCAGATGAGTTCTGGTGCCAACGTTCCATGTCACTGAAATATCCAGGATCAACTAGGTGAACATAGGTGAACCGATTGTTTTTTCGTCCCTGGTGGGTTCGATTGGATCATATTGGATCATATTGGATCATATTGGATCACTTGCAATGGTCAGAGTCCAACACGACCTCCAACAAGCCATTGCTGGAAACACCCTGAGCCATGCCTTGCCATGAGCCTGACGAATCCCGGCAGGTCACCCGCTGGGAAGATGACACAAAAGTGGCAAAAGTGGTTCCTACTTTTCAATTTAAACCTATGAAAAAATGCTGCCATATCAGGACCATACCATGTGAAACTATCAGATGACCAATCGGGGTGGGTTCCAGCTTTCGATTTTTGTCTTGTTTTTTTGATTAGCATGCTATCTAAACACATTCCGAAACTATCAAGAAATGGTGCCATACAATCTTAAACCGATCGCGATGGATCGCGTCCTGTTGCAAAAATGGTGGCTTCCAGGTCAGAGGCTGGCCCATTGTCAAACATCACCTTGGGTGCCAACAAGTGCATTTCCGAATCATCTGTGGTTTCCTGACGTTAACTTTCAGGTGCAGCCAAGAGGAGATGAGATTGGTGCAGGCTCAATTGGGGGGCCATGGAAGATACTGAAGGGTGGAGATATCATGAGATATCCCCATGTTTATCAACCCTTTGTGGATCTTTGTGGGTCCAACTATGTCAGTGTTTTCGCCCTGTCTGGAAGTTCAATAGCTCGTGATTGTTGTGAAACCGGAGTCTTCTTAAGTGATCCTGAACTGGGTCTGCATCCAAACCTGGTTGGTTCACTAATGTGCATTAATTAATCACATGATAGTATCCAATATCCATTTTTCCCAAGCGGGTTTGTTTGGAAATGGTGTACACCCAAAGTTGATGGTGAATCGTCGTTCATGTTCTCATTATAAAGTGGCTATAGATTGCCATAGCTGTTGGGAGTATATGCAGTTTTCAGACACATCCACTTTTCTGACTCTTTATTATATTCTAGCATTCCGATTATTACCATATACCAGTAGTATCCTTTATATCCCATTACCATACCAGTTACCATTAACATACCAACGATGTTTATACATGATATCATATTAATAAATCACTATAATTCAACATACCATTCATATATCCTATTGATAATCAATGTCATTTGTATCCCGCTATATCTCACTGTTATGTCACTACTATACCATGATATACGTATAAATACATATGGGGGTTTCCTAAAATAGGGGTACCTCAAATGATCCTTAAGTCATGGATGACCATGACTTAGTATTGAAAGCCATGGTGACGACTGGGGTAGCCACATTTTAGGAAATCTCATGAAAAACCTCACTGAAATGAAATGCTGGTTAGTAAGGGGACTTATCCCAATATTTGTCTTATTTCAGATTTCAGATGAGTGAAATTTATAACAATAATTTACCCAGATACATACATTTTAGGAGATACCATAATATAGCTTCATATACCATTAAAGTTTCATTAACATAATTATATAGCATACCATTCTAATGGTTTAATGGTTTATATTTCATTCTGTGAACGAAGCTTTAGATTCATTCCTCTACAAAACCAAAATAACTCATTATACAGAAATGGAGGTGTCCTAAAATTGGGGGTACCCCCAAATCTGTTTTGATCATATACCACAAACATCGTTAAAACATATATATCTATATATTGTGTACTACATACTATCATCCAGCTACAAATGTATATATCGTTGATTAGTTGGTTGATTATACATACTATCTATGGTTTATGATACATCCATATGTTTGTAGATATATACGCTATGTATTCATCCGTTTTTTCTTACATCCATACATGCCATCTATGGTTGATTTTACATGCTATCTATGGTTTTTACATCCAAGTAGATAGTATGTATAATCACTATCACTATATATAATGTATCTATCATGATTATATATATAATTATATATATTACCATATGATACTGTATCATAGATGTTATCACTATCTATCACTATCACTATCACTATATATTATCGTTATACATCTATGATACTATCTATGATAGATATACACTATCACGCAGGCCTTGCGTTCGCGCCTGCGACGCTTGCAACTGGATCTCCAGGAGGCGTTCGAAGTGGACGGCGCACTGCAAAAACATGGAGATTTGAAGGAAAACCATAGGAAAACCATAGGAAAACCGTAGAAAAAACATGGGAAAACCATAAAAGATCGTGATTTAATCAAGGAAAATCATAAATTGAGATGATTTATGTGATTTTGGTTGGGTTGTAAAGGGATCAAGCGCCAAATACATCCAAATATGGGAAACATGGGTTTAAGCAACAAAAACATACAAAAACGGTGATGGGATTACAATGTGCATCCAGGTATTGACAAGATGTTGGTTTAGCTTAGCGTAATCATACTGGGACTGTAGTATTGTAGACAATCCGGCCCAAACCACTGGATTTGCATGAGAACATCTGTAAAGGCTTCCTGTATGTACTTGGTAAAAACAAAGGTTTGCAATTTTCCTTGGTTCTACCTTCCAGAAATCAAACGTCCGAAGAGCGGAATTCTCAAGACAAACCTAGCATGTGCGGGGGTGAGTTCAGGCAACATTTACTTGAAGAAAATCAAAGTGATTGTTCAAGAACGCAACAATTGCCACAAAGTAGGAGGAGAATCGTGTTGACCTGTGGGCCCAGGGGGCCATGTGAAAACTCGCCACCATCATTCCCTTTAAGAATCGGACATCCGCTTGCTGATTTTAAGGAAAGGAATATTAGTAGTTAAGATAAGGGTTTAGATCTTGGCTTCGGTGAACTGTGAAAAACCACAGCTGGAAGAGGTGCCAGAAGAGACAGTTTTTCGTCCCGTTTCCATCGCTAGGTTTTCAGCAGTTGTGACTGGACAGTAGACATCACGGTGCATTAAGAATGGAGCTTCCCCAATGAACAACCCATATGGACATGGTCCCAAATCGGCCCATCTATTTTTACCAACAGGACACAGCTGCTAGAGACTTTTGAAGGTTGAACCTGGTTGTCCCACGGTCTCTTTTGATGGACTTCATTTGCCCGGTTGGCAATCAGTAATTATCAATATACATCAGGGTACTTGTACCCGCCACAGTCCAAGCATGTTGATCACCACCTATGCGTTAGTCACTAGCAACAGATCGATTCAAAGTAGCTCATGCGTGAAAGCAAACACGCTAGCGCCTAAAGCCATGGCAGCTTTGACCACAGCACATGTAATGCTGAGTGTTTGATCCATCGTTTGCCAGGATTTTCCACGTTTGCTGGGGCAGGCACCCCTTCCCCAGCAACCGCGGAAAATCCTGGCAAACGATGGTTTCAGCATAGTTCTGCTCCCCTGGATGAATTTTTGGTCTACATTAAAGCGGTACTGGTAGCAGCATCTGGTGCAAATGCATGCAAACTTCAGAGATCAGAATTGCTTTACGAACTGCTATGCATTTTGTGTGGAAACATGAGCGTCAGTGGCAACATGGACCATTGAGTTTTTGTTGCAAGTCTGCATGGTTTCTCCAATTTCTTGCTTCTTTGACCAGCACAGGGCTCTTCAGAATGGCCGCGTCATACAATCCTTCGAATTTCATTGTTTGTTCATTCAACCTTGTTGCCAATTTGAGAAGTAAAGCGCAATGATATTTCAGTTTTTTCCACGTGCAGGAGATACGCAAATAGCGAAAAACCTGTAGAAGTCCAAGTCTCATAGGATCGCTTGACATGACCACGGACCATCCAATTGAAATTTGGAATCTCTTGGTCTTGGCATCTTGTAGAAATATATTTCTATATTTCTACAAGATGCCAAGACCAAGAGATTCCAAATTTCAATTGGATGGTCCGTGGTCATGTCAAGCGATCCGCCTCCGCCTCGGAGACTGTTAGAGCAGTGGATTGAAAAAAGGTTGGGAGAGTCGAATGCGGCTCAATTCATGTTGTTCCAGCCAAGCCCGGGTTCTCCGGAGCTTCGTGATGGAAAACTTGTGCACTCCTGCACACTGCGATTCCATCCGAGTGTCACGGCGATATATCCAAATCTGGAGGGAGCCTTCATGGGTGAAGGCCTCTGCAGCAAGGATGCCGAGCACAGTGCAGCTTCGAGAGCGCTCACAAAGCAAGGGTGGAAGCGTCCCGTGGATGATCCTGATGCCAGTGCTGGGAAACGGCGAAAGGATGGAAATTGGCCTTCAACTTCCCATCCGACGACGTAGACCATTCGAATTCGAATGCCGTTCGATCAGCCTCTGACCCAGGGTGTACAATGAGGTTACAGTTGATGAACGGCGTGGAGCATCAGAAATAGGACACAGATTTGAAGGGCGGGTTTTCGCCTGTGATTCAGTTGGCTTCAGCCCCACAGGAGACGATGATGACAACGCGCGAGCAAAAAAACCCTAGATGCTTTGCATGTGCAGCTCCATCGCCCTCGCCAACAGTGATAGCTTGAAAACATCATCAAATTCTGCCAAATGTTTTCTGAATTATGCATCAAGAATTCAGCGACAAATTCATAAACACATCAGCCAATTCTGAGAGATTTTTTCGAAATCAGCAGATTCCTATGGTTTTCCTGTGGCTTTTCCCATGGTTTTGTCGCTGAAATCACCATATTCACCTCCTGGCGAAGCCGCAACGCTTCGTTTCGGCTTCGCACAGGCACGCGAGGTGCAAGCCGGTGCCGAACGGCAGGCAGAGGTGCCTAGCAGTGGTACTTTGCAAGTTACCCACTGATCCACTGATGTAACTTTAGGTATTTGATGGATTTTGATGGTATGTGTAAGTCTTTTTGGTAAATGGTTGATGATGGTTGATCTTATAATCACTTCAGAGCTAGCTACTGGAATGTTTATATATATATAATTATACACATGTATATTTGTAATTGCTCTTACTTGTCCATTTTGATGTTTACTTTTTGTCCAAGAGGAGAATGTCGGATCGACGCACATGCGACGCAGGAGTATCATGTGCAAGGGGAAGCACTCGAAGAGATGCGAAGGTGCACTGGGCTCAAACGGTTTGTAATATTTGTAATCCATAGATAGTTTATAATCCATATATATCCATAAGAAAACATGACAAATCATGACAAACCATTATATTTATTCCGACAAGGCACCCGAGTCCTTGCCTACTGTGGTGGTTGGTACAACGGCCACGGTTTAACCCAAATGGGCTTTAGCAATTTAGGTCCCATAGAATTCGATCAATTTCAGTATTGAATCATTTTCTTGGGTGCCCAATCAATAGTGATCTATAACTTGTCCAAAAATTATCCACATGGCTATGGCTCATGATTATTGCTGTCATCATATTTTTAAACATATTGTAATCATTGTTATAACATGTTATAACATGTTATAAATCATTATTGTTCACTAGGTATGGCTCATACTGAGTTGATATTATTTGCCTCAAAAACTGAAGTCGACCCACGCCAGGTGCCACTTGCAAGAAGCGCAGCGCTTGGCGCGGCAGCGTCGTTTGGAAATGCGCCCGGCAGCACGGTGGCTGTGGTTCTGGTTGTCTCTTGCTGCGTCTTGGGTATTCTTGAACAGTTGGGATCGATTTATATACAGATCGATATATGATAAAAAAGGAGATGGTGTTGACTATACATTCGGGATAGTTGGTCTATCATTGATGTATACTATATCATACTATATCATGATATTGACTATAGCATTAACTATACGGTAACACCCATTGATTGTGGCAGTGATCCTCCAAACTTAGACGATCAGACATAAAAAGACCAACTAGCAGCAACCACCGCACTTACATATAGCTAGCACCATAGATAATGTATAACATATAATATATATATATATATTTGAATGTAAATTTGTATATATATATACACATTATATGTATATATGTAATATACGCAACACACACACACATATATATATATATACACATACATATACTAAATGTATGATCTGATATACAATAGTTTGGACCGGCGTTTCGAGGCCACCAAGCGACTTTGCGAGCGCAACTGCATGAGGCCAGCGGGCCAATTTTTGGGGCCCCAATGGTGACAAAAGCGGGGAGATGGGGGTAGTTATATCATTGTTACCCTCTGGTAAATAAACAGTTTGATCCTGAAAATGATCCATTTTTAAGGGAAACTAATCTTCCACCCCGATGAATGGCAGGGTCGAACTGTTGATTTACTGGAGGGTATATATATATATATCATGGTAACTCCATTTTCTTCGATGATCCAAAGACTCAAACACCTTGCTGTGTTCTGGATGGTGTTCTGGTTGCGGCGACCATCGAGGTGCACCATTTAACCAGCGCAGGAGTGGCACATTGCCAGAGAAACAACCAGATCTGGCACATCCCATCCCAATGGCAATTTTTATGCAATGTTCTATTGCTGGAGGCTCTGCCCATATATCATCATCATCATCATCATCATCATCATCAGCTAACTATCAATTCAAACAATATCTCCAAAAACAATCAAAAACAAACCTCCGAACCATTTGATCAACTTTCATATTATCATCATCACCGAACTATTAACTATCACTCATATATATATATATATATGTATAGATTTACAAAAGGATGCGAATTATCAAGTAACTATCAACTAACATCTATCATCAAAAAGTTATATCATCAACTTTCACATCTATCATTTTTCAGTCATTCTCATGCACTAATTATCATCAACTAAGTACCCTCTGGTAATTTAACATAGCTATTGAAAATGGCCATTTATAGTGAGTTTTCCCATTAAAAATGGTGATTTTCCATAGCTATATTAGTTTACCAGAGGGTATGAAACAGCTCCAAAACAAGGTGAGACAGCACCAGGTTCAGCAAGCCATCGGCCGTTGCAGCGGTTGCAGCGACTGCCACCGGCAAGCCCCCGGTAGCGACGGCGATCCGCCATCGCAGGCGGTGATCGAAAAGGAGCAGCCATGAGTTCTGATCATTTCACCGGGAGAATTGAAATGAGTAGCCACTGGTTATGTCAAAATAGCTATTGAAAATGGCCATCGAAATGGTGGATTTACCCATTAATAATGGTGATTTTCTATAGTTATGTTAGTTTCCCAGAGGGTAACATGAAATAACATGCCAAAAAAAACAAACTTAATGGTGATTTTTCACATCAAAAAGCGCCAGATGTTCATAGAATTTCACCATGTTTTCACCAGAAAAAGGTGGTGAATTCCTCCAAAAGACGTCGAATTCGCCAGATTCACCAGGCCTTTGGCATCCATCGCCTGAGTGAAGCCAAAGAACAGCTCCACGAGTTGCGAGGCGACTCGTGGAACCCCTTTTTTGGCATAGATTACCATAGGATACCAATCGGGGTATGGGAAATATCGTCAAATCTTACCCATGGATATCTACAAAATTGGTATATGATGATTTTTGTTTTCTATGAAAACTAGCCATCTATGGTCATAATCTTGGTAAAACCAATGCCGTAAACCATCCAGGGGTCCAAGGGGTATCTATGAATTGTATCTATGACATATCAACATCAATCAGATATTAATGTTGGTAAAGCCAATGCCATAAACTATCCCCAATTAATTATATTAACTTCCATAGATGGGTAGTAAATATCATGCCAAATGGTAGGTTTATGACATTGGGTTTCCCACATTACAAAAAATGGGGAGCCAAGGAGCTACTAAAGTTTCCCCAAAACATGATAGACGATGATGAGTAGCATCCATAGCCCCCAGTTGTTTGGATGTACACTAATGAGCAGCCAACGTTACAATTGTTTATACTTAATTTATCTGAATTTGCTTCAACAGCAGTTGTTTTTCCCTGCAGCCAACGTTATAACTGTTTACTTGGGCGACTACAACCATGTTTTTTTTCGTTTTCTTTTTTGCCAGCAAACCTTGAAGTTGATCAAGTAAACATGGTGTAAACTTTCTACCAACAAAGATGTGGATCTTTACCGGCGACACAGTATTTTTTGCCAATCCGTAGATCTGTAGATTTGTGTCATGTTCCTTTCAGTTCCTTTCTACCCGCAAAAATGAAATGTACAAATGCAATTGTGCCTTGTACCTGCATAGCAGGGTGAACTAACACATCTGGGAATTGTACGATTCAAAAAGGGGACTGACCATCTAAAGCACCATGAACATCCCATGAAATCTTCCTTTTGTTGGTTCTAAATCCCACAAAGACCCATCTAAACCACCATGAAAATCCCATCAAAACCACCATTAAATTCTTTCCAGCGCCAGGCTGCAACCTCCGCCTGCAAGAGGAGTTGCGCGAGGCGCAGCAGGCGCCGCCTCCTAAGACGCAGGCGCCGATGCGCCAGGGACGTTTGATGGGATTTTGGATGGAATTTGATGGGATTGAACTGTATATTTATCCATCAAAAAAAATGGTTTAATAGGGATGTAATGCGACTTAACCATATTTATCCATAAGGATGAGTCTAGATGAGTGGTTGAATTAGGATTTTAATGGCATTTACCGAGACCTTAATCGGGTGTCAATGGCATATTTTCTCGTTGTAAACACATCCCAAACATCCCCAGTTGCATTGTCCAAGAACTACGAATATCTCCTAATTAGATCTAAATGTGAATTCATGCTGCAGTCTTTTTGGTTGTAAAAATGAATTGTACCAACACATCTAGTTTCACTGTCCATGTCCTCCGTCTTCTGAGGACTTACCTCGCCCTGCGTGGGTGGGAGATCGACCCCAAAGAAGGCGCCAGTGGAGCCACGGTTCACGGACTGGGACTATCTACCTGGCATTTGAACTGCCACGACTATGCAAGGAGTTTGGGGCCGCTGAGGATTTTGAACAGGATATTTTGTATAGTTAACCTGGTTTTACATCCCAAGTGAGTGATTTTGATTTCGATATTTTGGATTGTCCAGGGACTCAAGACATATGTCAGCGTAGATAATTTGCCAAAGATGCCAGCAAAATTGGCTGGGTAAACCCTGATTTGTTAGTATTCTTAGTCTATTGGGTGACTTTTTGCCTGGACAATTAGCAGCCAGCAACAGACCAACAGCCAGTCAACTTTATGAGTATGGGTACTGACCATCCAATTATTGGGGTATCCAGTTTTGACCACCAGACATCCATCTATAGTTGATTTAGATTTACCTATTATTGACCTATTAAAAGTGGTGATGTTCCATTATGTTATGTTAGTTTTACCAAAGGGTATCAACCATCAAATGCGGGAATTTGCTGAACTAAAAAATAGGATGTTCCATGATTTGCCATTAGAAACCCTTCCACCCCCAGTTTGAGAACCCCCCGGGCCAGGAAAGACTCTTGCTTTGGCTCACCCAGGAGCTGCTCATTCTCCGTTGGATTTTTCACTTATTTAAAGATATTTAGAGAAACTATAAAGAAACATTGCACATCATGACATTCAGAATCCAATGGTTTCTTTATCAGTACGCTCTCCATACTATCATAGTTGATTTAGATTTACCTATGATTGACTTAAAAGTGGTGATGTTATGTTGGTTTTACCAAATGTTATGGATCATCATGCAGTCACTCCCAGGTCTTCAACATCCGCAACGCAGGACAGCTAGCATGGATGGCTCCATGTTGTTGCGGCAGGTGCGGTGCGGCCCACCGGACCTGTAACTGGAGAGCTTCCATTTTGGATGGGAAAAACCTGATCAATATGGATAGAGATGTATCTAATATATGCACGTAATATTATATATGATTATATAATATTATATGTGTAATATATAATTTTATACATATACGTATGTATACATAATATGCAGTGTGTATGTATGTATGTTTGTTGGATTCTCCGTGCCAGGTGAGATTAGCAGAGGGTATCGGTATTCCCAAGCAACGTAGATGGAAGTGGATGGTTTCCCTCACATGGTACCATCAGGGTACCATTCTTTCTCACAATGGTACTGAAAACATCTGAAAAATCGGATTTTCCAAAAAAATCATTTTCCAAAACATGTGTTTTTGTTTTGTTTTTTGCGCCCTGGGGCCCTCATACCGCTATGTGTTTCTTCATAGATTTCATTAAGATCTTTTCAATAGACCAATGGGCCGATCCCGGCCAAACATATGGGCGGTGAAACCACAGTCAGGGATCCTTCTAATAGCTCAGCTAGATGGTTTGTTTCATGAAAAATCCTTCTATAAATGTATGATAAATATTGATAAATGGGGGTATCCCCATTTTAGGAAACATTATGAAACCTTTATATGGGCCATGGTCGATAGATTGTATCCCCAGATTGGAGGCTGGTCATCAACCAGGGATTTATACAGCCAGGAAAGGCTCCGATTCCCAATATGGGATGGATGACCATAATAATCCATATGAATGGTTTATGGTCATGGTTACCCTCTGGTAATTTAACGTAGCTATTGAAAATGGCCATTTATAGTGGATTTTCCCATTAAAAATGGTGATTTTCCATAGCTATGTTAGTTTACCAGAGGGTAATGCATTAATATCTATTATAGCATTCCCAACTATAATCCATATCAATCGTTCTGTTATGGTTCTGTACATGCTCCCATCTAATCCATAGGAAATCCCACGTACAGAACTTGACCCATCAGCCACATCTGACATCTGAGAACATCAGCCATGCGAAGGGTTAGATCATCACTGCTTATCACTGATCATTCCAAACGTATGTAAGTGTAGGACGTAGGCAAAAAAGGGTTTTTAATGGTCCAATCCAGTTAAAACGACATTCAGAAAATTATTCCCTACATTTAGATACATTTACCATCTGGTTATTTAACAGTTCGCCATGGTATAGATGGCCCTAATCGAAATAGATGGTTTACCTAGCTAAAAAATGGTGGATCTTTCCATGGCTAACTGTTAGTCATAACCAGGTTGGGTAACATCCATTTAGCAGCAGGTGGGAGCCACAGAGACCTTGCGTGGTGAACTGGAAAAGCTGCAGGCTGAGAAGAAACTGGTACGGTGTTTTTGGGTGTCCACCATGGGTTTCATGGATGCAAGGTGATTATTCATGGGATATTCATGGGGATGTCTCATAGTTCCTACTAGAACTAATCCCTACATGTTTCATGGATTTGTTTTAGTTTCCCATTCTTGATGTTCGAACCATTTTGGTACTTATTAATATTTTTCAGATCATTCATGATACATCCATATTCGATGTTTGATTGATACATTTTGATACTAATGATTCCAGAGATCTACGGGGTATCTAAGATGACAAGAAAGCTATGTTGCCGGCCAAACATCTGCTATAAGCCAAAAAACAGGCTTGCAAGATGACCTTCCAAGAGAAAGACATGGTCATTTTTTCAGAGTGCAATTTTATTACCTGAAACGTCAGGTGATTTTTTACTTCACGTCTAAGTACGGTACTTGAAGCGGCCAGGAACTCTACCAACATTCCCATCATCGATTCTAGTCTTCATATGGCTGGTTTTCTGAATCGTTGGGACCGGGGCTGGCAACCCCTTGGCGACAAAAAAAAAAGTTGGAGGGCTATGGGGTCAACCATAATCAACCACAGTTTGGGAATGACCAATGACCATGACATCACTAAAAAATGGTTCGGTTTGACCATTATAAACAGTTTGTAATCCATATATATATATATATAATTATATAAGAAACCATAACAAACCATGATATTTATTCAAGGCACGCGAGTCGCTGCCTACTGTGGTGGTTGGTACATCGGCCGCAGTTTAACATAAACCATGATAAATCCACAATAATCCAAAATAAACCATTATAAACCATAGTAATTATTGTGGATTATCATGGTTTATGTGAATTATTGTGGATTATCAAATATCATGGGTCATAATAATCCATGGTTTAACCCATGGTTCGGCCATAGTCAACCAGCTTTCACCCCATGACCGTTGACCGGGTCAGATCTGACAGGACACCTTGAGCCGCGAGCTGCGTCGGCAGAAGGGTCTGCAGCGCCGTGAAGAGATGTTGCAGAAGCGGCAGCGACAGCTGGAGGCCACGTTTTTCTTTAAAAGGATTCATGGATTAAACCCATTCTTTAATGGAAAACGTTTATTTTTGTGAGTAAAACATGGTAAAATAATGATAAACCACCAATGATAAACCATTATTTATTGGTATGCCCACATTGATACATCATTTCATGTGGGTACAACAATGTCATAAACCACCCATTTGGGAATGGTAACCATACCATCTATTTATGGACCATTTATCATTGATAAACCAATTTATCATTGATAAGCATTTTTTTAATTTATAAATCATTCATTATATATATTATATATATATTACACTGTAATTTGATAATTTGTTGGGATTATATATTTATTCATTCTTTACAAAACACAAGATACTTTACCATCTTCACATCTTCGGTCACAGAAATCCGGTAGTGGTTTGGGGGTTGAAAAAACGCCGAGGCAGCGCTGAAACAAAGCCGCGCCGAACAGGTCAGGATGGGCCGGGGTGTATCTGACCACTTCTTTAAGAGATATATATATATACTGTATATATGTATACATGTATATATATATATATGTATACTGTATATATATATGTATACTGTATATATATATACATATATATATACATATATATATATATACATATGTACATATATACATATATATATACATATATATATATATACATATATATATACATACACATATGTGACATATGTATATATACATATATTTATATAAATGGACACACACACACATATATATATATGTACATATAAATTTCACAAGATATGTTCTTCCCTTTTCCTGTTCAATCTGAGGGAAAAATAAACCATGTCAAAGGGGTAGAGTATATATCAGGTGACAACATCATCCAAAGCATCCAGTTGCAAAGGTAGATTATTCCTCTACAGGTTTCGTTGCTTCGACTTGACATCAGCATATGCTTTTCATCTGGGATAGATTCATTCAATAAAGAATAAAAGTAATGCATATTGAAGTTGGGAATTATTCATATTACTTCATCGCCAGTTTGAATTCCCCGATGATAACGAAAGGAAATCATGATCACTTTGAATAATCAATAATTAACGAATTGTATCGAATTGTATCGAATTGTTGCAATATTTTGGGACCATCATCAGTGAGGCCGCTGAACTCAACAGCTTGCACGCTGAGCTGCAGGTGGGGAATCGAAGATGACAATCCTCTGCTTTTCAATGCGGTGCCCCATTTTCAAAGAAACCAATTTCGGTATTTTTCGGAAAAAAAACATGTATAGACTATAGACCATCAAGTTGAGGGTAGCCTGTTGTGAGACAAGCACAATATCCACATGAAAGGCATAGTTTGAGATATCACGTGAAAAGACACGAATGCGGAATATCATTTGAAAATATGACTGAAAGGATCTCGAAGTGTGAAAATGTAGTGAATCCAAGCACAGATTCGCTATTGATTCGACCGTTCAAACTTCAAATCAAGATATTTCAACTCTAAATCCACTAAATAATTTCTATCCAAATCTTGGTTGAAAGATGTTGAAACTATCCAAATCCAAGTCTATCCAATTTCCACCTGCCGAATTTCTGCGTGAGTCATCCATGACCTGAGATGATCTGTAAAATCCCAGATGATTTGATCAATTTGAGTACGACCTCACGCCGCAATGTCACTAGAAATGATGTAACTAGCCACAAATGGCCGAACTTTTTTAGGTCTGTGAACTATTGTACTTTATCCAGAGATATTGTAAAATCCCATTCAATCTATTAATTTCCATCAATATCCCCATTCAATCCCATCAAAATTCCTCAATATTACATTGATGTCCCCAATATTCTTGGCTTTATCCTCTCAACGCCGATTTCAGGAAGGCAATTCGTTTGAAGGTATCCTCCCATTTTTGCAGTATGTGACACGTGAGCCATTGCACATACCCCAGTTGATTGTTTTTTTTTTTTTAAATAGGAAGTATTGGTGATTATTATAAGCCATAGTGGGGACACCGTTTTCATAATGGGTCACAATAATGGCTAACAATGGTTTTATGATGGTTATAACCCTAGTATCATGGCTATATATATATATATATATAGGGGTTAGTATTCCCAACAACAACTCCCTATATATATATATATATAATAGATATGATAAATGGAAAGACGGTCACAATCAACCCAACTGGTAGCGCTAGTATATATATATAAATAAATATGTATTATACATATATGTATACATAATATTATAATGACATGGGAACAACTGAGCGATTTTCAATCTTAGGTATGACAATGGTTATAAGCCTAAAATAAACAATGGGCTTATTTACAACCAACAAAAATAATAACATGGGAAATCGGAGCGATCTTTTCTGGCTCACCTTGTGAATTGCCCTACCCATCCCATCCGCGTCGCGAGGAAGGGGCGCGGCATGTCCGAAGGCTCCTGGACTTTGCCATGCACGCGCCTGGCGTCTCTTGGCGCGTTCAGACGCAACATGGGGATAGATGATGAGCATATCATATGAGGATCACTGTTGTATTATATTATATGGTATATCAATGTATATCATTATATATATACATATGATGGATATGTTATATAGATATGTAGGCATACTTTTTTTACTATCTATATAACCATTGAATGGGGATGTAACCTGTGCAACTGCTCGGTTTTCTGGCAGAATTGTTGATATTTTCAACGATATTCAAGTTCATATTCGTTGGATGAATTGGAAACACCACCAATTGTATCCAATTGTCAGATCCTATCTTCATATTTTGATTATTGGGATTGTGATGTTTTGAACACAATCCACGATGATTGTTGCTCGACCCCAAAGTCACAGATTGATGCGTATATCCACATTGACCAAGAGATACCAAGAGTTACAAAGATTGATATTAAGGACCATAAGCATCGTTAGACAGTGATACATATCAATCCGATTCTGGGACCCATCAATTGGCTTACCATGTCAGAAAATTTGGAACCCGCCAGATTGTCACATGACAGATTGATCCATACTAATTACATTGGATACCATTGGCAAGATCCCCATCACCATCTTGTCAGTCTACAGGTTCAGGCTGGTTACATATATATATATATATACATGTGTATATATATATATACATGTGTATATATATATATATAAACATACATATACACATATGTACACACATGTATACATAAGTTTCCAACTGTTTGGTGTTTGTAACTACGGTCATCGTAGCACTGGCCGTGGCGCGCATTTTTTGTCACCTCAAAGAGGTCGCTGTGCTAGAAGGTGACGGAGGCCTTCGTTCAACAGATATTTTTAGGGAACCAATGGGGGTGTTTACCCTCTGGTAAATCAACTAATGGTTTATTATGATGGTTAATATCATGGTTTATTATGATTGATATGATGGTTACCCTGTGGTAAACTAACTAAATACCAGTAGCTATATCACCATTTTGCATGGGTAAATCAACTATAAATAACTATAAATGGAGCATTTTCAATAGCTTTTTGTATGTTTACCAGAGGGTAATATTGTTAGAGGGATTGGATTTGAGATGAATCTGATATGATCTCGAAGTTTCTAAGTGAACGTGACATCAACTTTGAGAAGTCAACGAGGACATAGACTAGTCAGAGGTTTTCTACATTTATGAGTATGTATGAATGGGTAGATGGCTATTACACTAATTATTACATCTACAGATTCATATTTTCCATTGCAACCAGTGGCCAGAGGATCCGTGCGATCACAAAAGGGTTTGTCCATCGGTGGATCATAGCATCCAACAATGCCTCCATAGACTGGATCTGGCAGTTTTGTTGTCAAATTCCACTTGGATTTTGCTACTGCAAAAGGTTGTGATATGACAGTCCTTGCTTCAAAAAGGACTGCAGCATTCCCAATCATCCGAATCTTGAGATAATTGATCAAGAGGTCATAAGAGCTCCAAGGTCAACTTGAACTGTGAATCAACGGACTGCTGGGCCCCTTGCCATTTATATATATAGTATATAGTATAGTAATATATATATAATATAATATATATTTATACTAAATATACTATAATATAGGGTTTCCGGAATTGTTTGCTCCATCTACCAGAAGCCTCGATGTAAAATGCCCTACGCTACGGTCTTTGGAAAGGCGGCCTTCAGACTCGACCAGAGGACGGACTGGGGACTGGGGATCCGGCTGTGAGTTGCGGAAGATCATCGTGGCAATGACTACCCTCTGGTAAACATACAAAAAGCTATTGAAAATGCTCCATTTATAGTTATTTATAGTGGATTTTCCCATTAAAAATGGTGATTTTCCATAGCTATGTTAAATTACCAGAGGGTAGTTCCGAAGCAAGTGCACACAAACGATCCCATTGGTCAAGAGTGTGCTATGCTTCGGGTTCCTCGGGTTCCGACCTGCTCGACGCGGCCATTTGGTCCAGATGTAGTGGTGAAAAGGCGTGGTTCCCCTCGTGCAACAAGTGGCACACAACAAGGCGTGTTTTCAGGTTGGGAACTTAGATTCTTGACGCAAAAAATGATGGGACACATATATATATATATATATAAATGGACATGAATATGAAATGATATGAACTTGTCTTTGAGACCTCGAAAGCATGGTTTCGTGGCATGCTTGGATCGAGTCGTAAAAAAAAATCGTTGGCCAGATGGCCACTTGAGCAGTTCGACTGGATGAACTCCCTTGGTTGTTGGATGAACTCCCTCTGCGCTCCGATGTCGTAGTCATTGGATTTATGGAACAATTTGCAGGAAATCCACTTGATTTTGAAATCACATGTGGATAGAAAAATTGGGATCCATTTTTTAACCATTGAGTAACCCTGTGAAACCATCATTAACCATTCATCATCATCATCATCATCATCATCATCAACCATTATGAACCATTATTAACCACATTGAAACCATTGAAACCTCTCTTGATGTTTGCTGTGGATTTCGCCTCATTCACCATCGTTCCCATGGTTCGAACTTCCGCTGGAGGTCGGTCGCTCAACCGGTCTTTACGCGGCGGCGCCAATGCCTGCGACATCGCTGACGACCGTGTGACTCGATCATGAAATCACTGGGATTTTTGGTAGTCATCATGGTAGATATATCATGATATCATATGATATCAATATTATATATATAATATATATATTATATGTATATGATAATATATATCAACTATATATGAACTTAAATACATGTATTTAGAGATATAAGGCTATATCTATGTAATCACTAGTATATCAATCATAGTCATACTCTATACTATTTATCGTTATATATCTATAGTTGCTAGATGTTGCTAGTATAGTTCGATGGCTTTATAAATCAAACATCACCGGGGCATCCCCTTCTGAGGCATACTGAGCCCGCTGTGCACGATGCACCTGCCTCCTTTGCATACAGTGCCCTTGGCCCTCCGTGCTGTGGTTTCCCAAACAATGCTATTTAGGGGATATACCGATACACCTAAACTTGTTTGGGGTTTCCCAGCACAAATATATCCCAATTGTGTCTGAAAAATAGGCTATACTGTATACTCTCAACTTACATAAACTTACATCAACTTACTACTTTTGCGCATGAAAATGATGATATATGATGATGAACCAGTGGAAATTAGGGCTACTTTATTGATAAACCATGAGAGCACCGAGAGCGGAGCACCAAAGATGGATCACATTGATCACGGAGTTCAGGTCTTGTGTCCCAAAACTAGCGACGTGTGAGTGACTCACAAGTGAAATGCCAGTCTTACATCAGTTTACCTGGAATTGATATACTAGTGATTACATAGAGTATACTAGTAAACTAGTGATTATACTATTTATCGTGATATATATCAGTATATCAATGCCAGTGAATCGTAATTCCCCTGGAGTTTTCTCCAAAGAATCCCAGTTTATTGCTGGAGAAGCCCCTGACCTTGTGGATTCGCATGCCTAAGATGTGCCGAACACGGGGCACATGCCCCCAGCTGCGCCACCAGCGCCACCCATGCGGCACGCAACGCACAAGGAGATCCAACTGGGCTTGGGATGTCCCTGTTTTTTGCTGGAAAAAACAATGAATTTCATATATCTATGGGTCTAAGAACAGGATATGTCCTACTTTCAGAGATTTCTGGATGTTTTTTGGATGTTCCTTTTTTGCATCGGATAAAACCAGATGTTCGCAAACGCCTCGTATGATCTCCCATGACTGCGTGGAATTGAGGGCTTTCCCGCCGCAGATGGGTTCTGGAAATGGGTGAAAAACCCCTCAAATTGCCAAGTAAGAACGGAAAAAGGATGATTCACCCTGAAAAAATGCTGGGTTTTGCTGAAAATTTCAGACAATCCCAATATATGATATATATATATAGCTAACGGTTAACTGCTTTGGGCAGACATCATGCAGGATCCAAAGCTAAGTCATGCTGGACTTTGATGGATTTGTTGATTCAACGGACACAATTGCAACAATGATACTACAGTAGATGGAAAAACAATCAAACCCCACAGACATCTACCAAGTAAAGCCCCACACCCCAAATTTTAATGTTGAACAGAACTATATCTAACTTCCTCTGTGTTCAGGGTTTCACTTTTTTGTCCACCGGACCCAATTGCGCAGCCCAAAGACAACATTGAAATTTGGGGGTGCGGGGGTTGACAACAATACAGCAAGGGTTTGATTTGGTTGGTTTGATTTCATTGTCCATCTACGGTATGTCATACCGCTGATGGGAATCTTATACATTATATATATCTGGGTAAATTATAACGACTCACTGGAATCGTGGTTAATAAGGGAAATCGTCCCCAAATGGCCTTAATTCAGATTAGTGAACTATTCTAATTTACCCAGATATATACATTCTTGTGCTAAAGTATTGTAAAGTTGTAAATTAGCATTGCTGGAAGATCTGAACGGGAAGAAATTCCATGCTATACCACTCCACTGACAGGAGAAGTTGCCGCAGTATGGTTCACCATATTTGCCGCGGCCCGAGTATGGGGCGGGGCGTGTTGCCTTCACCTTTTTATCACCTTTTTGGAGTGATATAATTACCCACCATTAAATTTCATTCAACATATATACATAATTATACATATATATACACATAGATATGTACCATATCCAATTTCAATTTTAATATATTTAATCATGTACCACTCATTAATTCACAACCACTGCTCTGATCAATTGCAACCTGACCCCTTTGACTCCACCAAGATGCTATCCGATGATTGCCATGAAGCCTCCTGATGCTGCGTCGGGCGCTTTGAGGGTGGGAACAAGCAGTGACTCATCACCGAAGCTTCCAAGATGTTACAAGGCAACACCACAAGTTTGGAACTAGACTAGACTATAGATGTCTTGGATTGTCTTGGATCATCCCATATGCTGCATGAAATGTAGGCATGTTCTTCGTTCAAAGCTCCGCCTTGGTCGGCTCAGTGGTTCAGTGGTTTAACCATGTTCAACCCATGAGCCCCGAGGCAGCCAACGCCTATGGCTACTTGGCATCGGACACGGCGGCAAAGTTTTTTGAACTGCGGCTGGTGGTGGCACAAAATATGTGAAGTGTTTTGTGATTTCCCACTTGAACCCATCAATCAGTGAGCTTCTGTCCAACATTTGAGATAAATTAACGTAGATGTGGACAGTTGTAGATGAATGATAAGTTTTCCAAGTCTATGTGGTACTTGTTGATGTTTATCCCCATAAATCTGATAGTTATAGCTAACTTAACCCAGACCCATGTTCCCCTCTGGCTATTTAAAATAATAACATAATTAGTTATGGAAAATGGCTCATTGACAGATGATTTATGATGATTTAGTATGATTTACCTATTAAGATTTCTGATTTTCTGTAGCTACGTTAGATAACCAGAGGGTATTATATGACCATGGTTCCCGTACTATCCCATTGATATCCCATTCTATCCCCATACCCATTCATAGATGGTTTAGTTGTCCTGTTGAATCCCCATTTCTGTCAGTTTGCTGGAGTGTATATTAATCCCCTCCCCTAATATTGAGAAAAAAACATTTATGGTCCCAGTTAAGTGGAAATTCCCATGGAATTTCCTACTAAACCATAGTTTCTAGAGGGTGTTTAATAGTGGGATGGGATGAATCCCATAGACATTTGGTGAGACCGTAGGTTTCCATGATGCCGGCAATGCTGCCGTTGGAGAAACTTCGCGGCCCGCGCCGGGCGCGTCGGGCGCGTGGCGCAGCGTTCCTGTGAAAAAATTGGGCGATGAGGAAATGGATCCATGGCTATGTAGGATGGATGTTTAGCCCAACATGTTTGAAGGTTTCACCATGGGTTTTACCAAGTTCTGGAAATACCTTGAGGGTCAAGGTGTATTTATGGTATATTATACGTATGTATATAGATGTTTGTAGTTGACTACTTTATATGAATATATGCTATGTAGATATATCAATGATATATATATATGCCCTCTGTTTGGGGTTTCTATGGGGATAACCATCCAACATGGGTCATAACCATCTTCCAAACATAGGCACTCAAATGTTGTCGCTTGGAAAGCCATTAGTTGTTGAAAATAGCTGGTCAATATCCTCATGGTTCTTGGTTTGAAGTCTAGTGATGTCCACTGTTTGTTGCTTTTTCTTTGTCACAATTCCCACTTTTGTTGGTCACATCAAGTGGCACCCCCATTGTTGGCTTAAATCATCTCAAATCCCCAAGCTGCCAGGTGCCTAGTCCCAAAGAGGACGCGACACCCAGGCTAGGAACCTGAACCAATCTCAAGCAGGGTCCAGCCAAATGCGTGGTGAAAATTATTCCTGAAATATTTCGGAATGGTGAAAAATTGTTTGTTTTTTTTTTGCGCTCTTTGGCTTGTATTCCCATCTCAAGTTGTTGATGGTGAGGACCCATTCTATTAGTTATAGTCTGTAGACTATAAATTATTGTTCTTTGAATGATATATAATCATATATATATAAACTATATATATAATAACTTTATTTATATATATATATTATATTAATTATATATATATACGTGTATATATATATGTACGTATATATATATATTGATTATATGTATATATTGATTATATGTATATATTATTGGTTCAATTTCCCTTTTTGTTCATCATCCGATAAAATGGTCCCTCAGGGTTCCCATTTTCACCATGGGTTCTAGCAGAAGCAGAGTGAAATGAAGTGCATGGTCACCCGATTGATAGGGGGTTGTTGGATGACCAATTGGTCGAATTTTGTGGTGTTTTCATTGGTCGAATTCCTCTTTTCAGTGATCAACATCCCATTCTCGTTTCCGCAAGATCCATTCGGTTGAATTTCCACCTTGGAATAGTGATAAAGTGAGAAGTATTATATATGTATAAAATTTTCATGGATTTTCATTGTTAAATCCCAGTTTCATTGGTTGAATTCCCATTCTTCACATAGAACTGGTGGAAACCGAAACGCGGCGCGCAGGGAAGACGGACCGGGTCCAGCAGTCAGTGCGGTCAGTGCGCCGGGTGAAGGGCTCCGCAGTGAGCCATTGGGCCATTGGGCTATCACAAATTTGGTGGTGACTGGAACATGGCTGGATATTGGGAATAATGGATTATAGTCGTTTAATGGATTTTAATGGAGTTTAATGGATTTTCCCATCATATTGGGAATGTCATCATCCCAAGTGATATTTTTCCATATTTTTCAGAGGGGTAGGGCTCAACCACCAACCAGATGATGTCGCACTTCTATGTGAGATTATGCGAGTTTACAGAAGGTACGTACCTTCTGGCAATTTAACAGGAGTTTTTTGACTCCAGGCAGCTGACATCAGCGAAATAGGGATTCAAGAGGACTAGTGAAAAATTGCGGGATATAGTGGGGATAGAATGGGATATCAAAGGGATATCAATGGGATATTATTGGTCAATACCTTCGGGAATCACGGCAGTTTTTCAAAGCTGACTCACTGTTGAAGCCCCCTTGCCTCCAAAAAATCCAACCTTTGTTGTTATTTAACATGGCTATCGAAACCAATTGGACATGATGATTTGCCGCTCTTAAGTGTTGTGATTGTCCAGCTCGCAAAATGATGGTAACACTCTACAGACTTGGATCTCCATATCACGTCCTGAGAGCGGCTGAGGCTCAAAGTCAGCAGCAAAGTCGTTTTGAAAGTTGCGAAAGCTTCATTTACTAGTCAGAATGGAGTCTGAGCTGTTTGATTTCTTGGGACCAGCAATCTTAGGATAATAAATGATGGATGAAAATGACTCAACTGATACAACGCTGTGAAAGTCAAGTACGAAAACAGCCATGTGAATGTCGTTTATGGTTTTCAATTCTTGACCAACCTTCATGGCTGCCGACTAGGGACAATATTCCTATTATATAGTAGATATACATCTTCATTTTTGTTCAGTTCTATCCCATTTTTGCATTGCATAGCTTCTTTACTCTGTTGCTCAAAGATCAAGCTGTGAAATGCGTCACAGCAAGTTTGCCTGGCGCTTCCAATGTGTGATGTGTTTCGTGTCTAAAATCAGTGACTCGTTTGGGCCCCATGTGGCCCTTGTGCAGATGGTGCCTTGGTGAAGCGTCGATCCAATGGGGATGCGACCGGTTTTTATAGTGGAAATCCCACCATGAATGGATCATTTTGGGAACAGGAAACGGCTTGAAATAGTTAATTTACCAGTGTTACCAATGTTTACCACATCTGAAAAAGTGAACATTTACTATTATTGGATTATTGCTATCTGGAAAAATCTGGCACATTTAATAGGGCTTCAGTAACCACAATATGGATATACTTGGCCAGAAGCCCTATATATAGTGATTGTGATAGTAATACTATCCCGTGGTTCGGGGCTAGCGCTTCGGAGCTGTTTGGGTATCTGGCCTGTGCCCATATTTTTGGATGCCGACGGGGGAGCCGTTGTTGGAGCTACACTCATACATGATAATAAGATATTACCCTTTGGTAATTTAACATAGCTATTGAAAATGGTCATTTATAGTGGTTTTACCCATTAAAAATAGTGATTTTCCATAGGTATGTTAAATTACCAGAGGGTAAATGATTGTATATTCATACATAAGTATATCATAATTAATATGATAATATATGATAATAATCATGTATTATGAGTGTAGCTCCAACTATAATCATTATACATTATGATCATTTAATAATACAATATATTCATACATAAGTATATCATAATATATGATAATAATCATTATACATTGATCATAATCATTTTATAAACCCTTATTACAGTGGTTCTTGGTGATTCATGCAAGCTGACCGACTGCTTTTTTTGGGTCACCATGGTCACCTTTTCCACGGGCGGCTGATTGACGACCCTCCAATCCATTGGTTCATTTTTCCCTATTAAAATGGCCATAAATTGGGGTTTATACATCGTTTATAAATGTTTATAATTTCTACCACATTTTCAGACGCACCCGGAAATAGGAAATGGCAGAGGATTAATGTTGTTTGCCGTTGGAAGTAGGCACTTGGCAGCACTTGGTTGCTCCTCAAACGTATTTAGTTTAAGATGGCGGCTCCTATATAGAATTTCTTGGCTTTCCCCAATATCATTCGCGCCGAAATCGGGGGAAATCTGAGCCCACCTACAAATTGCAGACTGAAAGGCGGATGGCTGTACCCCTTCTGCTGGTGCTGATTGCACAGCTTTCCAGGACACTTTTACGCATTCTTCGTTGCGTTTGATCATCCCAGATTGGTGTGTCTGAAGATGGGGGATGGGCTTCATAAAATGGCCATAGTAAGAATAAGAAAAACATGATGAACAAACATCAAATGTTGAGGCACCCTGTCTTCAGACAAGCCCAAATTTGAGTATCATATCAGGATTCATAATATATCACTGATGTATCCACATGTGAAAATTGCTTTCATGATTGCTGAGAATTCTCAATGCTCACTCCCCGTTGATCATGGATTCTTAACCCCCTAATTGAATCTAATTGATATTTCCAGATAATATTAAACTGAAATTAAATAGTCATGGAGTTATTGCAGTTATTGGTAATTTTTGATTATTAGTGCCTTAGATATTTCTTGAATATGTTTTCTTGCTTCAGTACCCCAACAATGGTTTTGATTATATTCAAAACACAATCTGAATCCTTATAGATTAATTCGATTGATATACATAGATTCATTTATGATTATGATAGATTTACAGATTTACATATAAATTCACACCTTCATCCAATATTTCATGTTTCTGTGTTGTTCCACGTGCCCCACCAGGAGCCTTTCCACCAATGCCTTCCTTACAGCGCGGGGTGGCATCGTGGCACGTGAGGCCCTGGTTTTGCTATGGAAAATCACCATAATTCATAGGAAAATCAACTATAAAAGGACCATTTTCAATAGCTATGTAACAAATTACCAGAGGGTATATAATTTAATAGATCATATAGATATGGGGGGTTCCTAAAATGGGGTATCCCTAAATCATGCATGTTAAGTTAAATCATTTTAATAGGATCTATCCGATAATCCATTTTGGGACACCTCCATCTTAGGAAACCTTCATATCGATAGATATATTGACATATAGATGTATATATATATATAGTAGATTTATAGATACATGGAATATTATATATAGTAGAAAATCTATAATTGTATATGCATATAGATATAGACACATATATATATATATATATCATATGATGTGATACAGTAGTATTTATATACAAATGTATATCTACATATATATGATATTGTGTACTGGTGACAGGAGGGACCCCAGAGAAGCCAGGATAGTTTGTGAAGCCACCAATTGGTGAGATACATGGTATTGGATCAGCATTTTGATTGTTTTCAGGACCGAAACATGCCGTACGAAATATGAAGAATCCCGTTTGAAACATGCCACCTTGCTGAGCAAATCGGAGCAACTTGGATGACCAGCATTTTCTCAACATCAAAACATCCCCGCCAAAAAGGGGTGAAGATCCCCACAAGCTGTTCATCATTCTGATACAGTGCTAGGCCTATAGGCCAAAGCTGATCCGTGCGGTCAGCAAAACTCTACAGTACCTTGGTGGCGGTGATCTTCGGATCATGGGGCACCCATGAACTTTGAGTATCAAACCATCCATTTTCGGGGGAGTCAATCACTGCCATATACAGTTTGCAAATATCAGTGTTTTCCAACTGAAGTTGAGGTGCTGATCCCAGTTCGCTTTCATACTGTTTGAGATGTGTTGTCCCAACCTCAAACCAACACTCTAAGGCCGCAAAATATCCCAATCATTGCCCATGAACATCCCCAATATAATATCAGGTTTTTCAACATGATTTTCGGTTGCAAAGTCCTTTCAGGGTGTGTTCCAAAACCTCATGGCTCCAAGCGATATGAGTTTCCACGAACAGACCTCTGTGTTTGGATGATTTTGGTGCTTAATGGACCCCAAAAGAAAGTCACAAAAGTCATTGCGACCTGTGGTATCAAGTGGGTTGTCTTTTTCACATGCCAAAATGATCCAAAATGGATGGCTTTGTCCATAAGGGGACCACCTTAAAACCATCAGTTGGGGGTCCCAGCCCAGGAAGACTGCTGGAAACAGCCTACGACCCAGTGAGAGGCAAAGATTCATGGGCATGAGTCTCCTCTTCTGTCCCAGCGGTTGATGAATGGAGGAATATGATATAATTATATTATATAATAAGAACGTCAAAAATAAGTTACATAAGAACCACATTCTTATTGCACCCCAAGAGATAATAAGCGCTTCTGCAGGCTGGTGGAGCTGCCAGCTCTGTCGGAAGCGCGCACACAGGAGGCGTGGTAAATCACCAGATCCAGAGATGATGGATGAACAAATGGTAATATAATTAGTAGTGGTTTATTATCATGGTGGTTTCATTATGTTTGATAATGGTTAATGATGGTTAATAATGGTTAATCATGGTTAATCATGGTTAATGATAATATGATAGTGGTTAATAGGCTATAAACCAACAACAATGGGAATACGATGATGCTCTGATTGGTGGTTTCAAACATGGCTTTCATTTTCCATTTCATATATGGGATGTCATCCGAAACCCATTGACGAAGTCCATCATTTTTCAGAGGGATTGAAACCACCAACCAGTTTTGGTGATCCAATGTAATACCATGATTACCAGATTATCGAGATGATAGATGAGCAAATGATGTAGCACGACTGGCCCACTTAACCATCTCAGCATCCAATGACTTGGCCCAACAAAAACCCTGGGAAAGCCACCACCCCCGGCTGGGAAGAGAAATATCTACTGGGAAAGACTAGGGTGGGAAAATATGACCCATTTTTCAGGGAAAGTAGCCAGAAAGTACCTATCTGGGAAAGCAAAAGCTGCAGCCCCAAGAGGGCCACTTCCCCTCGCAGGCCACTGCCCTGATCCGTGAGTTCGATCGGCTCTACCCCAGGGTGGCGCTGAAACAGCATGAGATGCGCGCAGAATACCAGGCACACTTCAGGCCGGAATGGATGACGCACGTTGGGCTGTTGCGTATTGGTTGACTTGGCAGTGGGGATACTGTGTTCAGCAGTCATTAGGATTAAAACCAAGTGTTTGATGCACTAGCTTCAGAGTAAATGCTGAAAGAACTCGACAGTAATAGGATCTGATAACATCTAAGAACACATAAGTCATCATTTTGTCATCATTATTAAGAACACCAGTGATAACATCTATTAAAAAAACCATTGCAATTGGTGTCATCCCCTTGATCTCAGTGCTTCATCTGAGGCCGCAGGCATCGAGCCAAGCCTGGGAGGAAATGGATCCCCTGAGTTTCTGGGGAAGCGGTTGAATCATGGGGATTTCAACCAGTTGGGACTTCATGAAACACCATGATTGGACGGAGCAATAAACAAATGGGCTCCGGTCCAAAATCGCAATGGAAATTTAGATTCCAAAAATCCATTGCAGATACTGTAATAGTTTGTTCATCAATTTTGTGTGGCGCCAGGCTCGCGCTAGCATCGCGCTAGCATCGCGCTAGCATTCTTGTGGTTTTGATATGCCCGGGAAGCAGTTAACTCATATGTATATGTATATGCACATGTAATTGGCCTGGCACTAAGGTTCTGGGGAAGGAAGCCCCTTTTTGTGTTGAATTTGCGTGGAAATATTTGCTAGGATCTCGTTTGCCAGCCCTATTTGTGGAAATTTGACAGCATCACTCTTACTCACCTATCTTTGATAGCTTTCCACGTTTCCAGGGTTACAACCAGCCATTTTATAGGGATCAAACCACACCTTTTATGGGGACACAATGATATAATAGGAATTAGTACATATCCATATTGATGTAATACAATCAAGAATTCCGTCCTTGTGGTCATCAATCGAGCAGTTCTTTTCGGATCTGAGGACTTCAAGTTTGAAGCCACACCAAAAACATGCCAAAAACATGAGACCTGGCAGCCACCGCTCATCCTTGCCGTAAGACCTGACCATAACTTAGGACCTCCAAAGTCCCAGGGTTTGTCATCATTTCACCCCGAAAAAATGCTATAAAATGTGTTAATGCCATATAAATACTTTAATTAATTATATATATATACACATACTCTATATATATATACACATATTATATATATATTATGACATAAATATTATACATATGAGATACATAATATTATATGTATACATGTGATTATATATAATTATATATATACCTGGAGAACCAAAACCCTAAGAATTCTTCGGGTCAACGCAAGAACCGGAGGTATTTCGGAAAAAATAAGAAAACCTCGGTTTTCGATTGAAGACCTCGGGTATTGATTTTGAACCCATACTTAACCCGTACCTAACCCGTACCTAACCCGTACTTAACCCGTACTAACCCGTACCTAACCCGTACTAACCCGTACCTAACCCGTACCTAACCCGTACCTAACCCGTACCTAACCCGTACCTAACCCGTACTTTCAAAATGGGTTAAAATACCCTGGGTTTTGTCAGAAAAACTCAGGTATTTTTCAAACCCTAAGATTTCTGCGGGTTTTGGTTCTCAAGGTATATATATATGTATAATGTATATATATATATATGTATACATGTAATGTAATATATATTATATGTATATGATTTATATTTATGCATATATATTATATATGTACGTATATATATATACATGTAAATATATATATATATATACATGTAAATATATATATATATATACATATGTATACATATATATATATATACGTACGTATTTATTTGCACATCTTCAATTTTGAGCTGCTGTAGATTCCCCAGTTGAATTGAGGCAAGCTCCCCTGTGTTCCGTTTGAATCAGCTCTTTAGACTCAGGCTTTGTTCAGCTGTTTTCAGCCGAAGAGCTTCCGATTGAGGGGTTTGTGGATGTCCCTCGGCAGGAGTTGGGATGGGTCATGGGGACCCCCAATGCTGAACCACCAACCACCATTACTGTAGGTGTTAATCATGGTTAAGTCGGTTAATGGTGTTAATGGTGTTACCTCTTGTAGGTGTTAATATGGTGTTAACCACCACTAACCACCATTAGGTCGGCAGTAATGGTGTAGGGCTTTATTAATCACCAACCATCATTGCAAGGGTGACTCTCAACCATCTATTGGGGAGGTTGACTTTTCATGGGGATCTGTTGGGATATTCATGCAGTGACCAACATCATTCCAGTAGTAACTCAGTAATCAGTATATTACTGACCCTTCACAACACGGACTTTTGCAGGATGTGCGGATAGCCTTTAGATACGGAGGGATGTGGATAGACTGACAGCAAGTTGATGAACTTGTACAATTTCATCGGTGCATTGGCAAAAATTTACCTCCACCAGCCGCGTTATTTTTTCCCTGAAATCATAGCAGTACGGCCCAAAGACGGAACAATTTCAACATCCCAACATCTGTTGGTTCAGTAAAGCCTAACATATCCAATTTCTCTGGACCATTTCAGCATGTTCCTGTACCATCCAGAATGCGCAACAGCATACCTTTCAGTCAGTGCTATTGATATTGATGTATGTACTATGACTATGAAACATCTCAAGGTGTATTCAGATGAGTGTATTTGCAAGCATTTGATTTATTCGTATATACCTGCTTAAGTATATATATAATTTTATATACATATATGCACACATGAGTCCGCATATACATAAGATGGTTATATAAACACCATAAACCTTCACACCCATCATGTACACGTTGCAATCAAACCAGTTGCACCATGTTTGCACCGACAATCCACTGAGCGAGGTCGGCAGTGGTTTGGGAAAGCTGGTGGTGATGGCTTCTTCTATCGCCACGGTGCCCTGCTGGGGTGTGGAGCATCTTGGCATGGTGTGGAGCAGCTGAGGCAATAGAAAATGGTGGTGAACACGGTGAAACTACCAAGAAACCAGTGTTTTATTGCGGTTTATCTTTTATTTATATTTGTTGTTTGCGTGTAACAAAGCAGCAATACATAGCAATACTCAACCAGCCATGATTTTTGGCCACAACCTTTTGGGATTTCTCCCGGTACTTTGAAATTCTTACCAAAGCATTGGGAACATTGGATGGACCAGACATGGTGGGGGAGCACACCAATCTGCCAGCAATTTAAGGGTAAACTCCTCTGCAAATAAGTACCAGTTTGGATGTTAGCAGTACCAACATGTACTCACATTTCCCAATTTAATTTACATCTTATGAATTTATATGAAGTCTGCTAGACATGTTGCTTGAGTGTTTTTTTTGGCATGCACCATGAATATGATGTAGACGAATTGCAAGGAACATTCGACATCTTTCTGATAGTTGGAGCATGTTAGAGCCCCATTTTATAAGATCCCCACCCATTTATCATTGGATTGGTTTGAGGGAAATTCTACAGGAAAGCCCTGAGAATTTTTCATGGGTAAAAACTGTAAAAACCATGGTTTTTGGTGAAGATTTTCCCACCAATCCATGGAATTGTGGTTGGTGAACCCCCTATTTGTTGAACTGCTCAGGCTGAGCCCAATACGTGCGGCTGCAGCGGCAGAGGGCCTCAAGCGACTGGCGCACAGCTGGCGAAAAGGTGAGGTCAGGCGGGGCCCGGCCCAGTGATGGTCCCATTGAAAAATGATGGAAAGCTGAGGAATTTTCATCCTTTTTCCAGTGATTGATCCAGGGCCCATTGAAAAATGATGGAAATAATGACTGGATCAATGATGCAACTGGAAATATCTGGTTGTATCTGGTTATTGATCCAGTTTGGCCCATGGCTGGTTGGATTCAAGCCTTAGCCAGGCTTGTGCAGGGCAATTGCTTACGAGACTTGCCACGTGAAGCGTTGGAAGCATCGCACTTTTTGCTGACGATGCGCAGGGCGCCATAGCAGCAACCGTTTGCGATGGAAAATCACCATTTTTGGAAAGGTAATCATCTATAAATGGGCCATGGTTTCCATAGCTGCCATAGCTATGTTAAAATACCAGAGGGTATGAGCTGGTGAGTTGTGTTGATTTTGCAAATACTGAATGATCAAATCTGAGTGGGGGCTTCCTGCAATGGGGGATCCAAAAATAATCCGATTTTTTGTCGTTTGTGTATCTGGAAACCAATGGTTTTGCGGTACCATGCTGTGCCCCATTTTAGCGAGACACCCAAGTGATCAAAAAATAAAAATAGGAATAGATATAGAATAATCATGAATAATCAAGGTAGATACAGTAGGATGGCGAATTGGTGGCGGGTTTCCATAAAATCAGATCGTCCAAAAAAGTTCCAACCGTGACTACGTCAGGTTGGTAAACTACCAGCGGGCACCCGACAAGTGGCCGCCTCCCAGCTAGATTGGATTCCGGGTCAAAGTCGCCAGCTGCCCATGGGTCATGTTGTGGTGGTTCGATTCCAATTTCTGTTGGGTTCAAATTCCTATTTTGAGTGGCTGATTTGAATGAATTTGAATGGTGTAATATGCTGAAATCTCAAGATGTTGGTGAAATCCTCCAAAACTCACCAAATTGCTGACATCCCGATTTTTGATCCTTAAGTTACGTAAGCTTCATTTGTCCATCTTTCCCCAATTCTTGGTGAACTCAGCAGGAACGCTTCCTGGATCTTCTGGCAGCGACCCCTGGTCCCACTCGCACCGTGTGGTCCGTGGGGAAACGCTTGGAGCCGCGCGAAGGGTTGGACGCTCGGTCGCTGTGAAGTGGGGCCTCGGGGCCCCGGGCCCCACCGTTTTGGGGATGGGAGTGCCCAAAAAATAGAGGAAGCTACTGCATAGGATGCTGCGGATCAGTGAATTCAGTGATCAGGGTGTGAGATGAAGATCTCGGGATGTTTCACGGTTTTTGATTTTAGATAACAGTGATTTTGTCATCCAAAGTGCCAGCAAAACAAGGAATTTGACTACCCAATGGGCGGTCATGCCAATGGGAAATCCCAAGTTTGGATCCGCAAGTCATCGGTGAGTCATCTCACGTCCAAGAGAGATGAAACCTGGACCTATACCGATACCGCTGCAACCTAAAATCAATTCTTGAACTCACTTTTTCTTATGTTTTTTTTTGGGGTTTGTTGTTTACTATTTTTCACCCTAGACGTTAGCTGAGGAACATGTGAGTGCATCCTTCTTGAGGGCTCAATGGTCTGATGCAGAGGACGTTTTGGTGCACCGTTACACCCTGTGACGCAACCCTTCCACTTTGCGGATAGAAAAAAAACAGTTCAGCATGGCATGGCATGGTGTGACTTCCATAAATCCTCCTATTTCCTCTATAAATCCTCCATAAATCATCCGTAAATCGTCCATAAATCCTCCATAAATCCTCCAAAAATCTTCTTCATCCTCCATAAACCGAATCTTCAAGTGGCCAGGCGAGCCACGGAAAATCTTCCCGGAGGTAGTCTATAATACCAGTTAGTAAAATAAAAATACGTATATTATTTAAATGTTTTTAAATGTAGTTACCGTATATATAGTTTAATGATTATTAATATATATATATATATATACATAACTATATAAATCTAACTATATATATAGTTATATATATATAGTTATATATATATAGTTATATATATAGTTATTATATATATATATATATTTATATATATTATATTATATATATATATATATTAATATATATATAACTACACATATATATATATATAACTATATATAACTATATATAACTATACATATCTATAACTATATATAACTATATTAATATATATATATATATACATATAACTATATATATATATATATATAATATTGATCTATATTATATATATATATATTAATCTCTCTATATATATATGTGTATATATATATATGTGTATATATATTAATATATATATAACTATATATATAACTATATATATATATATAACTATATATATATAACTATATATATAACTATATATATAACTATATATATATAACTATATATATATATATTATGGGATGAATTGATATAATTACAGTTTGGATGACAACTTGGGGTACCTGCTTTAGGACGCCCCACAAAATGGTGCCCCATAGTTACAAGTTGGGATCTTAACCCCATCTGAATATACGTGCAATCATCAGGAAAACCCTAGTGAAAAACTAGCTACCTTAGCCACCTTAGCCAACCATAGGGCACCACCTTGCAAATACCCTCTGGTAAACGTTTACATAGCTATGGAAAATCACCATTCTTTATGGGTAAATCCACTATTTCTATGGCCATTTTCAATGGCTATGTTAATTTACCAGAGGGTAGTATAGATTCATGATGAATGATTCATGTAACTTTCCGTGTCAGACTGCTGACTGCAGGTACGCCACCAACGCGCAGTGCTGATGATGTGCAGTAATTTCCCTTGCTAGGAAACATCTGGGGCAGTGCACAACAATGACAGAATGGCAAAGCATCATGCCAAGATTGACCCATACGCCAGTTTGGGCACTGCTCTGCAACGCCAATGAACAGGTTGGCCTAGCCACGAGATATGACAGTGTCGGGGGTGTGGCATTGCAAAAAGGCTGAAAACCGCACAGGGGTCCCAAACAACGACATGGAATTTACATGGATTCAACCATCAGATCTCATTTTTTGGTCATGTTTCAATGTTACCTGCAATAGTGGTTCAATCGTATTTGCGCATGTGCAGAGGTTCCACATCAATTCAGCAACTTTCGCAGATACGTTGGGAGTTTCCATGGAGCATGACAACTGCACAATCCCATTAAAAACAAACATATGGATCATATGGATTTAATCCAATCAATTGAATGGATCAACAAATACAATTTGGATGTTTCATAATTGGTCTCTGATGAATTTCTCTTGGCGGGCTATCCTGTAGGATCTTGGATGACAGCAGCAGAGGGAAATCCATGGTGCTACTAATTTCAACGCGGGGGGCCTACTTCGGAAGTTGGAAAGCAATCTGGGTTGAGACTAGTCAAATTGGGACACTACAGGAATTGATGATAATTGATGTGAATACAAGAACCGAAAAAGCATAGGTGGATGATTGGTAGCCCAATTTGACCCAATTTTGTGGCGTTTCGTTGCCCGCGCAAGACTTTTTCGGAACGACATCGCTGCACGACATTCGAGGCCCTCTAGAGCCTGTAGACTGTGATGAGGCATGAAAGACAGCAAACAGATCTCAAGATCTTGGTTACTTCTGCCGCAAAGTTGGAGGAAAGGCAACACTTTGTTCAAAGGGTATAGGAAGCGGAGACAATGTGTCAATCCAGCCTTTTGATGACTGATGATAGCTACTGTACTGTAGTAGCTCTGGTTTCATGACCTTTGCATACACCACCAAATAAGAATACATACTCATGTCTATAATCGATATTCATTGAATCCAAATCTCTTTTGTAATTATATTCCTGTATATTCATCCGACATATAACCTCGCAAATCATATATGAATACATATGTCGCTGAAACATAATTCTATAGAACTTAGTAGAACTTAGTAGAACCATTAATATTTAGTAATTTAGTAGAACCATTAATATTTCTGTCTAAAATAAGTTATCCCAGATCCATTGGCCACTCGTCATTCTCCCTTATTAAGTCGGTCGACCCCATGTCGAAGCCTGGCGCCTCGGCGACGCAAAGCCCTGAGCTCTGTCGGCCTCGGCCTGCGACGGTGCCGGAGAATGACGCATGGCGCGGTTTCACGGGATCGTTGCTGGAAGAGTTCAACACAGCAGGGTTTTGGGGTTGTCTGACAATAGTACCCTCTGGTAATTTAACATAGCTATGGAACATCCATTATAAATGGAGGTTTTATTGGGAAAATCATCTGAAAATGGTCCATTTACCCTCTGGTAAACGTTTACATAGCTATGGAAAGGTCCACCATTTTTCAATGGGTAAATCCACTATAAATGGCAATTTTCAATAGCTATGTTAGTTTACCAGAGGGTAAATCCCTTGTATTGGTAAATCCATTGGTAAACCATTACTATATTCCATTGGTTTATCCATTACTATATTATCTATTGGTTTATCACAAATCCATTTGTAAATCCCAAATCCATGAAATTCCATTGCTTTATCAGTTTATCATGATTTTCCGTATTGAAATGGCTATTTATATGGGAGAATGCACCATTCTCAGACACACCCGTATCAATAGATATATAGACTATAGATTATAGATAATATAACAATAACACTAATAATGATGAGGATACATATTAAAAGTACTAAACATAATTACTAAGACTGATTAATAATAAGAGATGATATCAATAGCAATAGTAGTACGTATATATATATATATCTTTGTATATATATATATATGTATATATATATATATGTATATATATATGTACATATATATATATATGTACATATATATATATATGTATATATATATATATATCTTTGTATATATATATATGATTATATATGTATATATATGATTATAATATATTATACATATTTGATCCCCCATTGCAAGAAAGCCCCACTTAGATTTGATCAGTCAGCATTTGCCAAATCACCACAAGTCACCAGCTCATACCTTCCAGTAATTTTGCAATAGCTATGGAATCCATGGCCCATTTACAGATCATATATCATCTTTAGAAATGGTGATTTTCCGTAGCTATATACGTTGAATATACATAACTAATATAGTGTACAGTAGTATAATGTGTATATATATATATATATGTATAATATATATATATACATATGTATATTAGATTTCATATGGTTTTGACAGCCTTCGGCGTGTTCCGCCTGCCACTATGGAAAGAGCTATACTGCAAGCGGCTTGCACAGCGCAACAGCACAGGCCAAGCAAGAACATGGTTTTTGTGTAATCAAACATAACATGTATTATAGATGTATTATAGATGTATTATAGATGTATTATAGATGTTATAGATGTATTGAATTTTCAGTTATAGTTGTTGATGTACAGTTTTGGTGATCAATGGTTGGTGATCAATCAAGTTGTGAAGATTGGAAAGTTAAAGGGTTCCAAATTGCTGTTTATTGGTGACGTTTCGTGACCCCCAAAAAAATGGCACCAGCAGAAATGGGGATGGTGGATGGTGTTTGCACCAGCACAAATATCTGGTTTTGAGAGGATTCAAAAATGACCTCCGGCTGTGAATTCGGGTTTGGGCAACACCAACCTTCCTTAAATCATGCTGCATGAGCCATCTTTCTAAGAAAAGTGAACGATGATCACCGGCGGCCGCCCGGATGACCAAGGACATACAGAGTTTCATGGGACAAGAAAACTGGAGGCACCGTTCGCTGTTTCGGATGTCACCAGAGTTAACACAACTCTGGGTGTCAACCCATTTTTCGATATTTTTCACTATTCTTCATGGCTGGGAATTGAAAAACATCTTCACCTCTGTTTTTTTTCCCAGTGATTCATGGCTTACCAGGAAGGTGGACCTGAAGTGGTGCGGTGATTCAATCACCATTGTTTGATCCGTTTTGATGGTGTAAATAATCTTAAGACATGTTAAGACACATGACACGACACGCCAGGGCACGTGAAAACATGTCAAGACATGAATTTGGGTCTTTTTTCTTCAACGTAACAGTTAAATCCCTCACCTTTGACATCCTTTGACCCATTCTCAGATGGCTCGTTGACAGGCAGCGGATCCGAAAGGAAAATGCCCATGCTCCGAAGAGTGTTCAGTTCTCTGTGAGGCGCCGAAGTGTTTTTTTTTTTTTCGGTAGAAAATTCATCGGTGGATATCTTGACCAAATATAGGGATCTGGGGATTTAATCATAGGGTTTTAGTGGGTTAACCAATGTTCTGGTTGGATATTCATATTTTTTAAAACATAGTCATCCATATTTAAAGGATGACTTGAAGCGCCCAAAAAATGACTTTAGGATATTTTTTGGGAGAGAGACCAGCAAGCAGTGCGTTTGACGGATTTGGTAACTGGTTCACTTCCGAATGCCCTCCGTGGAGGAATGCCTGTCGGACCTTGGACGTGCCAAAGAAGCCCTGCCAGGCGCACCAGTTTGGTCACTAGTTTGGTCTCTTTTTTTTGGGGGGGGTTGGTGAAATTTAGGGCCAAAATCGGGCCTCAGTTGAGATGTAACTCATCAACATGGAGATAGGATCAACCTTGACTATGGATGTTTGCATATGTATAGGTGGGGCCAACATGGCCATGTGGCTTTCACCAAGGAAACATCTTATATATATAAAACCAGCAAACATGTTTATTTCATAAACACAGACATGTGCTTCTAAACACGCAAATCATTGGGGTTTCAACCGGCCACTTACAAAATCTTACATTAATATACATTAATTCATATGTTCCGATCTATACATCTATCTATCTATCTATCTATTTATCTATCTATCTATCTATCGATCTATCTATCTATCTATCTATCTATCTATCTATCTACAAACCATCCGGTAATCAAACATGGCTAGCCGGAAAAAGCTCCCATTTAGTTCGATAATCCAGCTACAACCCTCCATCTTGGGGATTGCCCAGCCATTTTTGACACTGGAGGCATCCACATATTGTTGCTTCTCAACTTGCTAGTACACTCTGGTAAACTAACAAAGCTATGGAAAATCACCATGTTCAATGGGTACATCCACTATAAATGGCCATTTTCAATAGCTATTTTGACATAACCAGAGGGTATATTCCCACTCAATCCCATTGTAATCTCCGTGTCTCCACCATGTTCCAGTTAGCCCAGGGTTTTCATGGCATAGATGTGAAAAATGTATGGGTTTTCCTTGGAAAATTATCTACATTCACGGCGGCTTTTCCACATCTATGTAAACGTTTACCGGAGGGTAGCCATAGATCCATTCTTTGCAGCAAGACATAGTTTGGCATAGCCATGGAGGGTATCATGAAAAATAATCTTAGATCTTGTCTACTCAACCTGGAAGAATCCCAGTGTCTACCAATTATATCTCCATCAATATCTCCATGAAAATCCATACGACAAATGGATGTTCCATCCATAAAATCGATTTACCAGTGATTTTCCTTAAAAAATTCCCCATATCTCCATGATTTTCCAGTGATTTTCCCATGGAACTCCCCATGGGAAATCCCATGGAAACCCCAGGTCCATCCGTGGCGTGGCGCAGCGAGCGCAGCGAGACAAAGTGAGACCATTCCGTCCATGGAGTCAAGGAGCGCGAAGCATTGAGGATTTTTGGGTGAACCATTGGTGGGTTTTTTCGTGACATACCCTCTGGTTATGTCAAAATAGCTATTGAAAATGGCTAGAAATAGTGGATTTTCCCATTAAACATGGTGGATCTTTCCATAGTCGTGTTAAATTACCAGAGGGTAACGTGACATATCTTATATATTTCTCATATATATAATATATTATACCACATATCATGTAAAATGTATCATATATATATATATCTATATAGATTATGGCATATTATATGTATATATATATTTATGATGCCCTCCTTCAACCAAAGTTCAACTTAAACAAACTTCCCAATATGTGTTGGACTCGTTTTGTTTGGTGGGGGGAGGGGAAACATGCACACATACACACACACATATATATATATATACATATCCACAGATACATAGTATTGGTTATTATGAATTTGGTTTCTATCAACCAATGCCTTACACCGTCTCCAATTAGAATGAAACAGTTGGAGCGGATGGAATCAATCATCCCAAGTATAGATTCATCCAGCAATAAACTGCACACTCGGCAGCGTTTTTGTTTGGTAGAGTCCCCATGAATTTGATTATATACAAACATCAAAACCATCTTTATACAAGTAATTGAGAACAAACTTTAAACAGGACTTGGGGTTTAAACAGAAAACATGGGGCGGGTTGTTTTGATGGAAGTTGATACTCCCAACATCTCCATTAAAAACAAAGACAGCTAGCAATACAAACTAAACATGGCCTTGCTAATTCCCGATATTCTAGTAAAAATATTCATGACTGATTTTTTTGCTGTTCAAACTTGACTAGGTTTTATACGGGGTAAAATTGCTCCTTTAAAACACGTTACCCTCAATTTTCTTGGTTAAATCAGTTAAATCATCCACGAATAGCAAGTTAGTATTGTTAGTATTGGTTCGGAGGAATCCCAGTCTATCCCCATAATGATATTCCCCTTTCGCATAAAATGTGTGGTATTCTTTGGCTGGGGGGTTCACCTTTGAGGTTGGCTGAATCAAAGATAAACCCAGCAGTGCAACTAGTTAAAGACACACTTAGCTAACATCGACCAGCTATAATTCCCATATTAATCCCATCATAAATTTCATATAATCCCATTTAAATTCTCCAACATTCCCCAACAAAAATCCATGAAATCCGTTGAACCCCACCATCCGCAGGAGTTTCGCGCGCAGCTACGCGCCCAATGAGCAGTTCCTGTGGCCGGAGACGGCGATGCACGACGTGGGATGGCTGGTAAAGGCGTATCATGGGGATTCTGGGAGTTTAATGGGGATGATCATCGGGATTTTATGGCAACCAATAGTTGAATAGTGATAATAGTGTATGTATATATATATACATACAGTGTATATAGTGTCCTGTATAGTTTATGTATCATCAGTGTATGTTACATAGATAATAGTGATAATAATAATAATGATATATATATATACACATGGGAAACTATCAAAAGCTATTATTACCATATGACGGGGGGAATAACCATCCATTCACCAGCTATTTTATGGTAAGGGTACCATGGTTTTGACCCATAAGCAGATATTAATGGGGACAAAATAGGAATAACCTGGAAATTGGTGGATACTTGGGTACTATGATGGGATTATAATGGCATTTAACCACCACTGAGATTTAGTGGGGAAATTACCCTATGCCCATTTAACATTTAACAGTTTGCGCGGGAAAATAAAGTTCAATAGGTCAACCATAATGTTTATCATCGAACTAAGTGGGCAATTTTATAGCTATGTCAAACAACCAGACGATATATACATGGGTTAGTAAAGATGATTTCTAAGGTATGATCAAGGGATTCGCGGATTGCATACCTATAAAATTGATATGGCCATGGATTTTCATGGGATTAAATGGGCTATAAATGATATAAACCAACAAGCAGAATGATTTTATGGTGAATTCCTTTTGACATGGAAATCGCCGTTGACGTTCTCCATTTTAAGTACCTGCCATCGAACATATCAATGATTAATGGAAAATGGCACATCTGAATTTGTAGATGAATGATTTATAATGATTTATATATAATGATTTATAATGATTTATAATGATTTATAATGATTTATAATGATTTATAATGATTTATAATGATTTATAATGATTTATATATTTACATAACGAATGATGTGGATGTCCTAGTTTACTGAAGGCTCAATTCCCATGATATCCATAGAATGCCCATGTCTGCAATAGCTGGATGTCCATCCCCCATGTTGGGATTTTACAGCAAACCCATGAATTCAACCATAGAAATCACCATCTAAATGTTGCTTTGTAATGTTTTATTTATATCCCACAAACAAAAATCTATGAAACATCCCATGAAAATCCGATTTTGGACCCCATTTAAATTCTATGAAAAATCCCATTAAAATCAATGAACATTTTGATGAACCACATCTAACTCTCCGCGGATCGGCGCCAGGACTCCGCGGAAAGCCGGAGCGGGATTCCCGTGAGCGAGCGGACGACCATCTTGGGGCCCAGCAATTTGGGCTTCGGCCGGGGAGCCCAGAAAGTTGTGAGGTTTTTTCCACCTCAAATTAGATATATCTCTACCATAAACATCCATAAAATATATGGTTCACCTATAGTTATAAAGCATAGTTAGAGCATTTTTTTAGAAAAGAAACTGAGTGCTTCAACAAAATCCACGTGGTGATTTTTGCTTCTGGGGATACAAAAAATCACCGAGCAATGCTCTTGGAGCCTCAGATAGCCAAACAGGTTGGCGGCGGCGTTCAGCAGAGAAGCGGCAGGACGACGCCATGGCCGCCATGGCAGCCATTCTCAAACCATGGCTGGTTTATGCTGCTTTACCCTCTGGTAAACTGTCCCATAACGAACTGGAAAGGTCCACCATTTTTAATGGGAAAATCCACTATTTCGACTGGGCCATTTTCAATAGCTATGTTAAATTACCAGAGGGTATGAGTTCTTTACTAGTATTACTTGGTTTTGCAGTACTCTTTTGCTGTGTCTAGAAGTGGTTCTCTTTTGCATGGAATGTTTTCTTGGATGGGCGTACAACTGGATGAACATGAATGCAAACAAATTTAACATACTGTAAATCATGTGGGTACCCTGCCAATTCCCAAGTTCAAGAAAAAATCCAAACTGGCTGGTGCAAGATCTGTTTTCATTTACTTCTGGATTTGGTAATTTGGAATGAATGATAAGACCACAGTGGAGCATAGTTTATGGGATGTCCCCTAAAGGATCCTAAAGGTGTCTTGGGACAATGATCTCAATCTTCACTTCAGAATGTTCAAAGCACCACTGGCAGGAATCGCATATAATTCTGCAATTTTTAAATTTTTTTCAGTACAACTTCAAACACATCAAACATATTCAAACATGATACTTGGACGTTGACAGATTTCAGGAGTGTTGCGAATCCGTCCTCCCACGACACGGCTTCGCCACTCCAAGCACTGCTGTGGGAAGCAGCTGGGGTACACAGATTCTGCGACGACACCCAAATACTGCAACGTTTGGGGTGAAGAAAATGGCACAATGGTGGGTGATACTCTGCAAATTCCATTCAATGTCTATTCGTTTTGAACGCATTTTAAGGCCATAATTAAGGCCATAATTAAGGCCATAATTAAGGCCATAATAGCCAGTTGAATTCCTTTTTTTCGGAAGTTGTGGACCGGTTTTGGTGACAGCTTCCAGCCTTCGGACCTGTGGCTGCCAGCTTTGACGGCATGCGTATCCTGCTGGTCGTGTCAACTTGGGATAAAGTTAAGGATATGTTAAAGATCCTTTCAGCTGTCCCTTAGTTAGGAAGATGATCCCGACTTTTACTCAATTTACATCAAATTCCATCGATTTACATCAAACTACATCAAATTATATACATCAATTTACATCAATGCCCTTTGAGACCGGGGTTTTGACAAGCCTCACCAGCAAATCAGCTGCGTAGCCGGGGTAGCCCATCCTCCTTGTTGGTTGATAGCCTCATGCAATCTGATAGCCAGATTTGGGGGGGATGAACATCCATATAACATCCATAAATCCTATAGCGATTTGGGTCTATTTTTTGGTGTTCACCAGCGGGCGGAAAGCCTCTTCAAGCAGGTCGGAAGTCATCGCAGGAGGCCTGCCAAGCGGATCCAAGCGGCTCTGGTCAATGTCTAGAGTTGATAGGCATAAAATGGCATAAACCAACTTCTTATTTGGGACACCTTGTGCATGATCAGGTTTCATCACTTGGTCTCAAGAGATCAGAGTATGCCTTGCTGAAATGAGTAGTACGCTGCCACGAACCTTCGTTTCGTTGTTTGGGCTTAAGGTGGAGCCAATGCTTAGAGAGGGGTGAACACATGAAACCAGGTGTCGTTCGCACGGGCGGCTTAGGGGAATGGCCATTGGGTCTCCTGTCAATCCTTACATTGAAACAGTACAACATCCAGCACAGCACATCAATGGTTCTTCATTCAGAGTTTCTGTTGATGTCGCAAAGTCTTGTGATGTAGATGATGAAGAAACATAGAAATGATTGGAAAGACGATCTTCGATCTCACGGCAATGAACATCATTGAAGGACTAGCGTCGTTGAAGAAATCCTGTATGATCCACCGAATAATTTCAATGTTGATCTACATTAAGATTAGCAACACATAATTCAACCGGATCATTCTGCAACATGTTGACAGCCTTCTACTCAACATAAACTGACCAGGCACTGGGATGACACGACGGCACTGGGGTGCCAGTGCACTCGACGGGAATGAGGATCTCCACCACACTCTAGGCGCATACTGATAAATCCATATATAAAATCATATTTATAGTATGAATCCATATAAATCCATATAAATCCATATAAATCCCATTGATCAAAGCATCTACATAATCATATCATCAACTCATCTTTCGATCGCGTCTCGATCGTCTCGATCGTCTCGATCGTCTCGATGTTCGTGGACAAATGGCAGCCGCACAGCTTCCAGAGCTTCAACGCCAAGATCGAAACGGATGGGATCCAGGTCAGCCACCGGCCCAGCAGCATCAAGCAGCCTGGCCGAATGGAGGAGACCAAGCACTCTGGGAGCACGCTGGGAATATCATGGCTGGTTGGTGGTTTGGAACATGAATTTTATTTTTCCATATATTGGGAATATTTGGGAATAATGATCCCAACTGACGAACTCCATCATTTTTCAGAGGGGTAAGTATACCACCAACCAGATATATATAATTATATATATATATAAGGGAATATGCCATTGAATGTCATTGATTTTGATTAGTTGAGCGATTTAATATGATTTAATGGGATACAGAAGCAAGAATTTGATTTGGGTTTGTCCGAACATGAGGATGGACCCGCAATGTCTGGCAATGCTGATGGGTCTTAATGACGATACAACGTGGGATGGAATGGGGTACTGAATTTTGGCAGAAGCCCAAATGGGGATCTTTAGCAGAGCAAACGAGATGTGAAGCAAGGGAAAATATAAATCTAAGACGTTGATCATGATCTGAGACTCTGAGAGGAAAAAACGGAACAGCCAACTGATCTCCAAGGGATATTTGGCACCAGAAATGAGAACTAAATCATGAACAACCAGCTTATAACCTGCATCTGCGGTATCTATCTATATCCCTCCATTAATATCACCTGTCGGTCCCTGGTTATGGGCGGTTATGGGCTGGGGTCCAAGCTTCAGAAGGTTTGGGACTCTTACTAGTACGGAGCCATGTAGTCTTGGGTGCATACTCACTTCTTGTTGAATATTGTTGGATATTGTTGGCTATCGGATATTGTTGGAGAGATTGTATACTTTGGTCTATATTTTTGGATATAATGATTGGATATGATTGGGTCTTTTTGGATATTGTCGGAGTCGATAAATCATGTCACGTCGCCTTTGGATCGATATCATCCATTGAATCTTGGAGGAGTAAGCCGAGATGCGTCCGATTGCTTTCACATGAAGATGTGGCGAAAGAACATATCACAGTGTAGAAACATAGCACAAATCGACATCTCCGACATTCTCCAAAGATCTGTATACATATATATATATAATTTCTCATTATAATTCATCACTCAATCACATATGTACCTAGGACCAAATCTGTGTTATCTCTCGGTCATTGCAGATCCGCTTCAGCGGGCCTTTTGGCCAAGGCTGAAGGTGAACTGCTTTCGCTTGGTGTTTGAAGCTCCGATTTTCCACTACCACTACGACCTTGACGGAGAAGCAGCTGCCACTGCCACCAGAAATCCTCCAGAAGAGCCACCAGTCGGGACAGACTTGACCTGTCATGAAACATGGGCAATCCCAAGGGTTTGAATATGTTTTAATGGAACAATCATCTGTAAATTATTTCCATATATTTCCATGGCCATGCGAATGACTACCATGTTTTCATGGTACCTTTCTGAATCTCAAGGGCAACACAGCTCCGACCTTTAAGGCGAAGATTGCTGGAAGCTGTGTGGTCGGAGCTCGAGCCTTGGTGCGGTGGGGTGATCAATTTTTCTTCAAATTCAAAGGGATGGAATGACATTAAAAAGAGAAAAAAATGGAATGATGGCTCATCTGGTTGTGACTGACATAGCCATGGAAAATTTTTCATTTTTTAATAGAACATAGTCATAAATATATATAAATCATCTATAAATGGGCCATTTCCAATAGATGGCTGTTAATGATGGTTATATGATGGATGGCTTGAAAACCCACAGGGGTTGTGGGTCCCCACCTTTTTGCCACGGAGCCAGGAAGATAAAAACCTTGAAAATCATGGAAAACGATCACTGGGAACCATTCTCTCTCCAGAGAGGGGTAGACACTTGATGACACTTGTCTTGGAGAACCACCCCGTGTGCCAATTTCAGAACACTCTGGTAATTTGAGAGTTTGCTATTGAACATCACCATAATAATTAGATATATAATTAGTTGCAACAGTGTAACATAGTAAAACATTGCTCATCACATGTTCACCTCTAAGCCAGCTGTTTGCAAATATTCTATTTGACATCACAATGTTTATATATATAATATATACACATACATTATATCATTAGGATATTAGGTGAATCATCGAAATTAATGGGCCATTTGCCATAGCAAGGGTTGAATTACCGGAGGGCAATGGGAATATCAAGGGCAATATCAGTGGGAATATCATGGAAATATCATCGACCATCAGTCCTGTGACCTTACCAAAAGATAGAGGCAGAATTGGATTCGTCAACAACTAGTCGCTGCTGCAGTGAGCCCCGACGTTTTCTGAACCAATGCAACAGGCCTGACCAAACTCTCGACAACGATTCTTGCAGAGAAGAGGAAGCCCGCAAGGGATGAATTTTGCGCCCAAGACATAACAATGTATAGATATCGATAATCATGTTGCGATTGATCTAAAGGTCCTTCATTCTTATGATATATATATACATGTGTGTGTGTATGGAATGAAAATACATGTGTATATATTATGCACTGTATAGAGTAGAACCCCCGCAAAGCCCAGCAGGATGTGCTGTTTCTGTGCTCAGGAAGGCAAGCTGTCGGTTTTTTGCCTCCGACTTCCGGGGCACATTTTCTCGCCCACGGGCTTCGTGGAGGGCTTCAAAATCAGCAAACGCATCGGTTCCAAGGACTTCAGCATGAAGCTCGGAAAAATGGAGGCTGTTGGGAGATTTGGCTGATGGATTTGTCAGCAAGTCAGCAACAGGATATTATATACATATATATATAATATATAATATATAGATATATAATATACAAATATTAAAAAACAACAAGACTAATGGGGGATGTTCATTGGATTCAACGGGATATAAAATTAGCAAAGCTGATGTTTCAAATTATGACAATGTTCATGGGGAACATGATGATTAAACAGCGGATAAATCGATTTGGGGCTGGGTAGATTGCCTTAATGGCTTAATGGGCTGGGAAGTTTTGCAAGGCAATGTGATTTGAGTGCAAAATAGGCATGGGTCAAAATGGCCCCTGTGTCCCACAGTTTTTAGCATGTTGTATTTTCTGACTGAGTATTTGAGCATCCAATTAATTTTGGGACTCAAACCCAACCATGCTTAACGGTTAAGCAGGCTTAACCAATACCTATACCAGAAGGGTCATATACGTATTGTAGACTACAAAAACGTGTGCATCTATAGATATGTACGGTGATTCAAGGCGATGAACCTACATGGAGCAACGCAATGTCATGTATGTAGTGCATTTGCTTCAATGGTCAGGTGTATTATTCTTTACAGTGGATATCATCAGATGCACAGTGAATGAGGATCTGAGTGGTTGCAGACAATGAAGCGACACTTTTGGCAACAACAAGGTGATCACACCCCATGAGCGCATAGATGATTCATAGAGGCTCTTGAAGATTCTTCAAGCGGGTCACCCTATGTAAACCACGGGTGACCTTCATGGAGGATATTTTTCAGGATAAAACCATCAACCAATGAACGGATTAGTGGAGCTGCCAACTGAGTTTTTCAACCATTCGGACCAGAAGACCAGCCCGACGTGTGCCAACACGCGCGGGAGCCCGACGTGTGCAACACGCGCGGGCGTGGTACATGTGCCACTGAAAGCTATTTTCAACTATTTCAACTAATGGTTTTAAGGTAGATTTCCTTATCTGATATCTTATATATCTGGATCTTTTATCGAATCCCTATTTCTACAGTTTTGAATCTCAACGACTATGAATTAATTCGATATTCGTAGGATGGATTGAAATATGTCGATTGGCAAGACCTGCTGGAACACTCTGTGCTAGTGAAATTTGAAGTGGTCAAGTGTCCACGCAAAGAGCCGCCTATGAGCACGTCAAACTGGTTGGTAGCACTCTGTTGGGTACCGCCTTTGAAGTTGCCATACCCACCCAAGTAGACCGGACACCGAAGTCGGTGATTACTAACCGAACCAATGTGAGTTGGCTGGTATCAGAATCCCCCTTTGCAGATACCTTCCGTTAGATATTAGTCGTATCATCCAAGTCGCTGTGGATGTCACATGGGTATGGGTCAAACTTTGTCTTCAGGGTTGTTCCTTGTAGCTAACCAGCCGAAACAACCAGTCGATTTGGGATTCAATAGGTCGTGGATAACAATGTTATCCCATCCACAAATAGATATGTAAATAGATCGGAGATTCTATGCTGCATGTTTGTTGCTAAATTTCCAATGCCACCCTGTTTCGTGGTTCAAACCTCAATGTTCCATGCTTAAATTTACCAATTTCTGTTTGCTCACAGTCACACAATGCATTGTTGCCGTTACCATTTCACCCACTTCCGGGGAATTTGTATTTTTCCAATTTTGACAGTACTCTAGGCAAAATCATAACATCACCAGGACCTCACTGTATATATTTGTTTCTACTTTAAAATACGCGTAAATTTACCAAACAAAACATGAACTCCTGTGTCAAGTTCCACCTTTCTGCGCAACCCCGAAACATCTCGAGAAGTAAAAGCTCTGAAAATCATGGCTTTTCACGGGGTTTTTCCCATAACCCATAGGATCCATGTATGGTATATATGCTAACATTTGGGGTATATTGATGGGATCCATGTTACCATATATAGCATACATGGATCCTATGGGTATAGCAAGGCCAAAACCATTGGAGCCCCAAGGATTGTGTCCTTCCACGAGAAGCTCAGTTCCACAAACGGAGTCGCCTCAGTGGTGGCCCAACACATCATCAACCAGCTGGCCTCGCCCGCACGGAAGGCAGCCATGGCTGTGAAATTTTTGGGATACCATGGGAAAATGGCCATTGAATTCCGAATGAAATTCTGGGATGTACAATGTACTGGATTCATAATGGAGGAATGTATAAATGTTTTTTTTTTAAATCTTGGAAACCATGGAGCAGCCATGGCCCATTGATGATTGACTCAAGGCACCTCCAAGATTCCACCATCGAATCGCCGTCAATCGTATTGGAGTGGCTGCATCAAGGTTGCGACGGTGATTTGTCAGCAGGTTTTTGTCCATTTTGGCGCTGATGATTTTCCTTCCAAACTTCCTTTTAAAAAAAGTGCTTCAAAATCGTGTTTTTTGTCGCTTTGGCGCCGGGATCCGGTCTTGGGGTGTAAAATCTATTCTGCGTAAAATATTCTGGGAGGAAAAACTTCTTTGTGTGAAAGCTTCTGTGTAAAAACTGTTTTTCAGTAAAAACTTTGTATAGTGAATTCCAAAGTAGTGCTGGGAAGTACTTTGTGCAAGCTCTGTAGTACGAAGCAATGCTGGGAAGTACTTGGTGCAAGCTTTGTAGTATAAAGTGGTACTGGGAAGTTCTTTTGAGGTCTCAAAATAACATGCTGTTAAAACAAAAGGATACAAGAACAAATATGTCAAGAGTAAACCGTACCAAGAGAATGGGACGTGGAGAGGACGCAGTGTCAAGAGAAGAAGGTCTCAAGAGATCGAGATGCCAAAAGATAGGGATGCCAAGAAAAAGAGAAATCAGCGAAAAGCAGCGGAAAAGACATCGGTGTCCAGAAACAGCGATGACGCTGTCAAGATTCAGATAGGTTTCCCCCATGGGCCGTGCAGGTGGGCCGCCGTATGTACAAGGAGCACGTGGCAGTTGAGACTGGGCGAATAAGAAAGGGATGTGCCTTCCACTTGGAATCCGTGGTTAATCCATAACCCATATATCACCCCATATAGAAGGGATGTTCAATTTTTCAATATGGGATAGGGATATTAACTAAGTGGGATGTTCAATTAACCCATATTTCAACTATATTTTTCAACTATATCATTAACCCCAATGTTTATTTTGTTAGCCATTAACTAAGTGGGATGCGCCCCCAGGTCGTATTGCCAGGGCGAATTTTCCACTTTTTGTAGTGTTTGGAGGATTTTAGTTCCCATCAGGGGTACCCATATCGGTTTGTCTGAGAAGGTACCCCTAAAATATCCTAAAATCATCGGATCTTTCTCCCATTTTTTTTTGCGGTTCTTTTCAGAGACACCCAGGCGTTAGAACGGAAAATTGGACATCAAATTTGCGGGAACCTCCAAGGTCCCAGAACTCCCCCGCTCCTTGAAGGTGAGGGTCTCATCCTGAAACTCAGCAATTTTCGAAATGCACGGATTGCACGGCCTATGCATACAATGTAATATGATGTAATATGTAATAACTAATGAATATCTACACCTACATATATATATTATTACACAATTATATAATATATATATAATATGTATTATATACATATATATATATATACAGTACATAAATATCCCAGGTCTTGTAATCCACAATGGTTCTACTGGTACCTATTATATATCGCAACGTTCAGCGTTGTTGTTTCGGCATCCGGCACCTAGGATCCTGGCAAAAGTTCCATGAACACGATGCATTCGCTGAGCGTGCTGCACAGCTACGGCCTGCAGAGTCCCCTGTTGCTACTGGACCTCATGCATCCTGGCTGGATGAATGGCTCCCGGTGATGCCTATATATAGTAGTTCGGGGATGAGAACCTGAAAAATAAAAGTGGAGGTTATCACCTAAGCCCTGTTATAGTGGGATATCTCTAACGAAGAATCCATTCGAAAGATTTCCGAAATCAAAAATGCCAGGTCAGATTGCCAGAAATTTTTGGAAACCATGGATAAATCCACCAGTTGGGGACCATCCTATTTTTTCAGGCATGGCTCAACCACCAGTTGTTGTACCTTCATCCAATGCTGCTTTGTTTTCCCATATCTTGCTGGTTTTCTATCATCCCCATTATATCGCTTGTTACTTGTGCCACGGTTTTGCTGCTCAATATCTTCCTATGTGTATATACTTGGATGGTCTTGGAAATGAGTAACTGGGCCCAAACCAGTATGTATATTATATATATATAGTTCTAAGGGCTTAATAGCCTTCCTACCAGCCCTTTTTGGCAATTTCCAGCATGATTTGAGCATGAAATTTCACCTGACAGCGGAGTTTCCATGATTTTTCAACTGAAATATCCATGCTCATCAATTTTCCAATCAACCATGGTGTGCTTTTTGCAGCCAGTTTGTTTTTTATCGTGTCGCTTGTCGCTTCCAGGAACCGCCCGGTTCATGAGAAGACCATCATCGACGTTCTGCGCACGGTGATGCCAGGCGTAGATATCTTTCAGCATAGCCTGGACCCGGAGATGAGAACGGAGTGGCTGCAGTGTTGCGTATCGGCCACGGATGCTGGGACGTTTAACCGTTGTTATGGCGATAAATTTTACGGGTGATTTTAAAAGGGTGACTTGATGATAATTTTTTAATGGTGATTTTGATGGGATATAGATAGGATATAGATGGACTATTTTTATGGGATAGGGATATATAAATGGTACTGTACAGTATCCAATGGGTTTCATAACCAATCACCACAACCACAATAGGAAAACTGGGACTGGGACACTGGGACCGTGGTGTTTCTAGATTTTCTTTTGATGAGAAAAACACCAGGGGGGATTGTTGATATATATATATACATATAATTGGGTTTGTGTCAGAAAATTTGGATGAAAGCTTCAGTTATGGCCATTTCAAGAGGTATATATGGGATGATGCTGATGAGTAAGCAATGGGTGTGGAACTAAAACATGGCGGATCAGACTGACTAACTAGTTGGATTGTTCCGCGGATAAGACATGGGATCAATTAGACCTGCACTATGGGGGGAGCGCCTATAGCAGCTGTGGATATTTTTCAGGTGGTGACCGTGTACAACAACCGCGTCTACAAGATCAAGAAGGTTCACTTCGACATGACTCCCGAGTCCGTCTTCACGATGAATCGCAAGGGAGGAGCCGACGTGAACATTAGCTGCGAAGCTGAAGTTGAGAAGCGAAAAATGCGAGGTGCTGCCTCCTATGTTTGTTGGTGAAACGAATTAACAATGGACAGAATGGAGAGATCTACCATAAACCCTTTTTATATGGGGCACCCTTGTGTATATTTTGTGCAAAGTTCGGGGGGTGATTGATTCAGAGTCACGTGGGTAAAAGGGATGGTGAAGACCCTCATGATACGGAGAATTACAATGTCCGCATTTTGCCCCGCTTACTGTAAATGTATATAATGTTATCCGAATCAGCCATTTTGGGTTTCCACCTGGGGTATACCATCACCACCATGCATGCATGATCCTGGTGCATGGTGGCCCCCAGCCCTAGCAGCTGCCGGTATCCTCTAGCAATCGGCTAGAATCAGGTTTACAATATTATGTGGAGCTCTTCTACGCCTGCACTGTGAAGTACAAGTCGCAACCTGTGCTTGAAGCTTTCCCTGACAAACCAAGCGAAACTTGGAATTCATGGAGCTTGTAGGTGAGCATTTTCCAGAAACGATACTGTTGGATACTCTCGGATACTCTTGGTAGATAGAAGATGATAGAAGATGTGTTTATTCCCAAGAGCGGGCGTCTACACAGGGGATGCATTGGATCGAAAGTGTGTAGAAACCACGGATGCTCTGAGTGGTTTTTCCCATTCGGGGTGGCTTCGAACAAACAGAAATTGATACGTGATATAGCATTTTGAGCATCATGCAGCACCGCTCAGTAGAAAACCCCCTTCCAAGTCGATCCCCAGTAAAAACATGTAAAAACAGGTCAGTAATGGTCAGTATATTTTCGATCCTTGGTGCTTTCCAATCCATGTCATGCCCATGCCATGTCTAATGGGTTTAGATCCGCATTGTTCTTGCTGTTAGACTCGCATTTGATCACCACAGCCAGGAACGGGTCTTCTTGCTGCCAGAGTTTTGTCACCTCATTGGGACAGATGAAGAGAGCAATCAGAAGCGTTCCTGGGGTCCAAGTTGGGTTCAACTGGGTCGTGGAAAACGAACGGCAACTAGCAATCCATATATCGTTTCCCACGAGTCCAGAGACATGTCTTGTTTTTCAGCTATGCCATGTGAAGGGGAAGGTTTTTCAACCACGGGCATGGGCAATTTTGCCATCTTTGCATGATTATATGTATATATATATATTTACCGGCTTCGGGGCACAACTTTATCGGCTTCTGTTGCTTGGTCGAGGGTTTGCCCAATATTTCCCTACACTTCCAAGGTGTCATCCCAGATGCCATATTTACTCTCTGGTAAACGTTTACATAGCTATGGAAAATCACCATGTTTACTGGGAATTCATCCACTAACTAAATCACCATTTTCAATAGCTATGTTTGTTTACCAGAGGGTACATATATTTCCGCATTCCCTGGGTAGACATGGCCCACATGGCCCACATGGCCTGGATGGCCTTCCCGAGGCCTGATGGAAACCTTAAAGCGACTCAAGGCTTCACCACAGGCGCCGCGAATTTTTGCGGAACCAAATGAGGGAAGCCGTGTTTGATGGAGGCTATGTGATCGATATGTATGGTTCAAACATCTATGAAACATCCGATTTTGAAGGGATTAGACAATATATGACAATATATATAGATCTTAAGATATAGATCTATACGACAAGACAATATATCACAGAAATTCAACACGAATGTACGTTCAACATGACCAATTCTGTGGGTCCATTGATACCTCTCGCCGCTAGCCCCTGTGGAATGGTCAATTGATGATTGCCTTGTGACAGCCACAGGTGACCTCAACTAGGCATTTTCACTGGTCCAAGTTCTGTTTCTCCCATCCCCATAGGTGTTGCTGAGACATGTAACTAGACATGTAACTAGACCATATCCAATGAGTGTACAGCACTCGTCAAGTCTGCTATGTTTCTTATGATGGGCCACGGGCCAAGGTTTTGCCAGGAGTTTTCGCTTTGGCCACACACCTTCTAAAGCAACGACTAATTGGTAAGATGAACTAGCAATTCATTTACCATATATATATATATATATCTAATAGTTTAACTCTGGGATCAACTCTTCTGTACTTGTTGGTTCTGTGATGATGATCCCTCACCATTCACCTCCAGTGGCAGGAACGCTTCGATGCCGTCTTGCAAGCGGTGGGGAAAGACCTCAAGGATGACATTTGTGCGAGACTTGCATTGCAATGCCGACAATCTCAGACATTGCTGCAAAAACGAGTTCATGGGGCGGTTTCATCTCCCAATTCCAATGGCAATGTTTCATTCATGGGAGATATGATAATTCACCAGGAAGTATGAAACCAGCGGATTTTCATCTGCGGCATGAAAATAGGCTGGAGGACAAGTCCTCACTTTTTCCATCATTGTTCATCATCTATAGTCACCAAAGCCCATTGTTTTCCATCATTATTCATCATGTGCATGAAACTATGGTTGATCATCATGTTTCCATCATTTTTCCACCATCTATAGTCATCATAGTCCACTTTTTCCATCATGTTCGTCCTCCAAAGGTCACCAAAAAACCTCTACCACGCCCTGGTGACGCGCTAAGGAAGTGGGGCTGCAAGCTGGACAAGAAGCCCTTGATGGTCGAGGGCCGCTGCTTGGCCAACGAGAAGTGGCATGTGGCTCGGCGGCAGAGGATGGGGATTCGAATGATGTCGACGCATAAATACGACGTATAAACGTTTAATTATTATTCAATGGTTATTGACATTGCATGGTTGTTTAATGGGATTTAATGGTACTTAATTGTTTTGAATGGTTGTTTAATGGTTGATGTTTTTTTAATAAATAAGTAATGGATATGTTCGATGGGATTTAATGGTTATTCAATGGGATTGAATGATATTTAATTGTTGTTTAATGGGATTTACCAGGATTTTATACATTTATTTTCTATGGAATTTCATGGTTATTCAATGGGATTGAATGTTATTTAATTGTTGTTTAATGGGATTTACCGGGATTTTATACATTAACATGGTGATACAGTGGGGAATTGCCCACTGGTTATTTTACATGGCTATGGAAATGGCCCATTTAATTTATGTTGATGTATCTATGAACAAAAATGGTGATTTTCCATAGCTACGAACAAAAAATGATCAGAAAATATAAACATGTTAACATACTCTTGCACATGAATTTGGATTATATCCTGGTCTCTCGATGGAAGTGGTGGTTTCAACATGATATTTGGTGTTCTAGCATGATATTTGGGATGATTCAGCATGACTATCTTGATTTGCAGGTTGAAACCACCAAGAATCAGAGCCCATCTTGTGGGATGTCGGGATCCTACCAACATGTCAGTCACAGCTCGGGGTGTTTAATTTGGCATACAAAAAACACAGGTTTTTCTGTGTTTTTCCTGTTTTTTTTAAGTATGAGCTCCCAAATCAACAGATCCATTCTAGATTCATCCAGATTGGACCATAGATATCCAGCCGGCGGGCTTGGAGCACCAAAGACTAAACTGGGACCAAAATGGTGGTTTCTTAAAACGGGGGATTGCCAAAACCATGGGTTTCAATACTAAAGTGGTCTGAGTCTAATTTGGATAGTTTGGGGGTACCCCCATAGGAAAATTAGGACACCTCCAAATCTGGGTTTGCCACTTCCCCCATGGTATTTTCTGCCGCCATAGGTTGCCTTCGAGGAGGACCAACGGTTTCAGGTCGATGAAGAAGGAAACTTTACACGCTGGCTCCGCCACGGCCCCTGGACCCCGCCCAAGGATGGAGATCTACCAGCGATGGGGTACACAAACAAGAATGATATGGGGATATGAATGGGACTTAGTTTGATTTAATAAGATATATAATCAATAATCATCAATACTCTAATGTTGGGGTGTGTCTGAACATGGTGTGTGTGTATATATACGTATATATATATAATTGCCATATTGGTCTATATCAATAGGGATAAAGATAATTAATCAATGGATAGAATGGGGTTGTGGGGTACCATAATTTTCAGACAAACCTACAGTTGGGTTATGTGATGATGAGGATGGGTATATCATACATATTTTGTATCTGTAGAATATGATTGCAGATCTATGTACATGTAACCAACAACATGGAGTTGTGTCAATATGGGATGGGACCTCACTTTAATATGGCCATTAGAAGCGGGAGACATGCACGAGGTTTTCACCGGAATTTGGGATATTCAAAGTGGTTGAAAAACTCAAATCCCCTAAATCAACTGGAAATTTGGTATACCCACATTCATAACTAAAGATTTACTAACCAAACTGGAGCTGCGTCTGTCTCCATCCTTGGCATGCCAAGGATGGAGTGAGACAACATCTCACGATGTTCAAAGGAGACCTGGTGTGACCACTCTTTGGTAAACTAACATGCAGTAGCTATGGAAAATGGCCCGTGCCAATTTGTTTTCCCACTAGTTAGGTTACCCTCTGGTAAACAAACATAGCTATTGAAAATTGCCATTTATAGTGGATTTACCCATTGAAAATGGTGGACCTTTCCAGTTCGTTATGGGACAGTTACCAGTCAGGTTAGTTGACCAGTCAGGGTGTACACACTGAGGCTTACAAGATGCCCGGGAAATCGAAAATTGGCTCCTGGGACCTGAAGATGTCGCCATGTCGGTCCCCATTTTTGCATCAGGTTTTCAGCAATGTCATCAACCATGGCAGCCATGGTTTATACCACCCACATGGGGATCACCTATTTTCCATGGATCGCTTTCCACCAGCCACAGAGTTTTCCATGGATCAACAGGTGGTTTTGACCGAGGCTGCTGATCTACCCCGAAATGGACGAGCCGGTCCTGGACATCTGGATCAACAGTTTGCGCACCACCGCGCAGACGGGCTTCAAGATGGCCCTGGGGGAACCCAGCCACCCGGCCGATTTTCCAGTAGGGATGACCCAGGGACCAAATCAAGATAATCAAGCAAGCGTTATACCTCAATTAATGCTCAATTCATGTGAATAATATGTGAATAAAGCAATATCATGGTTACCAGGCATATAAATTGATGGTGAATCCCACCGGAGATCTTGGGGGTGGTGGATCCAATTGTGCCGCAAAGCAACAGCAAACATCGTTGGAATCGATGGGATGCAATGGGATAATAGTCCCAAAGGTGACCCGGGGACCCAATGATGGTTAAGATTGGCCCTTCTCATTGTGGTTGTTGTTGGTTAATACTCTTTTGAACCGGAGACGACCTGATTGATACCTGTTGGACCCCGTGTTGAATGACTGACAATGAAGCTGAACATGGTCATAGCCATGACAACTACTGTGGATGGTTGCGAAATCCTGCACCAGTGGGTAGATGGGCAAAATCCCATGAAAATCCCAATATTTACAGTGTTTCATAGTTCCCAATAGCTACCAACTGGTGCAGGATCTCTTCCATCCAGAGCATGATCATAAGTCGCTTACATAGAGGATTATATATATATACACAGTTGTCTACAAGCACAAACGCACTCCCACGTCTTGATTTTTCTGAAAAATTGGGATCGTAGAATGATATTAATAATTACTAACCAAATTTGGGAAATGTTGGTGTTTCAAACAACAACAAAAGATGAGAGAACCGAGGGACAAGTGGGACTTTGGGATTTTTATTGTGCAAATATATAACGCTTGTTAGTCATTGTTATATCATCCATGAAGATGCTGATACCAGTACGACCTACAAAGGTTGCTGTATTCTCGGTTCGGTTCTGTCATTTTGTTTGACGCCAGGGCACTAGGGTTCAGACCCATCTCTAAATTAGGGAAACAGACACTGAACACTATATAAGTTATATCATGTTCATGAACAGCAAGCACCATTTAGAGCCCGTTATTAACTTGATCTGTGGAGAATCGTATTTGTTGGCTTACCATTGGACACCAGTCACTAGCTATGTAAATATGCACTACAGCAAAGACGGCCAAGGAACTATATAATATTATATAATACTATTATTTATATATATACACACTATTACACACTATTATACTATCTATAAAGTGAAACCAACATACAAAAAGCCACATTGCAAATAAATATTTATAAAATCACCAGGGTGTTAATCATTTAAATCATCTAAAATCATCTGAAATCATCTAAAAAACATCCCTTCCAATTTGACCTCGTCCTACTTCCACCGGATCCCCGATCTCAGCGATCTCAGTTCGGCTCATGTGCTCGGATCCTCGCGTGGAACTGCCGGAGCTGCTGCAGCGGCATGT